CATCCAATCTGGCTCCTTCCGACTTGGGTACTACCTGCAACAGGTAGAAAACTTTTGAGAAAGTTTCATGCAGACAGCTTTAAAACTGAGAGACGGGTTTGTGGACGGACAGACGGACATTGCTAGATCGACCACCCAAAGGATTCTGATCAAGAATATACTTTATAGGTTCGGAAATGTCAACTTGACTGAAACTGTAATACCCTCTGGAAAATCTTTACCTGTCTTTAACAAAACCTATTCACCCCAAAACGTTTAGTATCTGGACCTGGTGGAAGCGGTGAAGAAAATATTTATTTTAGACAAACTGTCGCCTGCCATCCTGCGTGTTTTGAGACTGCACTTGCTAAGGGATCACCGAACCTGTCATGGAGTAATGTGCGGTGAAATGATTACCTTTAAAAAATCCTTAATATATGGACAAAGCTTGGTAGTGTTCGTTTTTGCTAACCGCCAAAAAATGTTCAAGGATGTTAAAAACCAGCTTTTAAAGCATTCCAAGTGGCTGTCATACTAGTTAAACAGAATAATTTTACATTTTAATAATTTTTTATTTTAAAAAATAACTTATTGATAGATTCCTCAAAGGTCCCAACGACAAAAACAGCGCCCATGACCTCCATAAATGGAATACAACAAGTGTTGTTGACAGCATCACTTTCCGCATTTCACTTTGAGTCATTAATTTTGGAGTCGGAGAAGCCGCATTGTGAAAAATAACAGCTGATCCCTTTTTCTTTTTGATTTTGTGCTCGACATGCTTGTTCGAATCGTCGACTGGAACTAAAATGTGACATTTGATAAGAATTTGTCAGATAAATCTCGATGACCCAGGCAAAGTGGTCGGCGAATGTGCCAAATTCTCATTTTTCGTTAAAGTTAAGTTATTAACACGATACTAAGATACCTCAATATTAACATGCGCTAGAAATTTATTTTATTCAGTCCCTCGTTTTCAACCCTGTCTGAAATCCTATTGTTACATTATGTTTACATATTTTATGCCTACAAAATTTAGCATGGGAGTTCTAGCACTTGCTTCACTCAAAGACTCTGTTATAGAGTCTTTGCCTCACTGCTTGTATCCGAGACTCATATTTAAACCACTGACATCCAGGAACTCAGCTCGGAAGCCCGAACATTGTAAAATCGTGAAATCGTAAATTAAAGTTCCTTAAATACAGTCGAAAACGTTCTGTTGCACAGCATTTTTTAACTGGAAATTCTATAAGCCATTCGATCAACACCCCATTTAAGAGAATCGCAATCAAAACTAATAAACATATTTTCTATTTTTTTTTTATTCGTTAGCACTTTTGTTTTTAGTGAATATTAAATTATCTTAGCTAGATAAGTCCTATTGACCTGATGTAAAGTGTAAACTATTTTAATTTAAACTATTTTAAATTTGGTTAGTGCACACAAAAAGCTACTTAAAACCTGAGAAGTCAATGTAAATAACTTCCTTTTTCAGTTTCAAAACTTGTAAGCTAATATTTTTTAACAATATATTTACACCTTTGAAGAGGGTATTTGTTTTAACTTTAGTCAAAAGTTTGCAACGCAGTGAAGAAGACATTTTCGATATAAAGTATATATATTCTTGATCAACATCACTAGGAGAGGAATTCTAGCAATGTCCGTCTGTTCTTCCGTCCGTCCGTCCGTCCATCCGTTTCTATGCACAAATTTTCTTTCTATTGCAGGTTGTACATAAGTCGGAACGAGCCAATTGGACAGCTATAGCAAATAGCTCCCTTAGGAACAATCGGAAAATAAAAATAACAACTTTTTGTTTATTCATTTTTTTTTATTTATTCCAGATTTAGTATTGGTTTTTTATTTTGGAACTACGAATTAAATTTCATTATGATCGGCCGACCACAGCATAAGGCTCCCATGGAAACTATCGGTATATATATAAAAAAATGAAAACAAAATGTTACTTTTCTGTTTTCAGAACTAAGCTTATAATTTTGTTAAAATCGGACGACGATCGAAACAATTGAGCTAGAAATCGTCATAGCTTCAATGTTATAAACATTTCTGTAATTTTTTTTTTTTAATTCTTTCTGATTTATTAATAATGTTTTTTCTTTAATCTTATCTAGTGTAACCTTAGATTATTATTAGTTTTGCCAAATTAATGCTGATACTAAAATATTTTTTTACCGTCGTGTTTTTAGACATGAAAGTGAAATGTAAGTAATTAAAAATAATGCGAGTAATGATAAATCAGTATTAAAAAATCAATCGACTGTGCTCTTATACATTTTTTACATTTTACACACCACACAATATAAAATAAATTAACGTTTTTTCACACATTCCAGGAAAATCAGATTCGTCACCTTCACAATGCGCCATGAAATTTTTGGCACACGCAATAGGAATGACAAAAAGTCGCTCCGAGAATGTTCCCCTTTGAAGAACCAGAACCCCAGCACACTGGATGCCGGCACTAAAATAATGGGAAAAACGGGGTGGAGGAGGAATGGATTCGTTGGTGCGTGTGACTTCAAAAATCCTGAAAACGTGTCGGACAGGATGTTGAGTGCAAGTAAGCTCAGTGGTGGCTTTTTGGGGGTGGTTGAGGTTCTGGGAGCTGTTACTTGGTTGTTTAATTTCTGTAAATATCTAAAATGTAAATGCAAGCAGAAGTCTGAACGGATGGAATTCGCGTTGGATCTTGACGAATATATTTACTTGTGTTGTGCATGATATACAAAATCCACAATACAGAAATACTCAAAACCACTCGGAAACATTACGCCTAACATACATTTTAGAAATAGAGAGGGGGTCTATGTACTAGAGCCCTGCATTCGATCTGCCTATCAATTCCAATTCTGATGTAGGTAATGATAGATCAGAATTCAAAAAGCAATCGGCTGTGCTCTTATACAATTTTTACCATTTAGACATCACACAACAATAAATAAACGTCACCTCCACAATGCATCAGGAAATTTTTGGCACACGCAATAGGAATGACTCGTTCGAGGATTATAAAACTAAAGTTTGCTTTGAAAAAGTTATAAAAAATTTCATTGTTCCATGGATGGCCAGCTCTTAAATCAAGCCAGATGGATATAGTACTAATTTATCCGAAATTCCCCATAAGAAATTTGATTTTTATTTCTTAAAATGTATTAAAATTCTTAGTATAATGTTTCCGCCAACCGAAACATAAATTATTTACCATTTAAAATATCAAATCGATGTCCCTAGTATTTTTTATATTTCGCTCAGATGTTTACACACGTACAGAACTGAAATTTCAGTATGAAGTTTCAACGCCGTGAAGGAGACATTTCCGACCCTTGTAGGTATATATATTATTGATCGTCAACACTAGGAGTCTCGATCGAGCTATATCCGGCTGTCTGTCCGTCTGTCAGTCTGTCCGTCTGTTCGTCCTATTCTACGCAAACTAGTCTCTCAGTTTTAGAGCTATTTGAAAAAATCTTTTCCAAAAGCTAGTATTAAAGTTAGGATCGGTCGACTACATCTGATGACTATAATAGCAACAATCGGGGTAATAAATTATAATTTTACTGTTTTCGATTTATTTTTTTTAGTAATATAAGGTTTTTTCTTTTTTTTTTTTTTTTGTACCTTTGCAGAGGGTATTATAATTTCAGAAGGAGCCAGTTCTGACCCTATAAAGCTTATGTATTCTTGATTGTCATCACTAGGAGAGTTGTTCTAGCCATGTATCTTACGTCTGTCCGTCCGTTTCTACGTTTCTCTCAGTTATAAAGCTATCTGCATGAAACTTTCCCAATAGTTTTTTTCCTGTTGCAGGTAGTATATAAGTTAGAACGGGCCATATCGGTCGACTATAGCTGATAGCTCCCTTAGGAACAATCGGGGAAGAAAAACGAAAAAATGTATAACTTAGCATTTTCAATTTTTTTTATAATTCTTCATATAGCTCAATCGAACAATCTGAATGTTAAATAAAAATATTTTGAAAAAAAATATAGCTTCTGAAATTTTCAATTTATTTTTGTAATTCTTTTGGTGATAGAAAGGGAATCGAAATAATTCAGAATTACGCTTTTAATTTTATTCAAATCGGAAAACGATATCATATAGCTGCCATATGAACGATCGAGTAATTGAGCTGAAAATCATCATAGCTTCTGTTCTTGAACATATATGTAAATAATTTGAAATTATTTCGTTTTTGCAATACCAGCAAAGGTATATAATACCTGCAAAGGTATACAAACTTCGCTTTGACGAAGCTTGTTTTGTAGTCAACTCCTTCAAGATCAAAGGGTTTGATGTAAATATTTTTATTAGCTTATAGTTACAATTCGACATGGACTCCAATTTTTGTTGGTCAAAAAAAAATGTACTCTTGAATATTAAAATATATGCAGACTTTCTTTTGCATATGTGTTCTGAATATAGTTATTTAGGAATTATTATTTACGTGTGTAACTTAAATGTTTTGAACTGGATATACAAGATTTTAGATTTGTTGCTTTTGTGCAAACAAATTTTGAAGCCAATGCATGCAGTAAAGTTGATAAAACATCATCACAAGCAATCATATGCATACGCAGACGGTTAAGTATATACATATGTATGTACGCACACCTATGTTTGTATGAATTCAGTTTTATTTGCCTACGTTATCATCACTGAATTCATAAAGTTAAAGTTGCCTACTTTTTATTAACCAACCAACCAACACTTGAACAAGATTTTCGAACGGATATGGTGGACTTTTCTTTCATCAATAGCCGTCTCTCTCGTGCTCAACTCTCATTCGCCTGCTTCGCATGCGATGTATTTCAGTTTCCTCATTTCCCATGTACCTACAGCTGTCTCACTTCGGGGCACGCCAAACCGCGGAATCGCCAGCTCCTGGTGGCTGCAAAGAGAAAGAGACAGCCAGAGCGACTTCGTCAAAATGGCCGGCCGATGTTTTCGCTGTTGCTCTTGCCAGTGTTTTTTCGCATGAGAGCTCATTAACGTTTCGCTTGGCTAAGTGCGCGCCTCGTCACTGAAACCAGTTAGTAAAAGAAATTTTGTTTAAACTAAAACCGATAGCTATGTCACGATTTGATCATTTCGAATGCAAATTATTCTCAGATTAATAAACTAGGTCGCCATCCGTGGCGCTGCCGCCGGGCTGCGGACCCGTACCTACGTACCTACGGCGGATAATATCGGGACCATCATGTCTAACATTGTTTACGATACACTAGTTGCACTAGTTAAACAACGTCTAAAGTGAAAGTTAGTAAACTGGTGAGCGTGTACAACCAAAGCAAATGCTAAACAGCCCGCCGAAGTTAACAAACAAAGTCAGAATCAGAATCAATGGACTTACAAATTAAAGTGATAATCAACAACTTGATTACTATGCAAAGATAATGTCTACGCTCAAAAGTACAAAGTGACAACGAAATCCCCATCTAACAGAAATGAAAAAGGCAATATCTGTCCTTACTCTACAAAAATTATAAACTTACGTGCACTCAAAGCACCATCAAAGTTTTCATAACCGTTAGCGCCTAATAACTAATCAATCATGATGCTAACAACCGAACACATAATGCACGGGCACCCCCACGCGTCGGTCGGGCAGAGTTCACTGTTTGGGTGCTCGACGGCGGGCCATAGTGGCATAAATCAGCTGGGCGGGGTGTACGTCAATGGCCGACCACTGCCTGACTCAACGCGCCAGAAAATAGTCGAATTGGCTCACTCGGGCGCCCGTCCTTGTGATATTTCAAGAATACTGCAAGTTTCTAACGGATGCGTAAGCAAGATTCTGGGCAGGTGAGGCATTAACACTCAATTTTTTTTCCATATCCAACCAGATGGAAGCATGAGAATCCATGTGCTCACTGCCCTGTTACAAAATATTATGTAAAGTTCTTCTCAAAGGTCTGATCCAGAATTTATTGCTCCCAATTTTTAGAATTTAGATCGAGGTATACTCAGTGAAGGAGACCATTTCAAACTTGTATTGTACAAGTATAAAAAAAGTACAACCTAAGAAAAAGTGAAAAATAGTTTCAAAATATTTTGAAAATTTTATCAAATATGAAAATATGTGTTATAAGCCAATAAAGGGAATAAGGGATATGTTCCTGATTTTACTTAAGAAAACGAGCAAAGGTTTCTTCGCTTAAAGCATATAGGAACAATCGAGAATAAAAGAAAACAAGAAACTAAGCAAACTTCGGCAAGCCGAAGTTCATATACCCTTGCAGCTTTGCAAGAATTAAATACTTTTGAAAACATTAAACATATTAAACATATACGCAATATGTTGAAAAACATTGAAGCTATGATGATTTGCAGCTCAATTATTAGATAGTTATTTTATATATTTTTATTATTTCTATGGGAGCTATGTGATATAGTCGTCCGATTTTGATGAAATTTATACCGTAATTCTGAAATAATTAACCAATACTATCTGTCGAAGAACTAAGAAAAAAATTAAAAAACAGCTAAGTTATAATTTTTTTTTTTTTCCGATTGTTCCTATGGGAGCTATATGCTATAGTCGTCCGATCCGGCTCGTTCCGACTTATATACTACCTGCAATAGAAAGACAGCCTTTGGGAAAGTTTCATGCAGATAGCTTTAAAACCGAGAGACTAGTTTGCGTAGAAACGGACGGACGGTCAGTCTACAGACGGACATGGCTAGATCGACTCTGCTAGTGATGCAGATCAGGAATATATATACTTTATAGGGTCGGAAATGTATCCTTCACTGCGTTGCAAACTTCTGACTAATATTATAATACCTTCTGCAAGTTTTTAATTTTTATTTTTAGTTCTTCGAGATATAGTAATGGTTAAATATTTCAGAATTACGGCTTAAATTTGATTAAAGTCGGACGACTATATCACATGACGATATGACATAGTCATCCGATTTTGATCATATTTAAACCGTTATTCCAAAATAAACTATCTAAGAACTATTAAGAACTTTAAGACTTTTTAACTCTTTGCCACTTTGGGGATCCAAGAAGGATGTGCTTAGGCAATTACTTAGGGATTATTTTTTAATTAATACTTAGTTTTAAGTTAAGTTAGCTGATAGCCAGATAAGGATTTATCCATTGACGAATAAATGAATAAATAAATAAATGTCAAAAAACATTAAAGAAAATTAAACAAGGAAGGAAGCAAACTTCGGCAAGTCCAAATTCATATACCCTTGCAGCTATTTCAAAAATTCAATATTCTTGAAAACATTAAAATTATGATTTACTTGCGTATATGTTTAAAAGCATTGAAGCTATGATGATTCGCATGTCAATTATTTCCCAAAAGTTGTCTTTCTATAGCAGGTAGTAAATAAGTCGGAACGAGCCGGATCGGACGACTATAGCATATAGCTCCCGTTCCAATGGGATCGGAAAAATAAATGAAAAAAAAATTATAACTGCTCTTTCTTAATATTTTATTTTTAGTTCTTCGATATTTAGTAATGGTTAAGTATTTCAGAAATACGGTTTAAATTTCATCAAAATCGGAAAACGATATCATATAAGCTGCCTTAGAAACTATCGGATCATTGAGCTGCATCATAGCTTAAATATTTTTAAACATACACGCAAGTTAATCATAATTTTAATGTTTTCAAGAAAATTAAATTTTTTTTTTTTCTTCTTTTTGGTTTTAATGTTAAAAAAGTAATCTGATTTCTCATTTAATAATATAATAAAATATGTACAGTTTTTGACCGTCGCCTTAGGAAACGTGTTCAACTGCAATTCGAAAAGTCGAGTGTTCGAATTTTAGAATTCGCGAAAATACAAAAAGTAATTTTCTCAACAAAGTAAGTTCGATTTAGTCTTTATTTCGCATAATACAGTTTAATTGTCATTTTCAGTTTTCTTATCTTGTAATTATACCAAATTCAGGCGGGCGAGGGGGCATGACCAAAACAGGTTGATTGATTAAATTCAATGCGGTGAGTGGCTTAAATTAAAAGGGCTGATGTTGCTTTAAATTTGAACTAGGTGGCACTACCTTATGACAAATTATAGTCCATATTAAAAAAATTGCATGTTAAATATCAAACGGACATAGCTAGATGCATTCGGTTATTGGTCCTGACAAATAATGTAATGTATGCATACTTTTCAAGGAAAATTAATCAAGTACATTGCACTCAATCTGAGAATATTTGTACTTGTACAGTTTGAGTAAAAATGTTCTAGAACAACTCGAACAGTATAATACCGCATACACACTGAAAATAAGTGTGAACATATGTATCATAGTTTTTGTCCCGACCACTGGCTTATAAACATGATAATTCATTCTTTTACGTGTAAAATGAAATCATTTTACACTTACACTGGTGTAACCTCTCGTCTACGCACCTTCTAACGTGCCAGTGATCAAAAGAGGCAAAACTATTTTTTATGAAAAGGCAAATTCGTATTTTAAGCAAAATAATTGCGATAATTTTTTTAACAGCTAGATAAGCATTAATAAAATAAAAAAATTCCACAACTCGAAGTGAACTCGGGACCTATGTAGATATGTACATTGTGAGTCGACTTCCTGGTCTGGACACCTCAGACCGCAAGACCGAGGATTTTGATTACGTTTTGTCTTATTGGGCAAAATCTGTATATCTTCAATTTGAGAATTCCAATTCATAATTTCTGAACGTTTGAATTGTGTCTGTGCGGGTATAAGCAAACATTTTGTACGTATTAAAGAAGGTTATACATTCTAAATCAATCAGAACAAAACTGGGAAGTTTCAGACGTTTTCCTAATTAAAATCAGTGCTCACTAACAGGGGCTCCACACATACCATAACACGTGCGCACCTTTGTGTGAGTAATTTGCACGACAAAACTTGTCGTTGTGCGCATGCCGATCGCCGGCAAGGAATATGTACATAAATCATAACTCTTCTGGTAAAGCCTCTGCCGCTGTTGGTTACCACTAACTTTAATTCAACTTTTAGCTAACAATGACGATAACAACAAGAAAGGAAGCAAACTTCTTACTGAAATTATAATACCCTCTTCAAGGGTATAAAAAGGGCCTCATATTTTTGCCTAATATTTGTATTCTGCGATTAAATGGCTTGCTGAGTTATATTAAAATCTAATGACCATGTTATATAGCTGTCACATGTCTCTTCGGTCAATATGGTGGTTTTAAGAACCAGGCTTTTAAAGTTTGTGAAATGGGATTAATTGAGTACATACAAAATAGATTCTAACAAGTTTGCGCCAGAAATTCAAAACGCAGGGCTGCATGCACTGGCGTCACTTTTTATACCTTTATAATTTCAGTCAGAAGTTTGCAACGCAGTGAAGGAGGCATTTCCGATCCTATAAAGTATATATATTCTTGATCAGCATCACTAATGTTTTAGATTTAGATAGGAGTTTTACATATAGTTTTTTTAATTAATTAAGTTACATGACTAAAAATAAAAAAAAAATAAAGAGCAAATCAAATAAATGAAAAAGTTTGTGAACAGTATGTAGATTATTTAACCGCTGGAACAAAATATTTATTTTAAACTTATTTTCTTTAAAACAGGTTGTACATACATACATATTAATTTGAAATAAAATGTAGTTTAATTTATAGGTTGAGGAAATATGTACAATTACATTAATTATTCTTTTATTAGTCAATAACTTTTTCATCGGTTAGAAAGTATGGAATAATATAATAATAATTAGGCAAAAATGACTTAAAAAACCAGTCCATATATTACCTTAAAAATAGGCAAAAAGTCCATGTTTTGACTTATTGCCCTTTGCCTAAAAATGAACATTTAGTCTATTCTGGCTTCCTAAGGTCATCTATTACCTTGAAATTAGACTACCATTTTTCTGAGTGTAGGAGAGTCGATATAGCCATGTCCATGTCTGCCCGTACGTCTGTCCGTCCGCTTATACGCAAACTAGTCTTTCAGTTTTAAAGCTATCTACATGAAACTTTCCCAAAAGTTGTCTTTCTATTGCAGGTAGTATATAAGTCGGAACAATCGGAAAAATAAATAAAAAATGATAACTTTAATGTTTATCGATTTTCGAATTAAATTTCGTTAAGATCAGTCTACTTTAGCATATAGAACCCATGAACAAAAAATCGGAGTATAAAAATAACAATTGAAAAAATGTGACTTTACTATTTTTAAAATTTATGAAGACTTTTAAACATAGCCATAGGCTTACAATTTTGTAATAACGCTGTTCATTTTATTAAAATCGGAAAACAATTTCATATTGCTGCGATATGAACGATCGAATAGTTGAGCTAATAATCTTCATAGCTTCAATGTAGACAAAGACATAAATCGAAAATCAGATATTTTAAAGAACATATAATTTTGGAAATAGCTGCAAGGGAAATTATGCTTCCTTTTTAATTTTTTTTATTTTGATATTTTTCACCTCCGCTTGTAGTCTTTAATTGTTCAATTTTTGTTAATATAAATTGATATTTTATAACTACATTTTTTTGGTAAAAATCTCATATTTTTAAAAATAATTCAATTAAGATCTTAGTGCTTTCAAACATAATTTTCTGTAAATCTATTAAACTTAAATAGTTATAATTGCAAAGTAATGGCATTTTATCGGGTCAATCCACTGTATGCCACGTATACGTCAGGTGGTTGTGAGTTGACTAGAACTTAAGTTTTCTGACCAATTCTAGAGTATTACCCACCAGTTTGAAATTCCTAAAATAGTGTACATACAGATCGAATATAGTCTGCAACAAAACGTTTCACTATTTCTTTAATTGGGATGCAAACCCAATCTTACCTTCTTACACTTATAGTAGACTTCCTCAAATTAATTTACCGCTTTATCAAATCGTATAACGATGCTTGGTATTACCTTTATTCTTTAACCTCTCGCGATCTCGTTTTGCACGCGCCCTTGGGTCCGCAATTAACAAGCACCGATTGGTATCCATAGGGCATAAAATTCCAAATAAAGTCTGAAATCTATTGAAATTTCTTGTTTTAGATGATCAGGTTTTCTATAATTTTGGTAGCAGCAAAACCAAAGCAGAAGAAGAACATTCTCATCTTTACTACTCAATATTTATACCCTTGCAGAGGGTATTATAATTTCAGTCAGAAGTTTGCAACGCAGTGAAGGAGACATCTCCGACCCTATAAAGTATATATATTCTTGATCAGCATCACTAGTAGAGTCGATCTAGCCATGTCCGTCTGTCCGTCCGTCTGTCCGTCTGTCCGTCTGTCCGTCCGTCTGTCCGTCTGTCCGTCCGTTTATATGCAAACTAGTCTCTCAGTTTTAAAGCTATCTGCATGAAACTTTCCCAAAAGTTGTCTTTCTATTGCAGGTAGTATATAAGTCGGAACGAGCCGGATCGGACGACTATAGCATATAGCTCCCATAGGAACAATCGGAAAAATAAATGAAAAAAAATTATAACTTTGCTGTTTTTTAATTTTTTGTTTAGTTCTTCGACATTTAGTAATGGTTAAATATTTCCGATTTACGGTTTAAATTTCATCAAAATCGGTCGACTATAGCATATAGCTCCCATAGGAACAATCGGAAAAATAAATGAAAAAAAATTATAACTTTGCTGTTTTTTAATTTTTTGTTTAGTTCTTCGAGACATAGTAATGATTAAATATTTCAGAATTATGTTTCAAATTTCATCAAAATCGGACGACTATAGCATATAGCTCCCATAGGAACAATCGGAAAAATAAATGAAAAAAATTATAACTTTTCTGTTTTTTAATTTTTTGTTTAGTTCTTCGACATATAGCAATGGTTAAATATTTCAGAATTATGGTTTAAATTTTATCAAAATCGGACGTCTATATCATATAGCTCCCGTAGAAATAATAAAAATATATAAAATAGCTATCAAATAATTGAGCTGCAAATCGTCATAGCTTCAATGTTTTTAAACATATACGCAAGTAAATCATAATTTTAATGTTTTCAAAAATATTTAATTCTTGCGATAGCTGCAAGGGTATATGAACTTCGGCTTGCCGAAGTTTGCTTTTTCAATTATTATTCAATTATTATTCCGATTGTTCCTATGGGAGCTATATGCTATAGTCGTCCGATCCGGCTCGTTCCGACTTATATACTACCTGCAATAGAAAGACAACTTTTGGGAAAGTTTCATGCAGATAGCTTTAAAACTGAGAGACTAGTTTGCATATAAACGGACGGACAGACAGACAGACGGACAGACGGACATGGCTAGATCGACTCGCCTAGTGATGCTGATCAAGAATATATATACTTTACAGGGTCGGAGATGTCTCCTTCACTGCGTTGCAAACTTCTGACTGAAATTATAATACCCTCTGCAAGGGTATAAAAATTATAACTTTGGTGTTTTTTAATATATGAACTTTGGTTTGCCGAAGTTTGCTTCCTTTCTTGTTTTTATAAAAAATCACCAAAATGTTGATAATATATGTACTTTTGAATAACAAATTGATCGTTTAAAACAGTTAAGTTGTTTTCGTAACAAAAAATCTCGAAAATAGACAATTTGATTGCACTGCAACTGGGGCGTTGATAATGGCTTTATAATTCCTAATTACGCTTTTAATTTTATTAAAATCGGAAAACAATATTAAATAGCTGCCATGGGAAGGATCGAGTAATTGAGCTGAAAATCATCAGCTTTATTTTTTTTAATTTTCTGAAGTTGCGTAGCTTGGGTTTCTGTTTGAAAGCTTGAAACTATCGTTGCGACCAAGCAAGAAGTAACAAGAATCAGAGTACAATCAAAATTTTTATATTTTTAGGAAATATTATTATTCATTTTTTAGTTTTTAAGTGTACGACATTTTATAAAGCTAACGACTTAAATATGACGACGATCGCAAAATATAAATTTTCTTGACGAAAATTAATACAAACTTTGACTAATATATTTTCATTCGGCCCGCTCCTGTCAGGTATTTGAAATTTTTCCTATCGCAGCGCAAATAATGGAAACATTTTAAAAGTATATACATATGGGAAATTATAATACCCTTCGCAAGGATATAACAAATTAAAATTTGATAAGTTACAAATTTTTGTTCATTAATTTTCTGTAATATTCCATTTGTTCCCATGGAAGCTATATGATGCACTCGCCCGGTTTTAATCAAATTTAAAGCATAATTCAGAAATAATAAACAATTACTATATCTCGAAGGACTAAACATAATTTAGAAACAGCAAAGTTATAATTTGTATCCCAGTTTTTCGCCGAATGTTCCTTTGGGAGCTATAAGCAATAGTCATCCTGGAAAGTCTATGCAGATAGCTTTATAACTGAGAGACAAGTTTGCGTAGAAAGGGACTGAGGAACGGAAAGAAGGACTAGAATATATATTCATGGAAAATATATTCATATAGAATATATTTCATGCGGTCAGAAATGTCTCCTTCACTGCGGTGCAAACTTATGACTGAAATTATAATCCGCTCTGCAAAACTTAAGCAATCAAATAAAACCACCTCTTAGGAAGTTAGAAGATATGTCACAATTTCTGTGACGATATTCGAATTTGATATGTTTTTTTTCAGCCGCTGCAGCCTAACATTACAATTACAGCTTATTTTAGTGTGCTGAATTTTGTGTGATGAAGATGCGATCGCAACGACCTTTTTACCATCTGACCAAAATTATACCATGCTCAGTTCACTCAAAAATAAATATATTTGTTTACTTGCTTTTAAAACAAACTATTTATGTAACATTTAAAATGATTCTTTTTATTTTTAGATATTATGAAACAGGATCAATTAAGCCTCGAGCGATAGGTGGTTCGAAACCACGAGTAGCTACAACTCCGGTCGTACAAAAAATTGCTGATTACAAACGGGAATGTCCCAGCATATTTGCGTGGGAAATTCGGGATCGACTGCTGTCCGAACAAGTTTGCAATAGTGATAACATTCCAAGTGTAAGTTTTTAATTTTCAGACAAAATGCATACAAAAAACTAAAATTTGTAATTACTTGTCGTTATAAACAAAACATAAACAAATACTTACTTACTTACATACTGGCGTTCCGCGATTTTGATTTAGTTTTAGTTTTCTTTTCTGTTAAAGTTTTCCTTAGGCTCACTGACCGTCGTAATCAGAACATCTAGGCAGGATTTGACGACGACTAGACGTATTTCTCTCTACCAAATGCAAGCAAATAATGATTGGTTGAGGGTTGAAAGAGCAATTTCGTTCAACGACTGGCTTCTGGTCGGTCTTCGCGTTTAAGATGGCTAAAATAGATCCGAACTCGATAAGCAAGGGCGCACAAAGGATTAAGTAATTTAAGAACAAAACCAACCTATCCTATTTAAAATGGATTATAGAAAAGATATTTTCGATTCTCTTTAGTCTCGCACTCAGCACTCTTTCGTTTTCTCGATAGAATAAGCCGAACGAAAGCATGTTTATTATTCAGGTAACAAAAGGGATTTTTGTGTCTTTTTCACCAAATATCCACTACGATGTGGAACATACCTTACCTGGGGGATTAGGCTAGTGGTTTAGTTTTTTTAATAGCATAAAACTTGTTTGTTTCTGATGCATGCAAGCCCTTAAAAAGTATGATAAGGACTTTAAGTTTTAAGTTCGTATTTGAATTTATAGCGGTCAACGAATTGTACTTATTTAGACATACGGAACGTTTTAGTTAAAAACAAGAAAAGAGCAAACTTCGGCAAAATATTATTTAAAACGACTACACTTTTGGTGCGTATATGTTGAACAAAAACAGAGCTATGTCGATTTCCCGCTGAAATTTTTCATCGTTCCTATGGAAGCAATTGATATTGTTGTCTGATTTTTATTAAATAGTTAAATAAATATAGTCGTAGTTTGGTAAATAATTACTATTTATCGAAGTAAAGAAGTAAATTAAAACAAGAAAGAACGCTATAGTCGAGTTTCCCAACTATTAGATATCCGTTATTCAGCAAACAATCTTTAAACTTAGTATTCCTCCTACAAAACAATCGAAGTTTGGGTGGCGCCATCTGTCGAACTGCTTAGACAACACTGAAAGCACCCCCACCCACCACTTTCGTTTTCTCTCTACTGCAGGCAAGTAGCGGCCGAGCAGCGGACGAGCAGCGGCAGATGGGTGGCAGAGCTTGATATGTGTCTAACATGTCTCAGAGCGACGTGACAGACGTGTTAAGTAGTTTGCGATTTGTGGGCGTTAGAGTGGGCGTGGCTCCTTTTTGAAATGAACTTGTGCTGCATGCCAAATCCCAGATCTATAGCTTATGTAGTTTCCGAGATATTGAGGTTCAGACAGACGAACATGGCTAGATCGACTCGGCTATTGATCCTGATCAGGAATATATATACACTCATAGAAAAAATGCAGAATTTCGGTGGCAAACCAAGAACGAACGATGTCAAAAGTAGGGTAAATTCGAATTTTTTTGATTCAAGAACGAAAGGCTATATTAAAGTACGAATTATATAATCCCGAAGTTCTACATTTGAGAAGGAACGTCATCAATCCATGAACTCAAAAGTGCTTGAAGAAAGTGCGAAAGATATTGGTTTGAGTACGAAAAATTCTTAATGCAAGTATAAAAGTTTCTTAGTTTAAGTTTTTTAAAAAATTGTTTTTTTTAGTCTGTCTTTCTCTTTTTTTCTTTTCCCTTTGATTCCGTATGAAATTAGAATGAAAGGGAGAATATGATAAACTGATATGCAAAGGAAACTGAAAAGCAAACTTATTTTGTTTACTGCAAGTCGACCCAACCGGGATTCGAGCCGAGACCTTTGGATTCGTAGACGCATTAGCCAATTGCGCCACACTGTACCACGCCCGTATAAGAATTCGAAGCAATTCGTTTGCAACCAAATAGCTTTTATTAGCTATACTTTTGAGATCAACTGGATAAAAATTTAAATAAAAGCAGAACGTTTGAAAAAAAAACATAAAAACAAAAAAAAAAAAAATTTATTACTTTGTCTGGAATTTGAGCTCGGACTCTTAATAGCTTACCCAATACCCAATGTTTGATGTTCCAAGACACTTTAGGGGCCAATCATTTTAAGAACGAAATGTTCTTGTTTAAAATTAATAGTTCTTGTTGTTTTGTTAAATTAATAGTTTTTAATAGAGTTTACTGTTTTTAATAATTCTGATATTATTTACAACCACTATAAGCAGGGTTAAAGCAAAAAATATCGTTTTCTCTATGTATTACAATAAAAAAAAACATTTTAAAATATTATTATCAAGTAGGACCCGAACTTATTCTGTACACGTTCGTCCTAAAAATTTTAAGAATTATTCGGCTGATTTTCAAGAACGTCCGTGCTAAAACTATTCGTTCGTTTCAAAGAATACAATATACATTTTAAAAGGCAGAAATAATTATTTTCTTTTATTATTTCTAATTTTCCTAAGGGACCAAGAGTGTGTACATAGGAGACTACTATGTATAACCGCAGAATTGAAAATCAGCTGTGGTGGTCCCATACACCAATTGAAACGTTTCGCTAAAAGAATAGGGATTGTATACCAGGACTAGGAACATTTTTGAGTGGAGCTCTTTGGCCCGGTTTGAAAAAAATACTTCACTTTTTTTGGCACACTACAATTTTGTTTGAAATACGCGTCGAATGACACCCAATTTACTTGGATCCGATTCTCCGTTCAAAAGTTATTCAAAAAATACTTTTATTTGGTATAAAACAAAATTAATATTTTTCGGTGTGTCAGTTTAAAAAAATGTTAAGGATTAGTTTGGAAAACGATATCGTACAGCTGTCATAGGAACTATTGAGCAATTGAGCTGCATATCATCATAGCTTCAATGCTTTTAAGCATATACGCAAGTAATAATAGTTTTAATGTTTTCAAGAATATTGAATTTTTGCAATAACTGCAAGGGCTTGCAGAAGCTTGCTTCCTTTCTTGTTTCTTAATATATCATTTCAACTTTTAAAATTCTTGGAGAAGCGGGTTTGGCACTCCTGCTTTCGGTGGTTCAGTTTATTTGATGTTCTTTGATGTTTTTATTCATAAACATAATGGGCGAGTAATTCATTATGGCCATATTTAACCGCGACGTCAATGTGCTTGTGCTAAATGAAGAACAAATGTATAAAAACGTTTGGCCCATGGTCGACGCACGTGCCGGCACTTAAGACAACTGTGAAAGTGGCATTTTCCATGTTTCCTAATGATGCCGTTCACATGTACACAAAAAAACGCTTCATATTCAGCAAATTTCCATTGTAACTTAACTTCAAAAACAAGAACGGAAGCAAACTTCGGCAAGCCGAAGTTTATATACCCTGGCAGCTATCGCCAACATGAAATATTTATACCTTAAACATAAATTAATTTAAATATACTTTAAAACATCTCAATTTCGATTTATATGCGTGTATGCTTAAAAACATTGAATCTATGACGATTTTTAGCTCAAACATTATATTTTTATACCCTTCTATTAAAATAAGAAAACGATATCGTGTAGCTGTCATAGAAACTATCGTATAATTGAGCTGTAAATCATCATAGCTTCAATGCGTTTATACTCACAGAATGATTAACTTTTGAAATAGCTGCAAGGGTATATGAGCTTCGGCTTGCTTAAGCGTGCTTTCTTTCATGTTTTCATTTATTTTTCCGATCTGGTTCGTTCCGACTTTTATACTTCCTGCAATAGTAAAAAAATTAAAAATTAAAATGGTTTTTTTGGGATGGCTATGTCAAATTAAATTTATTTTTGGCTATTCTTTGAATCTTTACTTGTGTTCGTGATCTTTTTTAAATGTATTGGTAAATGCTCTGCCATACGTGAGTTTTTATGGTCGGAAATTTCTGTTTCACTGCGTTGCAAACTTCTCATTAAAAAAATTTAACTCCCTCTGCAAGGGTATAATAAGTATTTATTCTTTGACGTTTTCAAAGTTTACGATTTTTTTAGTACTACTCTGGACTTACAACATTAACTATAACGTTTATTAATTTATTTTGATATGTAAAATATCCTTATCTGGCTAATACATATATAATTAATTCTAAGTCTAAACAATAATTCAAAAATGTTATGCCTCAAGCCGTCTCTATTAGAGCAAAGATCTAGATCTAGTCGATCTAGCCAATCTGTCTGTTTGTTTCCGAAACCATTTAAAAAAAAAAACCTTTTTTTTGCTAGTAGCGCGTTGCATTTTGGGTAGCGGAACTTAAAATCTTGTTTATATAAGGTTTCCCGCTAAGATAGATAGAAAGCTAGAACAAACGTTTTTGTACGTTAAAATAATTTGGGTATTTTAATATCATACATGAGTTTGCAAAGCAGTAAAGGCGAAATTTCCGACCCTCCTAGACCTTCATGGGAACTTATAGTGCTGGCGCTGGGTCAAACGACTATTTAACATATAAGGATCTTGACTATATTGTATAATTGAAATGATGTTTCAATAAATGTGTGTTCAGATGTTGTGGTTTTTATTTATTATTTTAGGAACTCTGCTATTGATGTTAAGTATACGCCTTTATGGAGGAGTTGCTTAGGTATTGGGTGGCGTTTATGATTTTGAGGATTTATTGTTTTACTTGGGCTATGACAGGGCATAGGTTTAGGATGTGATCGATGACGACTGGCTTATGAGTTTGACTAATGGGGCAGTTTCTAGGGCGTTGCGGTCATTTTAATGTTTGTTGCTGAGGTTTCTGTGATTAGAAATGCAAAACTTATACAAATTTATGTATTTTGAAAATGTTTGTACAGAGATAATTCCGACGTTCAGAAATTTAGGGTGGTTTAATTTGTAGTCGATGCAATTTCATAAAAGTATTTCGTATAAAAACAAACCATTATATAGCACTACAAGTGTACTCAAAAGGCCAAAAGTGGAGGAGCGTTAACGGTTGTGTTTAAAACACATTTTTATATAGACGTATAACAAACAATAAAAATGAAAGAAAATGGGAATTTTATTTTTGGCATCTTTTTTTTAACTAATTCTCATTCTGAAAACAAAATTCTTGAAAAAAATCACATATGTACTCAACTTAACTAACTTAACTTTACTCAAACTGATTAAATTGAACTTAAACTTTAATTTTTGGAGCTCTCAGATTGAGTGTAATGTACTTGATTAATTTTTGCTGGGTAGGAAAATTCAATTCGCAGAGGGTATTATAATTTCAGTCAGAAGTTTGCAAAGCAGTGGTTACGGCAACTCCGACCCTATAAAGTACTTATGTATTCAGCATCACTAGGAGAGTCGATCTAGCCATGTCCGTCTATCCGTCTGTCAGTCTCAACGAATCAAGACGGTTTGCTAAAAAATAAAATAAGGTATATACTAATATGTAGTAATAAGTAAAAATTTGTTACTCAAGCGGCCCAAATGAGAAAATTTTATACAATTTTGTACTTGCTTATTTGCAAATAAGATATTTCAAAAGTAGGCTTATAAATTATTGTCATAACAAAAAGTTTTGAATTTTTAATACAGAATATTATATATTGCTTCATTTGGGGGAAAAGATAAATCACAATGGTTTTCAGCTTTATTTTAAATTACTTGTGTTGAATAATTTTATACACTTTTTATTATTTTTGTACCTGTAAAAAAATTTGTAACCTCTTACATATAAATTAATTTTATAAGGACCAAAAAAAGTGTGCAAAATTGTGTATGTATAATTGATAGCAAGCGGAGTGGGTTCCTAGAATCGATAACTTACCGAGTACTAGAGTAGTCTAATCCCTTTTGGCCGTGCAAGTTTGTACGTATATCCTTCTCGCTCTCAGAAGCGGATTGGATGAAAAAGTCGTTAGCCAATCGTATGGCAGATATGATGCAAGGGGGTTGGTAGAAGCTGGGGAAGCCGCCGAGAAAGACTGAATAGAGTAGCTGATGTTTTTGGTAGCCCCGTCAGCACAGTCATTTGAACCCCTCGAAAAGCGTTGTTCGTTTGTCACTGGGGTTCGTACGCAGTTTATTTCATGACTTGTAAGTCTGTACTTCCACAAGTACAGCATTCATAATACAACTCGTACGTACGTGGGTTTTAATGAAAACGTGTGTTTGAGAAAGATGAAAAACTAATTTTAATTGTATACACATGTAAACGCCATATTTGCAATATGTAGGTATGCATATATATATATATATATATATAGATGTTTATGGATTTTAATGTGCACATCGAACTGGGATTAATTGCAGGTTTCATCCATTAACCGAGTCTTGCGTAACTTGGCCTCGCAGAAGGAGCAGCAGGCGCAGCAACAGAACGAATCTGTTTATGAAAAGCTCCGCATGTTCAACGGCCAATCGGGTGGATGGGCCTGGTATCCAAGCAATACAACGACGGCACATTTGGCGCTACCGCCAGCGGCTTCGGTTGTGTCCACTCCAACAAATTTGTCGGGACAAGTTAATCGGGACGATGTTCAAAAACGAGGCAAGTATAAAGTAAAATCTTGATTTTCAATTACGATTGTATATTTTCGATATTTATTGGAAGGCTTGAAACCAGAGAATGATGATAACACAAACCATATGTTACAGCTCCAAAGCCATTTTCTGAAAAACGTTCGGTGCATCGATAGCTGTTAACCAAACAACTTTTACAGCCCATTATCTAATTTATACCCTCATAAGTGTGGGGGTCACAGAATTTTTGATCGTTTAAAACTACTGATTCATAGTTTATATAGAGACATGACTATATCTGTTGATATTATATGAATACTTTGTATACACCGTTTAAGTTGGGAATGTCAATTTTGATAGCCTTGCGGAGGCTATTATAAATTTAATCATAAGTTTCCAGTGCAGTGAATGAGACATTTCCGATCCTAAAAAATATATATTTTCATTATCAGCATCACTAGATGAGTCGATCAGCCATATCCGTCATAAGTCTCAGATTTAATCGGTTAAACCTTTTCCAAAAGACTTCTTTGTATTGCAGGTAGTATATAAGTAGGAACGTGCCGGATCGGACGACTATATCATATAGCACCCGTAACTACAAATAACTATTTTTAAATATTATTTTATAATATCCTTTTACACAAAAACATCCTTAAGGTGACAATAAAAACAGTGAAATGTTGACTTTCCGACGAATTTTTTGATCGCTCCTATGACATCTATATTTATATCCGTTACTCCCAGAGTAAAAGGGTATATTGTAATCGTCAAAAAGTATGTATCAGGAAAAAGGATTTGTTTCCGACCCTATAAAGTATATACATTTTTGATCAGGATCAACAGCCGAGTCGATCTAGCCGTGTCCTTCTGTCTGTCCGTCTGTATGAACGTCGAAATCTCGGAAACTATAAAAGCTAGAGATTTGGGATTTGGCATGCAGATTCTAGTATTTCCTACGCAGCCCAAGTTTGTTTCAAAACGAAGCCACGCCCACACTAACACAAATTGTGAAACACTAAACACGACCTTAGCTGTTGCATCTGTATTTCAATTTTCAGTATCGAGCCATTACTTTGAAAGTTATTAGGACCTCTGCCGGCGCTCTGCCGCCATTCTGCCGCAGCGCTGCAACGCAGATGGGAGAGAGAGAGACAAGACGAAGAACTGTTAGCGGGGGTGGGGGTGCTGCACACCCTTAGCTTTTAGTGTTGGCCACTGTTTTGTGTGGGAGCATTGAGTAACGGGTATCTAATAGTCGGGAAACTCGGCTATAGCGTTCTTTCTTGTTTCATCTGAAAATCAAAATATGTAGCTTCATTGTTATACCTTTATAATTTAAGTCAGTCAGCATCACTAGGAGTTTCGAACTAGCCTTTCTTGTTTTTTAAATACATTAAAACAAAAATGGTTGAATAATTTCAAAATTTATTTTGTGAAGTACAATCCTTCCGCTTATTTATGAAATACTATTATACTATTTAAATGGCTTCCTTGACTGGCCTTTCAGTACAGAAAACTGACCCTTTTTATATAAATTGGAAAACAATATCATACTGCTGCCATAAGAACGATCGAATTTTAGCTTCAATGTTTTTTTAAATTAAGATGTTTTAAAGAATATTAAATTTTTGCAATACCTGCAAGGTCATATTAACTTTGGCTTGAAGAAGTTTGTTAAGTTTTTTGTTGTCATATGTTAATATTTTGCAATTTAAAATAAAAAACTAACATTACAATAAAACATTTTTACAAAGAACACGAGTTTTTTCCTTTTAAATGTTTCCAAAAAGTAAAAATTCAAAACATAAAAAAGCAGTCTTACTCACAAACGGTATAGAAATAGACCGACAAACGGATGTGGTTATAACACCTCATAGGGTACTCAGAAATTTTATAAAACCATAGGGTAAACAATAAGAATTTTAAAAAAAATTAAAATTTAATTGTAAAGAAATGCGTTTACTTGTCAAATGTTTGTATTGAAGCCCAAACAAATCGGACCATTTTAATAAAGCATTTTAATTTAAACTTATCGCATTAAGTTCATCGATGTTGTTATCACACTAGTTAACAGCCGCAAAACCCCCAAGCCAATGATACAAATTTCTGGTAGAGTTCGACTTCTAGACTACGTGTGTACCACTAATTATTGGAAAACGTTTACTTGCTTAGCATACCGGGGCAGTTGACAAAGATCTGGCCCGATTTCAACTACAGTAAACAGTAAACTAGTTGCGTATCAGCAGTTGACTGCTGGGCGGAGGGGTAATAATGTCAATGTTGAAATTGCCCTCTTCAGTATTTGTTGGTATGAATGTGTTTACAGTAAAAGAAAGGGGCCTCTGCCGAATAAAATGCAACCCTCTTTAGTCGTAGCAATCACACAATTCCGAGTATTTTGTCACAGATGATCAAACATCAGGACAAACAAATAGTTAATATGTTGGTCATTTGTTGTTTGCCATTAAGGCTTATTGAAGTAGCTCTTTTATTCCGTCTTCTGATACTTTGGATTGTTCTTGTTTTTACTTCAATCAATAAATTGAGCTAGCATATGTCTCCATTGCCAGTAAACATCCACCGACTCATTTATATGATTCAATTTAATCTTATGTCGTCCCTTCAACTTAATTAATTTCAAAGTTCTTCCTAACGCCACAAGTATAAAACTTATAATTTAATGCGCTGGTCAAACAATAGGTTTAGATGACTAAATAAACATTTATACTTATACATACTTATAACATAGTTAAAGCTAGTGTCGCCAAGTTTTAATTTATGTCATATTTAATTCTTGAATGTGTGCAATTAGTTTTGTCTTAAACTGCGTGGCACTAACAATATTTTTTAAATCGTTTGGAAGTTGGTTCCGTAACCTTATTGCGTTAATAAAGTATTCCCGCTCAGAGAGCAGAAATCTGGGACTTATTAGAGTAGTAATGTTTGCTCTTTAGTTTTTTATAAAGATTAATATTTGTAAGTAAACTAACACTATTATTTTCATCCAGTCTGCCAAATGGAGTGCAAATATTTTGTACGCAAATCTAGCGACATGATTGAGTCGGTTCAGATTGAGAAAAAATTTGGAATAGGAAACTTTAACTTTGTGTTGGATGGTTTAATTACATTCCGCAAATACTTCAATTGCATAAAAAAGTATTTTGCGTATGTTTTTAGGCAAAACGTTTTTAACAGAAGATATTGATCTAAGCAATACATTCGTCTTTCCTACAGCTCAATTTAATATTTCCTGTTTTCATTTTTTATCATCCTATTAGAGCTATATAAAATAGTCGTCCAATCCGGCCCGTTAATGCAATACAAAAAACATACTTTTGGGAAGGTTTAATTTAGATAGCTATAAATCGATAACCAAGTTTGCGTCTCTCCATAGCTTATCAAGAATTTTTATACTTTATATGGTTAGAATTGTCTCCTTAACTGAGCTGCAAACTTGCGAATGAAATTAAATTGCTATAGTAATTTTAATTAACGCCATCCGCCTATGGAACAATCTACCACATAATCTGAAAACCATCAGAAGCGCGCCTCAGTTCATTTCAAAGGTAAAAGAATTTCTCCGAACCTAAAGATTGTTGCAACTTATGTTAAAGTAATTATTTTCTTGTCAAACTTTGTAAAATTGTAAACTGATAATCAAACTCTAATTTTTAATATTTGTTTATATTTAAGTATTCCCTGACTGATTTCAAACCCATTGTGACTAACGCAATAAAAAAAAATATGTCTGTACTTGTAGCGTTAGGATATTAATAAATGAAAATGGAAATTATATAGATATAGAAAGGGTGGGTATCGAATTCCAAGTCTTTACTTTTCCAAATCGTGATAAGTGTATTTTTAATTTTTATGTGGTTAAAATAAGAGAACCTCAGAGTCGAATATCAATTAATGTACAAGTATTTTAAATATTTGTTTTAGACTTACAATATTCGGCCGACGTTTCGCACCCAAATTCCCACGATAGTACATCGGATGGCAACTCTGAACATAATTCATCTGGAGACGAAGACTCACAAATGCGGTTGCGGCTAAAAAGGAAATTGCAGCGCAATCGGACTTCATTTTCCAATGAGCAAATTGACAGTCTCGAAAAAGGTAATTATATTTAAATTACGCTTAGCTTTCGATCTATAGACTCTTTTTCTCGACACCAGTACCAATAGATATTAGGAAATTAAAAAAAAATATTATGCTTCTTATACCCTTGCAGGGGTTATTATAATTTTAGTTTGAAGTTTGCAACGCAGTGAAGGAGACATGTCCGACTCTATAAAGTATATATATTCTCAATCTAGTGAGTCGCTCTAGTCATGTCCGTCTGCCCGCCCGTCCGTCCGTCCGCTTCTACACAAACTAGTTTCTCAGTTTTAACGCTGTCTGAAAGAAAAACAGTTTTATTATTATTGTATGAGTGAGAAGAAGTTTGGTGGGACGACTTTATCATATAGCTCCCATACTTTGGTGTATTTTTGAAGTAATTACATACTATTTCAGAACTACGGTTTTGATTTCATAAAATCGGTCAACGATATTATATCAGCTAAAGGAACAATCAAAAAATTCAGCCGAGAATCGTTGAATCATTGGTTCCATTTTATATACGCATAAAAATCGAAATATAGTCGATTTGTAGAATTCTTAAATTGTGTATGAGCTGCAAGGGTATATAAACTTCGGCTTGCCGAAGTCTGCATCCATTCTGCAATAAACCATATCAATCTAAGTGGTTATCGTTCAAATCGACTTGCCTAGTAATAACAAAGAGTATGTTCATAAATTTGAACATGTACATTTCTCTTTTTAAAAAGTTTATACATTTCCCTTCGTGTTCTCAAAATAGTTTCCCATTTAGCAAACAAAATGATCCCTTTATTAATTCCAAATTGTTCTATTTCACAAAGGCAAAGATAAATAAATAGAAATATTAATATCGCTAAATTCCGATTTCTATGTTAAGATTGAAACCGCTAGTTATACTAAAAGTGATCTACGTTTAAACAATTAACAAATAACATTTAGCTTAAGCATACTAGGCAATGGACCGAATTAGTTTCAGACTTAACTTGATTTAAATTTAACTTCTATCTGTACCTTTGTTTGACATGCATTACAGAGTTTGAACGAACACACTATCCGGATGTTTTCGCGCGAGAAAGACTTGCAGATAAAATTGGTTTGCCAGAGGCACGTATTCAGGTTTGTCTTTCAGTTTTGTTTAATTATCTTCTGTTTGTAGCCCTGTTTTGCAAGACTCAATTTTTATACATTTTTGTGAAATTTTTAAATTTATTATCGATCCAAAGATTATGTACCATTTTTATTTGTCACACATCGAAAGAGATTACAAAAATGAATAAAAAAGCATTTCAAATTAAAACAGGTGCATATGTGCATGATTTGTCTTATAAAATCAGAAATGGAAATCTAATTCAAAAAAGAAAATATAATAATAATGCCGCGGGATTTGAACTCACGCTTCCAGATGTCTGGCCAACTTCTAAGCTATTCGCTTGGAGGCGCCCCCGATATCAACTTGTGACTTTAACGCTCAACCCAGGTTCGAACTCCGAAAATCGATACATTCGATTGTCGGTGCCGAAACGACCCTGATTTCAGCCAATTGAACCTATTTAGAGTCAAATTACATTTTAAAACCACGTAATGACACTTTCACACTCTTATAGCATCAAGATGATCCCAAAAAACTGATACAACGCGTAGTTTCAAAACGAACCGCACTTGTTAAATTGACACTCAGTGATTTTTTTAGATGTAACACAGCATCAGCAACAAAAACAAACGTTTAACGCTTCCAGAATTCTGGCTATTCGGTTAGAGGCGAACTTTAAACTTCGAAAATCGAAACAACCAATTGTTGGTGCCGAAGTGACACTGATTTCAGTCAATTGATCATATTTAATGTCAAATAACATTTTTACACCTGCGTAATGACCTTTCGACACTCATACAAGATCAATGAACCACACCTATCAAATTGACACAAGTTTTAGGCCTACCCCAGAATAAAAGGGTATATTGAATTCGCTGAAAAGTATGCAACAGGCAGAAGGAAGCGTTTCCAAACATATAAAGTATAAATGTTCTTGATCGCGAAACCTAAACTTTGATTGTATGGTAGGAGAAATACTTAGATTGAAATTTGTTTGGCTGAGCGACAAGTCGGGAAACTCGACTGTATCGTTCTCTCTTGATCTGAGTGTGGTGATTTAACTCGCAATTTTCGTAACTGAATTCTGTAACGTAATTGCGAAGCATTTTAACTCCAGGAGTCAAATTTAAGCTACGGAACGGACGATTAGGAAGTCATCCCTCAAACTTGCTATTCACCCCAGTGGCTCTTGTGTTGTATATAACAAATGTTTTTGTCGTCAGAGTGAGATGAAATATTCAACGTTACGCTCTTGATTATTTGTTTAAGTGAATAAAAACAATTTGACTGTAAAAATACTTGAAACTCCTTGCGATTTTGAGTAGTAATGACGGGGGCGAATTCGAATTTACAAAGTCTGAAGGACTTAGCAGGGAAACATGTCAGCTGGAGAGGGAGCTGCAACAATAACGCTGAGCAATAAATGTCATGGTGAAAAAATATTAAAGTATAAAAGTATTGTGATCCGTTTTCACCCCTTTGTCTTCACGCTAAAATTTCAGTGGGCTTTATTCCGCCTGTAATGTGTGTGATGTTGCAAGTAAAACCGCATTCAGAGGGTGTCTCTGCTTTCAAACTCAACTGCGTGACCAAAGTAAAAGGTTCATTAGACTGTGAGTGTTTGCTTCTTAATAACAGAAAATATATACATTTTTCCAATATGAACTTGACATTCCGCTTATCACTTGAGCAATATCATTATGGACTCAAACAAATATTTTTCTATAATATAGAAAATAGCCTTTGATTTCGGCTTTGATTTATATGAATAGTTTTACTTATATTTTTTCCTAAAATCTGAAGCCAAATAAATTATTTTCTATTTTTAATAAAACGAGAAATAAAAATTAAAAAACATTAAATTTCCTTATTTTTCCGATTGTTCCTATGGTATGGATATATGTATATTCGACATATATTCTACCTGCAATAAAAAAACAACATTTGATAGGGTTTCATGCAAATTTCTTTAAAACTGAGGGACTAGTCTGGGTAGAAACGGACGGACATTGCTACTCTCCTAACGATGCTGATCAAGAATATATATACTTTAAAGGGTCGCAAATGTCTTCTTCACTGCCTTGCAAACTTCTGACTGAAATTATAATACCCTCTGCAAGGGTTCAAAAAGGGTGTAATATTTTTCATGCATTTCATCATTAAAAAGTGATATGAACACAATTCCAAAAAAAAAAATAATATTGCCAATTGGAAAAAAAAATCAACAAAATTACATTTGACCCGAACTTGATTTAGAAAAATTGTTAATTTGGTACGTTTAAAAAAAAAACCTTAACCCCTCCGGTTTGGAAAAATCCAACTCATGATATATATTATATATATAGTGGTATATAAACGACGGCTCGCCTAGAGACGCTGATTAAAAATGAAGAATGGCTAGTGCTACCAAATTTGGGGAAAACAAAGAAAGTCAAAGAAAGGTTATAAAAATATTATAAAAAGTGCCAGTCACTAATGGGGATTTTGGGACTTTCGTGCTAAAGTTTTGTGTTGAAAGCAAAAAATCCTTATCTTGAATGAGTATCTAAACGTTTAAAATAATGGTTTAAAAAACTTTTGTATTCTTTTCTTTAAAAAAAAATTGTTTTATTTGTCACATTTTCACAAGACAAATAGAAAATATGTAAAATACCTTCTGTCAACATGGTTTTTTTTTATAAAGCAGACAGTCGTTTTCGCTACAGTAAATCACTGTTCCTTTAAGATTTGTTTTTTTTATTTTGAGCGAGCTGTGATTTTAAGCACATCAAGTAGAAATTAGTTTCCTAAAAATTAAATTAAATACAGACTTGGAATCAATGTTTATTTATTTAAAAAAAACTGTTAATTCAATCTAATTCAGACGTAATAGTTTACTTGACTTCCAGCCTAGTATTTTTATTTACAACTTGCATTTTATATTTCTGTATGTATCACAACCACTTTTAGTTAATTAAGTTTGTTTCTGTTGTATCTCAAAATGAAAGCCAAGCTAAACGTTGTTACTAAATTGCGTTATGGAATATTTTAATTAGGTTTGGTTCTCGAACAGACGGGCCAAATGGCGCAGGGAAGAAAAAATGCGGACTCAGAGACGCTCTGCTGACACCGTAGGCGGCAGTGTTCGCGCAGCTAACAGTACGGCTAACAATCCTCCAGGAACAGCTGCGTCTTCCTCCGCCGCAACGTCGAACAACTCGACGCCCGGCATCGCCAGCTCAGCAATCAACGGGTCGGAAAGGGCATCATCGGCCATCATTGGCAACAGCCTACCGGAAACCCCAAATGGACCAACTGTAAGAATGTTTTTTGTTGTTCCAATTGACTTTACATTGTGAACATTGCCCATAATAGGTTCTAGGTGGAGACGCCAACACTGCGCACACGAACTCCGAAAGTCCGCCGCTCCAGGCAGTGGCACCGCGGCTACCATTAAACACTGGCTTCAACACCATGTACTCATCTATCCCGCAACCCATAGCAACGATGGCTGAGAATTACAAGTACGTTTCCAAACTTATTGTGTCTGTGCTCTGTTTTCTAATCCGTATAGAAGGATTCAATATTTAAGCTCAAAATTATTCAAATATGCTTTTCAAACAGATTTTGATTTGCTTTTCAACTCAACTTAAATTCAATTAAAAAAAAAACACCACAGAGGAAGAAAACTTCGTATTTTATACACCCTCGCAGCTATTACAAATATTAAATATTCTATAAACTAAATCCCTAGTTATTGATCCCCACAAATTTCTTTAAGAAACATATATAAACGTAAAAGTAAGATGTATTTATTTATTTATTTATTCGCCAATGGATATATCCTTATCTGGCTATCAGCTAAATTAACTTAAAACTAAGTATTAATTTAAAAAAATTCCCTAAGTAATTGCCTAAGCACATCCTTCTTGGATCCCCAAACCAATCGAATACTTAGTGGCAAAGAGTTAAAAAGTCTCAAAGTTCTTAAGATTGGCTCATTACGCGCATAGTTAGTCCTCGCAGCACTTTCAAAAAATGGGATGATGGTACGGAGACTCCTGGCAGGGATATTGAATTTAATTGAGCTTAACATTAATGGACTTCTATATTACCAATTATAACATCATTGATAAAGAGCATGCTCGCTATCGAACGGCGATCTTCTAGACTGCAGGTATGCAGTATGCAACATTGGCTAGAGTGAGCTGGCAAAGGTTCCGAAAAGTTTAACGGCTGAAGTGTAAATTTTAGGTACTTTTTCTGCAGCCTCTCAATTCTATTGATATGAACAACACTCGACGGGTTCCAAATAAAGGAAGCATATTCCACTCTTGAACGCACAAAAGCTGAGAACACTGTCAGTCGTGAGTAAGGGTCCTTAAAAAGTACAGTGTTTCTTTTGACAAATCCGAACATTGCATATGCCTTCGGCAGAACATGGTTCATATGGTTAATAAACAATAATTTACTGTCGAAGAGGACCCCAAGATCCATAATCTCAGTAAGTGCAGAGAGTGAATGGTTATTGATAACATATGTAGAAAGAATATTTAAGATACATTTACTATAGCGAACAACATAACATTTATTTAGGTTGAGAGGTAATTTAGACACAAACATTGATGCCATTTATCTTGTGAGCTAGTAACTAGATTATTATATGGATTTTTTTATGGGGTCTAATACGTAACTATTATGGTTGACTATTCACAGCTCATCACTAGGATCGATGACACCGTCATGCTTGCAACAACGAGACGCCTATCCCTACATGTTCCACGATCCGTTGTCACTAGGGTCTCCGTATGTGCCACCCCACCACCGAAACACCGCATGCAACCCTGCGGCTGCGCATCAACAGCCACCCCAACATGCGGTTTACGCGAACAGCTCGCCGATGCCATCATCCAATACAGGTATGGCCGTGGATAGGTGTTTAGTGGAGTACAAATAATAATAGTCTAATGTTTGGCAGGTGTCATTTCTGCAGGCGTTTCGGTGCCTGTCCAGATTTCAACGCAAAATGTATCTGACTTGACGGGAAGTAATTACTGGCCACGTCTCCAGTGATCGTCAATTTTTAACTTGCCATCAGATCTTCTGTCGAAGGCGACTGCCGCTGCAATTGCTGCCGCACATGCAGCTGAAGGAAAGCATCATCACCAAAAAGCGCATTCAGTTGATAGTATGCAAAATACAAATAGCAACATTAACCCACCTAACTTGAGTAGCCAGACAATGTGCTGTTCACCAAGATATTTAAGCATGAACGTGGGGGCGGGGAAGGATGCGGATGTGGCTCAATGTCCTGTAGTTCCCGTATCACCACGTAATTCGGCGAATTCGGAACTGTTTGGCAGCCCAAAGGCGAGCTACCATCGGGATTTTCATATAATTTAAAGGGTGAAGAAGTCGAACCGTACCGTCTTCGTTACACTCTTAAATTATTAATAAAGCGTTTGCCAGCCAACCATTTAAAATAAAATTCGTTTCAAACTACACTCAGTGCAAAATTGTTTAACTTACATTATCTTTTAGTTTTTTACTGATACTCTTGTTACTTAACAAAATTTAAGTCCTATCTGGAAGTGATCCACACATCGTTCAATAAAACACCAATTTTAGATATAATTACAATTCCGTATCCGCAAAATATTGTATTAAAGCTTTTTCAAATTTGATATTTATTTTTAAAAGACAAAATATGGCTTGCAGTGGACGTATATATTTTTTTAGTTTTTTTAACTCAATTAACAAGTCTCTTTCTCCATGATTTTATGAATAACTGAATTACTCATTAAATGCGAAACTTGTTTATTAAGTTAAAAGGTAAATTGTTCTGTAATAAAGTAATAACCGTTTTAAGAAAAATTTAATTAATTTTACAAGAAAGTGCTGTTTTTTATTATTTTGTAACTTATACTGATTTAAATTCAAATTTCAGTCATTTGATCATTATTTGAATACCTTTAAGATATTTCAAAACAATAAACAGTTTTAAAGGAACTGCTAAACTTAGCTTACTGTGAAATATTGTTATTATTTCCCAAGCTTTTTTTTGAGATCGAAACATAAAGCTTACCCACCGAATATTAATGTCAAATAGCTTAAATAGAAGTCCATGCGGATACGAACAGTTGTATGCCTATCTTTAATTTCTATTATTTTTTATCAATTTTAATTTGAAAATGTATATTTTTTCTTTTATACAAATTTTATTAAAAGCTGCGCCATAAATTGAAATACCATCAAAAGTACATGTACATACATACATACATATATATATATATATATATATATATAAATTACAATGAAGATAATAGCACTGGCTTACAAATTTTAATCGGTGAAGTTCTCCAGTGGTCAAACCTTGAATTTCCGGTGCAGATGGAATCCCTGATTTAAAAAATGAAACTTAAAATTTGTTGTATGTTACCATGTTTTTAAAGTGTATATAACGTTTTTCACCGGCTTACCTGCCAAATTTATTTTTTATCTTGTTGTGTTCAACCGTTTTCGGTCATCCATAGCTTTTTTTTACTAGAAATAGACCATTCTTGAACTTTCCCATACATGTTTTTAGGATAGGTTTTCTAATATAGATGCTAGCGCTCGACAAAATTTAAATAAATAAATTCTTAAAAAGAAATGAAGCAAATTTCGACAAGTCGAAGTTCATATACCCTTGCAGCTATTTCAAAAATTAAATTTTCCTGAAAACATTAAAATTATGATTAACTTGCGTATATGTCTAAAAACATTGAAGCTATGATGATTTGCAGCTCAATTATTTGATAGTTCCTATGGCAGCAATATGATATCGTTTTTCGCTTTTAAGAAAATTAAAAGCGTAATTCTGATCTACCAAATTATTAATAAGCCAAAAAGTATTTACAAAAAAATTTTTAAATAAAAAAGTTAATGTAACTAAATACATTTTTTATATATATTTTTATTGTTCTGATGGGAGCTTTATGCTATAGTCGTCTGATTTTGATGAATTTTAAACCGTTGTTCTAAAATATTTAATCATTACTTTATGTCGAAGAACTACAAAAAAATTGTAAAACCAAGAAACTGAACAAGATCGATCAAGAATATATATACTTTATAGGGTCGAAAATGTCTCCTTCACTGCGTTGCAAACTTCTTCTGCAAGGGTATACATATAAAAAACTCATGACAACTGAAAATAATTTTATTACTTTATCTTTAAGATGGAATCTTACACGAATCTTACAAGTTATTGAACTCAACATTCCGCCGGTAGATTGATTGTATTCGAATTGTTTAAGCTTGCAAAACGGTGGTTTTTGGGCTGTGAGCGGCTGTAAAGCATAAGTTAAGTGCTATGTACAGTCGAAAAATACCCTTTTTTGGGAAAAAGTAAAATCAGTATAATATCGGTTCACCGGCGGATTGTTGAAGCTGAAAGCATGTTAGATAAGTGAATGTTTCATTTTTAAGGTATGATCAAATAGTTTTCGCTTTTCAGGCGTGTATTTTTAAAGAATTAATTTATGTTGCCGTTCAGTTTAAACAATTTATTCAAACTTTGTCGAGCTCAAGCATCTATTTTAGGAAACTTATCCTTATAAAATGTATCTGAAAGCTAACGAATGATCAATTTCTAGTGAAATAGGCAATCGAGGCCCGAAATCGGTTAATCAGAATTGGAGATAAAAAATAAAATGAACATGAAAACATGGAAATACGTTATTAACACATAAAGAAATGGTAAAAATCAGGGAGTCCATCTGCACCGGAAAATTAAGGTTTGGTCTCTGGAGGATTTCATCGATTAAAATTTGTAAACCAGTCTAAGCGACCACTTGTTAATAGTTTTTGTAAGACGGCTCAAGGTAATGTGATTGTGGTGAAAATTAAAAACACAGGACTATAATTTATTATTTCTGATATATTTAAAAGGCTGAACCGCTGAGGTGGAGTTTCGTAGGAGTACCAGAATGTTACCCAGATGTGTCAGAACCAAAATTGGCAAAAAAAAAAACACAGTTTTATAATTTTCACCACCATCGCATGACCCCGAGCCGACTTCCAAAAACTATAATATTTAATTATGATTGCAAATATACGTTTTTACCTTGTAATGACACATTTTATAAAACTCAACGATTGTTGTTTTAACAAAAGAATAGGAATCGGCCAGCCGATGTTTTTATACCCTTGCAGTTATACCAAAAATGATAATGATAATCCTGTAATATTTTCGGAATTAAACAACTGACCAAACACAACGAAGATATAAACATTGGTCCTTGTTGATCTGTTTTATAATAAAATATAAAACAATGCTTTCGTTCAATAGAGATGTCTAATTAGGCCCATTAAGTGAGATTATTAAAAGATGTATACTTTAAAGGGAAGACATAATCTTCGCTGCCTTAAACAAATCGAAAATAAATAATAATTCTGCAAGTGTATAAAAATAACCTATAATGAGAATTCGTAATTTATGAACATATATGCACATACAAATATTTATCTATATTGTATATAAGTAAAACCCCATTATAGGTATTAAACAGTATTTCCAATTTAATCGGTATTTATTAATTAACATGTTTCATGTTTTGCCAACATGTTTTGTGAAATTAAATATTTCTTAAATATTATTAATTTTTAGCAAGCGCGGCTATTAAGAAATTTACACACATATAGTTTTCAGAAAATTAAGTTCGAGTAATGTCAGAATATTAGTTATTCCAACATGTCGTTAAATACCATTGTATAAGGATACTTAAGTTATTGCACTAATATTTAAAACAACTAAGGATCGAAGAGAATTGCAACGAACATGATTCCTACTGAGGAAATACGTCAACATCTCATCCAGATAAACACACCTCCCCAAAAAGAGCCTTCAGGTTGATATAATACAATTTGTAGGTTTATTATGTATGGTTCAAATTTATATTTAAAACAAATTAATGTAAAACTTTAGAATATGCAGATGTGTCTGATGTTCTTAAGAAGGATTTAATAAAATCGTAAATCAATGTACAAGATGTTTTTTATTTATTTATTTTTTATATTAATTTATATAATTCATATAAATTTGTATAAAATTACAATTTCGGAAGGACTACTACTGTTTACTACTTACTTAGAGATCGCTTCATAGCTGCAGGAGACTATAATGCTGAACATACGCACTGGGGATCACGTCTCGTGACTCCCAAAAGAAGGCAATTGTATAAAGCATCATAAAACTGAGCAACAAATTGGACTACGTTTCCCTTGGTTGAAGAAGTCCCTGAATCAATAGATTTTGCGGTGACAAAAAACATGCCACGCAACATAATAAACACCAAAGTGTTTTCGGACCTTTCATCTGACCATTCGCCAGTGCTAATAACTCTTCTTTAAAACCCAAAAACCACAGACCACCCCCACAAAAGTATGTAACTAACCCCCACATTGAACTAACCCCGCAGCTCAACATCGAAGCAGAAATCGGCTGCTCTGCCGATGCTCTTCAAGATATACTCGTGGCAGCAGCTACTATTTCAACACGAAAAAGGAAGGTCAAAACTAATCTACAAGTTGTACAGCTTGTACTGGAAACCAACATATCGCCATCTTCAGAACAACTACGGTACATCGAAAACCTTTTGCCAACCAATGCAAAATATGCTCTGTGGAGGACTCACCCAAATCTGAGCTCCCCAATCCAACTCCAACAAGAAGCCGAAACTTTTGCTTCACATCTCCGAAGAGTCTTCCAGTCGAACTCAGCCACTGGTCTAGTTGTGTTACCACAAACCTAATCCAAAACTAATTCTATACTAACGCTGTTTCAGCCAAAGGAGATCGCGAAAGTCATCGGGGAACTGAAACCGAAAAAGGCTCCGGGCGGTGACCTAATAACCCCAAAAATGATAATTGAACTTCCAAACTCTGCTATCGAGGCTATCGCAAACAACCTTCTTCAATGGGATAGTACGTCTCGGCTACTATCCTAGAAAATGGAAAAAATCTACTATCATAATGATACCGAAACCCGGCAAAGACCACTTAGTTCCGTCGTCCACTCAGATGTGGTTTACAAATTGGTTAAGCTTATGCTCGAAGAAAATTGTGAAACAATGAAAACTTATAACATGATGTAAAAATCGTTTTATGGAATATTCAATTTTTGAAAAGTCTGCAAGGGGACTTTTTTTATAATTTAATTTTCCTCGCGAGTTATGAAATGCACTTTGAAAAGTTAGCCAGCTCATTTTTAGAGAGTTTTTTATAAAAGTGATTTTTATGAATCCTTCCCAATTTACTGAATACTTTGTAGGCACACATGCAAACATTATTTTTGCAACGTTATCCGTTTGCAGTAATCCCGAACGTTAAAGAAAGTTTTACACAGTTTACAGTTGTATATTTCTTCAAATATATTACACGCACGTATACACACATAGATTAAAGTACTATAGTTATCATTATAAATGTGACTTAAGGAATACAAGTAGTAAGACTGGTGCATAATTGCGTTTTCAGAGTTAGTCCGACTTTCTTATGTTTATATGTAGGTACATACATATGCACAATAGTGGCCTCGGATTACTTGAATAAGATACGTTTTTATACCCTTGCAAAAAATGAAGAGCCACTACGAAAATAATAAGATGTTAGTTGTCTCTCTGTTTATTCTTAGTAGGCAAATTTGCATAAAAAGCATTTGTTTTACAAGTACTCTATTGTTCCACTCGGCTTATTATGTAAATACATTTTCGATTGTTTTTAACACAATGTGGGTCAGAGGTACCTACTTATACTTGACATTATAATTATAATTTATTTTGAAACATGGATACGTGAAATTCGGTGTGCCGAACATACGGCTTCCCTGTATATAAACGCTAAAATTATCAATTCTTATCTTAACAAAAATAATTATCTTTTTTTAACTTGAACTTCGTTTTGTATGGGAAAATTTTGTGCGATATGTAGTTATGTTAGTTGGATGATTAAGTCTTTTAATCAAAAAATGTATTTCAAGATTATTTATGAACATATCCACTGCATACATTTTAAATATTTTTGCATAGAGACTTTTTCTGCACAACCATTGGAAATATATACCAACCCAAAAATATACATTTTGATTTTAACAAGCAAATATACATACTTAAGAAAGCCAAGATTTGCAACTTTGCAACTTGTAAAAAAAAATATGTATTCTTTAAGACTTTTATTTCTTTTTATTCGTTATCTTAAAAAAAATGAGGCTGGGTCGATTTCCGGATGAAATTTTTTATTATTTTATGGCAGCTATATAACTTTGTAGTCCGATTTTTACAAAATTAAGAGGAGCTTCTCCTTTTTTGGAATAAGTTGTGGCATGATAAAAAGACTTTCAATCTTGCGGCTTTTATGTTGAAAGTCATGTTTATTGTACACTAATGAACACTAACTCGTTTTCAAACGAAGAGGCCAAATAAATATTAAAATGGAGTCGTTTCTTCTTATAGCCTTTACATGCTAAACACCGTCAAAGAATTTAAAGTGCCTGTCTCTTGTAGTGAACGGATTCGAAAACAGTCTATTATTTTTTCAACTTGATAAAGGTCACTATGGCTTTATGGTATTGAGTTTTGAGCAAAAATAATTTAAATGTCAGCGAATAAAGAAAGATATTTTTTTGACTTAACCTTGAACGGACTAAGTTGAAACCAACGGATGAAAAACATGGTTTTTTAGAAAAACGCAATAATAGTTTTTTAAGTGGAACTCCCCTTAAAAGAAAATTTAAGATTCATGTTCACCGACTAATTTATCATTATTTTTCTTTGAAAATATTTTCTGACACACTTCAAAAGTTGTACATAATATGTTGTTGACTTAAATAAAATTAAATTTTAAATTTAAATTTAAATTTAAATTTAATTAAATTTAAATTTAAATAATTATGTTGTCTCCGATAAGCTTAAGTTCATATACCCTTGCAGACTTTACGAAAATTGTTAGCTTATAAATTGTGAGCTTATAAAAATGTATATAAAAAGAAAAACAAAGTTCATTGTGTAATACATTAAAAAACAGAAAAAATGAAATTTCTTTAAAAAACTAACATTTCTATTTTTGATGATCGTTTTCCGATTTCAATAAATTAAAACTATAATTCTAAAAAAAATAACCATTATCTCGAAGCATCTTCAAAAATTTTAATCAGATTGAAACAGTAATTCTGGTAACAAAAATTTAAAAACAGCTAAGTTATAATTGTTGTTTCATTTCCTCCGATTGTTCCTATGGGAGCTTTATGATAAAGTCCTCCAAAATACTTATGTACCTGCAATAGGAAGGCAACTTTTGGAAACTCCATGCAGAAGAACTAAGAACTAAGAGACTATTTTGATTACAAACGGACAGACGGACGTGGATTTTGTAGTATTTCAAATACTACGACGACTTGAATTGAGATTGATAAGGTTACAGTTATAATAAGCCTTGGTATCAACAGAACACTTTTCTAATGAGAATTTCATTGTTGTCGCATTGGTCATGTGCGTGTGAACAAGAAAATGTTTAGGAATAAGCTTTAGGTCTTATTGCTATTGTTTAACAAGATAAATGTATATTGTTAGGTTATCAAAAATTTCACATTCAGTCTTTTAATAAATTTTCATTTTATATAATCTTGGGTCCTGTACTTGATCGAGCACAAATTGAAACCAAATTGTTTAACAAAGCAACAGATGTGTATTTTGGGAATTTTGTTAGTCAAGTTGTATGATTTTAATCTCCAACATAAAGAGAATAAATTAATACAAATATTTAATATATTTACGTCAGCTAGAAGATGTTTTAAACTCATCTATACACTACATTTGGCGTAGCAACATTCTAGTCAAAGTAATATATTGACTAAGTTTCATTATAGTTATCTTTTTAAAAAAAATCAAACAGGAAGAATATTGAAAATGTGTAAACAAAAAAAACAGCAATTTGGTAGCTGGATAGTTTTGGTACCTTATCGAGTTTTAGTTTTTATAATAAGAGCGACCCCAACACCAATTAGGAAAAGAAATTAACTAACTCTATCAAAAGGAAAACATCAACTAAATTAGACGAATTATTAAAAGGGAAGGGTTCTCAAGCCGTGATAACATTTGTCGAAAAGATAAGGTCTCTGTTAAAAAATTTAGTTTTCTTGAGCGTTAGCACTAACACTACTATCGAGTATCGAGTACACAAAAATCTATCCTATTTGAAAAATCAAAAAAATCTCTTCCAACCCAATTCGGTTGAAACCTGAAAGTTATTCATTTGTGTCATTTGACATTGTAAATTTGCAATTCGGTACATCATTTGTCCACTTCAACCCAATTGGGATGGAACAGATTTGTGTGTATTAGTTTTTTTTAAATTTAATTAAGCAGTAGGGAAATTTCACTCGTATATATATATTGTTTTCTGTAAGCGAAGCCTTTGATTGATAGTAAGGGTTGGCCCACGAAAAGTTGCGTTTTAAAATGTTTTGTTTTATTGATATCTCCAACATGGCGGTTTATTTGTAGAAGACCACTTCATTCGTATGGCTGGTTTTGGAGTACGCTGTTTTTAAGCTAATTTTTCAGGCAGTTTTGATAGTATGGTCCTCAATGTCGACTTTACTCTCGTGCTTAAGTTCGTCATTCGTCTCTGAATGGTTGGTATATCACCTATCCTTACCCCAAAAAAAATGTTCCAACGGCGTCAAATCCCAGCTTCAAAGCGACCAGTTTTGACATCCACTTCGTCTGATTGATCGATTTTCCAACGTTAGGTGCTGAAGCTCGACTGTAACATTCATCTTCCAATCGGGGGAGGAAAAGGTTCTCCAAATGCCGAGACAGCATGTTACGGCGGCTCCTGATTCGTTTTCGAAGAGCCACATACCACACCTTTAGTTGTGACTGTGGGTGGCAATTCTTCTTATTGACTTAAACAACAAGCTGGTAATGAGCTTCAACTAAATATATGATTTTTCGGTAAAAATACTCATCTTTGGCCAGGAGCTCGTCGGCCGTTTGCGCGAACTGAACACGCATAAAGCGGTCTTCCACAAATAACGGCAAGGTTTATTATTGCAAAACTGAACAAATCAGTCAAGGGCGAATCGATTAAGGTTTTAGCAGTCAAAATAATGAACTTAAAACAACAATATGTTTATATACCCTTGTAGGTCGTGCAAAAAGTGATCTTCGACAAGTAAACCGCAAAGTAAGGAATATTCAATAAAAACGAAAACAGAAGCTTTCTTCGGCAAGTTGAAGCCCTTGCAGTCTAGGCTATAAAAAAAGCGATAAAACCAAATTTATCAAGTTTTGAAAAGATTAAAAAATCTAAATTTTACAATAAGCGAATAATAGGCATGGAACTGTATGGTCAAAAACAGATATATGGCATCTATAAGATATAGTTATAGGTATGATGGCATATGCTATAAATATTATAGAAAAGCATTTTAGGGCTAAGATCAGCGATTTATACTCAAACTTAAAAGAAAACATCAAATCCTGAAATTTTAACAGACTGACAAACTCGGTTAGTCATGCCGATCAAGAATATATATGCTTTATAAGGGTCGGAAATTTCTGTTTCACTGCAATAAAAACTGAACAATTTTATAATACCACCCTGCAAGGATATAAACAGATACGATAAGTATCTAACCCTTTTTTATCGCCATTTTAAGACGCAACTTTTTTGTGGAGAACCTGTATTTTAGCATTATGTTATATCATTTATATGGGACACAATAAAAAAACAAAATAGGACAGTAGAGCAGTAGTATAATTTTATAAATATTATAATGTTAGCTCTTTTTTATAATCTGTAATAAATTCTTGTGCCACAAATTTTTGCAATAAGTATTTAGGAGCTCTATTATTTTACATAGCACATTTTGGACCACGGATATAAAACAAACAATTTAACAATAGTTAATTGAGAAAAAAATTATATATAATATAAGATTGCAATAGGAACTTTTATTAAAAAAGAAAATATATATAAAAACGAAGCACTCTGCATTTATATTTGCAAGAGTAAGTAATCCTCGGCTATTTGAAGTTATATTTCAATTGATTATACATCTCTTTATTGGGATATCGATTTGGTGGGATTTTTTTGTGCATATCAGATTATTTTATTTTTGAATTAGCGGCTGCCAGTCATGTAAGTCGTGGTGAATTGTGAATTTAGTATCGTATTATCTCGAACCTTCATAGCTATTGCGCATTTCAGTATATATGTACAATGCATACACTATTAAACTATGATTATTATTCATTCATTAATGTCATAATCTTCATTTATACATACATACACAAATACACGAAATATATAGTCTAAAACATTTACGTACTACAATTTTATTCCCTTAATATCATAAGTAACTTTTTATAATAGCGATAAATTGACCAGATGAAATGTTGAATCAAAAAATTTCAACTATTTACCTTTTATCTATCGACTTTCTCAAAGTTTAAAAAATAATGAAATCATGTTAGAACTAAATAAATGTTACAATACAATTTGATTTTTATTGATAGTTTTATACATTAGTACAATGAATAAGAAATGTACAAAAATTAAGAAAGGCTTTCCTTTATAAATTATACTTAGATATAAAGCATAAAACAATAATGCACATAAAACAAAATGTTGAATATTACAAATTCAAATAAAATAATTAAATTAACTATATAATTACGATCAATAAAATAAACCTCAAAAAATTTGAATTTGGGTTAAATGTTGTTTGATAGGTTTATGATCACGTACCATTTTAATTTTTTTATTTCTATAGAAACTTTTTTGAACACGATCCTTAATTTCAATTTCGTTTTGGAATATCATCGGTTAAATTAACAGTGCTACAATTTGTTTTATGAGAACCGGTTTGTGTTCAAATAAAATATGCTCAAATCATATAATTTTAAATTACATTTCTTTAAAGTTAACATATATAAAGTGAATACCACACAAGCGTCATTCATATATATAACTGTGATAAATGAAAGAGAGCCCGGGTATCTAATAGTCGGGTCAAACAATTATTCTGTCCATTCTTCTGTATTGCGTTTCGTCTTTGAAAGTTTTTCAAACTATTTTATAAACCCTCTCAGATTAACATTAGTTTAACTTTGATCATATTTTGCGGTTTTGAGAAATCATTTACAACAAAACACATATCAATCAGTAAATGTTTTCTATTATTTCTGTTAAAATATCACAAAACAAAAAGAACTTCAAAGCAATTTACAATGATCAATAAAGATAGTATTCGAGACGTTTGTGTGTATATTTTGTGTTAGTTTACAATATCATTTGAACTTACATAAGAGAAGACCAACATTGCGTTTTCGTTACTGCACATATAATTTTTTAGCTTTCTTGACTTTCACATGCATTTTTCGTGACATTCTAGTCGCAGAAATGAAAAAAATTGCCGTGCTATTAGGAATGTGACTTAGTACCTTGAACTGCAGATAAAAAAAACCAATACATGAATACTCTTAATCTTCAACATAGGTACGAAACTACATAATATAATTCATTAACTTTATTTTTAGTTAAAATTAAAGTCAGTCGATTTCTCAGTTAGTTTACTTTATCTTGAATGTTTAATCTTACATAAATTTACTTATATCAAATACATACATACATACAATACCATTTATGTTAAGCTTTAAATGAGCAAATACGACATTTACAAATGATTTTTATAAATTGCATCTGAAAAAAAAGAATTGATTAAAAATATTATTTAATGACTTTCTTAAAGGAAAATGTTTTCTTAGAATAACGTTCTTAGGAGAATGTTTTCCTACACAAATTGTTGTTTTAAAGTGTTAAGACATGTTACACGAGATAATTACCAATTTTAAACCTTCCTTAACACTAAAATAGACTTCAAACTAGAGCTGTCAAGCCCTATGCTGTCGTTGCCATCGATTTCAAATTTCATCATTGTACTTCAGTACTATGCTACTGTTGATATTTAAAATTATAAAAACTTCAAATGTAAAACAAGAAGACTATTAGGTACCCGTTACGCAGCACATTGTTTAAAGTTTCACATTAAATATTCTCCCAAAAAATACTCGGGTTGTAGATAAATAACAATTCGATTTGGAAAATGTTTGTATGTATAAGTCGATAGGTATGACTGAATAAACATATAAAGTTTAAGCTGACCTCATGACAGAGTATCGCGATTTGTGGTTATTAGCTAACTTTAGGCCTCTAGCCTAGGCATAACTAGAATCTGCATGATGAATACATAATCTCTGACTTTTATAGTTTTCGAGATCTCGGCGTTCATACAAAAACATAAAAACAAATATACTTAATTGTCATGAAAAATGATTCGCTTATAGGAGAAAGTTCTGCTTTATCTAGCCAATACAAAACTTATCAAAATAAATGTTAAGGTTGCATTCATTAAGCTAAGAATCATAAACTTTATTGTCCAGATCTGACCCCCACGATTACTCCCGTTTCTCGGCTCTTAAAAAATCTGAAGGTCTTTATAATCAAAGCTATTTCTTTTGGATAGAAATCTTATACGTTAAATAAAATATAGTATGTTTTTCTGGAGTTCAAATAAATTTCGCGATTATTTGCTGGTGTGCTAATCGCGAAAAAGCAACTAATTAATTTCTAATTACGGACAATACTTTAAACATTAAATGCACAATTGAAATTAAATTTCGTAGAATGCAAAAAATAAATAAATAAAAGGACAAAGTTTCATTTCATTTTCAATTATTTTTTACAGAAGCTATGTGATTTAGTTGTATCTTAGTAACGGGTATTTAATAGTACTATAAATACGTCTTTACGTATATTCCTTTAAACTTAAAAACAATGAAGTTATCATTTTTATAATTTATGAAACTGCGAAACTAGTTTGCGTAGAAACTGGCGGATGGACGGACTGAAAATATCAGTAAGGGTATAAAAAAAAAAACACAGTCCAAAACTGTCACTTTCTAGGTAATCAATAAACCTACAATTGAGTGAGGCAAAATATATTTCAAAGTAAAAGAAACAGCTTTAACAGCTAAGGTTTTAGAGAAGGTTTGAGTATTTAAACAGCAAGTTGTGAATTCGTGCTACGCGCGTCAGTGTACATAAAATAGATATATACGTATAAAAGGGAAAATAAATTATCAATGAAATAAAATTAAATTTGAAAGATGATAAGTTTTACGTACAGGTTTAAGCAAGAATGTTTACATTCGAAATAAATACATTTCGGTGGCTGGTATATGAAGACATTCCTGTTTAATGAATGATGGTTTTATCAACTAGAAGCTTTTAAAAGTAAGCTCACTTTTTGTATTTTGTTCTTATTCTGCCGACATTATGTTGTGAACCTGCTCTAATTTAAAAGCCAATCGCTGCTTTTGCGAAAACTCATCCTCTTCTAGTGTAACAGTTAGCTGCTCATTGTACTTCACAGCATATGTGTATAGCTCATGTAGAGCACAATTTGTGTTAAATTCTGTTGTGTGTAGCTGAAATTATAGAATTTAAAATCATATTATTCCACGAAATATATTTAGGTCATGTTGTTACTAACCCTTGATTCTTCTGCAAGCATGGCATTCATGTCTTGATCTGATATTGGGGACATATCGCGAATGTCTCTATAATAGCGATCTACCCATTTGCGATACTCTGGTATATCTTTTGCGTATAGCAGTTTCGAGCTTGGTGAGTCCTTGCCTATAATAAAGTGTTAGTCACACTGTTCTGATCAAGAAATACCCTACTTACCCAACCGATGATCAGAAGTTGAACAAGAGTCCATAAATGTTTGAGCAACAACTGACAAGCATGAGTCCACTATATTCGACTTATGTATGTCGAAGACGAAATTTGGATTTTTTATTAAGTTCACCCAAAACCTAAAATTTAAAGAAAATGCATTTTTGAAAATTGTATAGCTGATAATATAACGAAATTACTAACCGCAATGGTAAGCTATTACTCTTCCAAGTATGCACGACTTCTGGATCAGTTATCCCATGCAACTGAGCTTGATCGTCTAGAAAGTCAAACATGTATTTGATTGCTAAGGGCAGTGCCGATCCACGATGAGCGGTGCTAAATATTGTTTCAAAGAGATCATCCACGAATTTCTGAAGCGTGCCTTTAGTAGCCAATAGTCTGGTTAAGTAAATCTCAGATACCAATTTGTTAACCCGTTCCCCTTCTTTCTGCATATCACTATCATGGTGTTTCACTAGATGCCAGTATCTTAGGCCGTTATCATGCATATCATTATTAAGAGGGCTGCCGGCGCGGCTAAATGTCGGAGAGGAGGAGGTGTATTTCGATATATTAAGAGTTTCATACCTAAGATTGACAATAAAATATTCAAATTTTATGTTAAGAAATGCGTATTGGTTTTCCATTAAAAATATCTTACTTGTGAGATTTTTCATTTTTATCCGACAATATACTAAAGTTATAAATTGAACTTTGCTTTGGTACTAAGCTTAAACCAGCGCCGTCCGGAACATTATAGTGCTGCAAAGTGTTTAGTTTCTTCCATTCGCTCTCCGTTTTAGATGTAACGTCCTCGTCGTACAAAATTACACGACCAGTAGCACCTGTACGCCACTCTAAAATAAAATTGTATAACATATTATCGGAAGTTTCCTATAAATCTTTGTTAATCAAAAACTAAAACTAAACCAAAACTTAAACAAAAACATAAACTAAAATATCATATAAATATAAACAAAATATATAAAAAATACAATAAAATATTTTTAAGTTACTACCAAGGTACTTGGTACTTGGTCTTTTAAACAAAAATTATATTCATAAAACAAATCTTGTCCAAAACTAGCTTTTTAAACTCTTGAAAGAACCCAGTTTACTTAAACTTTCTGATCGATGCAAAATTTGGTATGTGGGCGGGAACAAATAAATTAAACAACATTAGAACTTTGCTGTTTTTTAATTTGGTTTTTTAATTCATCGACATATAGTAATGGTTAAATATTTTGGAATTACGGTTTAAATTGCATTAAAATCGGACGACTATAACATAAAGCTCCCATTAGAACAATAAAAATATTAGAAAAAAATTTAAAAAACTTAACTTTTTTATTTTGTAAATTTCTTTAGAAATTCTTTTTGGCTAATTAATAATTTGAATTACGAGATCATATAGCTGACATAGGATCAAATAATTGACCTGTAAATCATAATAACTTCAAAGTTTTTACGCAAGTCAATCATAGTTTTAATGTTTTCAAGAATATTTAATTTCGCAATAGCGGCAAGGGTATATGAACTTCGGCTTGCCGAAGTTTGCTTCCATTCTTCTTGAGTTTATAGTTACTTACCTAAATCTAAGTCATCCTTACGAGGTCTTTGGCTTGATGGAATGTTTTTATAAATTGTTTCCAAACATTTTTCTTTAACTTGTCCGATTGTATCGCAGTCCAAAACTTTTACGGACACGTTTTCGGTGTGAGAGGGCAACATATCCAAATTATTGCAAAATATTGGCTGCTGTATAATGCTTGCATAGACGTTCATGGGTCGAAAATCAATGGACTGTCGTATAAGTTTTTCTTCACTAAGAGAGTATCTTGCCTCGTGCGTGCATGCGTCAACTGGACCCTTATCTACTTGTCCTTTGACTGCGCGGAAAAGCATATACAATGGCTCTCCAGCACACTCTTTCAAAAACTTGTATAGAAGGAATGTAAACCAAGCACTCAACATTTTTTCTGCCACACTTTCTGTTCGTCGTAATAAAAGTTTTGGATGACTCTTTCCTTCTATACATTTTTCAATCAAGTCTCCCAATAATGTTTTCAATATATCTGTGCAGTATTCTAATTTCGATTGTAGTGTGACCATAATTAGTGAGGCCACGTTTACTCGTTCTCGCATAGAAAAGTATCGATTCGATTCTAAGGTTCGAATAAAAAGAAGTAGAAAAGTTTTGTTCATAATAAGTTGACCAAAAATACGCAACCCTTTTTCTTTTCGGAGAAGCTCAGGTCGTTCCCATTGTAGCACAATGTGATCTTCATGATTGGGAAAAAGAATCTTCATTGCATATGATCGATAATCCAAAAATGGAATGCCTCCAGAAGTAAGATCTCCTGTGAGGTCAGTCATCTCTGTTTGGAGTTCAGCAAATGCTTCTTTACATTCAGCTGCAACACGGAGCTCTAATATGTCCATCTGCTCCTGCATGTTTCTAAGTACCCGGCTCGATTCGGAACTTTTCTTTTTATACGCCACAAGCAGAGCAACAAAAATGAGCAGTAAAATGACAATTGTTGCTATTACAGCAAAGATAACATTTTCTCCCCAATCCAAAATGATGTTTGATGATTCATAGCTAAGTATACCAATACGATACTCCAGCGAAGTACCAATACGAACTATAACCTCCGGTCCATTTATGCTTTTAGTTGCCGTTGCTTCAGGAGGAGGCCTACATGTAAGCTGTTGTCTTGAAAGAGAAGTAATATTGCAATATCCATTTCCTATTTTTACTTCCACATCAGACTCTTTGCAAGCGCGATCTAAATTCCGACCATTTATAGTTAAATACTCGCTTTTAAAGTACTTGACTCTTTCCTCGAATACAAAATACTCGGGATTTGGATAAAGTTCAAAATGGTTGTTATGAGTTTTTGATAAATTTTGCACACGCAAAACATTGTCCATTAGAAAACCGTATTCAAGAAGCATTGGCCTCTCCGCTTCAATAATTTTGTTGTCTACGTCGATAACTGGAGATGCGCATTCCATTTCTGTATCCGACTGGACTCGGCATTGGTTGGCATATATCTCCCCATTATATACTACATAAATGTTGGGAGTTTGTATACTGGTAAATTGGGTACCAATCACGGAAATTCGAATGCCGCCAGCTGGGATTCCTTTTGGTACTTTTATTTGACCACTTGGCCCTGAACTGACGTGTTCCACTGTAGGATCCAGAACATATTTAAAATTGTAGTCATTGAATTCACGTGGACCATTATCAAATGACATTTTGAGCCGACCTTCGATGATACCAGGTGATGGGGACGTTCGACATATAGCTTGCGAAGAATCTGTGCTTAGGATTTTGCAAGGCAAATGATCATTTATGGACGCTTGTATGCGAGAACCGGCATTTAAATGCTTTCCTGTTATATGTATTTCAGTTCCACCCGAAGTTGGTCCAAACTTTGGATTAAAATCAAGAATTTTGGGGTCAACGAACTCATAGTCCTCCTTGGACTCACCGCGATAGTCCCCTATTTGTACGACTATTTTGCCATTCCTATACATCTGTTCTCCAGGACTGTCCACCGTACAAACTATTTGCTTTGTGTCGATGTAAAATTGCTGAAACGGCATACAATTTATGCCAGCTATTCGCACGCCTGAGTAAATGTCATTATAATTTTTGCCTAAATTAATTCCACGTATTGTTATGTTTGTTCCTCCTTCCCAGGGCCCCGTTTTAGGTTCAAAAGTATGAATCTCAGGGTTGGGGCAAATTTCACTTCGATTTAGCCAGTCGGTTTTTCCCTCTTTGTTCTTATTACATTGTTCTTCAACCTCGCATGTATTAGTAGACGAACACCATCCGCAATTGTACTTTTCGGCTAGGGCTAAACAAATACCACAACTGTCGGCCATTTCTCGACATCGATAGATAACAACTAGAATAAATCAAATTAAAATTTATATATTTAAATAGGAGCGGACCTTATTTCATAATAGAACTCACCATGAATGTTATGGGGATTATCAAGGGGCTTGGATCCGCCCCATATAACAGCGAAAGTAGCTGTCAAATTGGGCGATCTTGAAGTGTACTGGAATTCCATGCTATCGCAGTATATTGTGTCGCCCAACAATTGGGCATTTAAACTCGTTACCCGTCCCTCTATATTAAATTGACAAACAAATCGCGTTTGAACTATAAACTGTCCTATTATATGAACTTTTACTTTTATAGATTTGCTTGTGCCACCAGCCACAAGTACTTCACTTCCATCACCCGTAGCGTTGATCGTTGGGCAAAACCCGGGACCCGATCTATAACTTGGGCCTATCCGGCTTACACCGGTGACCAAAATATCATTGCGGCAATTCTCAGCAGTGTCGTGAGTGCATCGGTGTGCCTCAACACACCAGTCACATGGAAACTCCGAGGACACACACCGTGTACAAGATGAATGTGTACTGCAATCAAAGAACGTAAAATCCGTAGACACTAGGTCGGGTCCATTTCTGGTGCGGACAGATAGTTTTGCTGTAAAATGATGCTTTCCTTGTTCAATTTGGGGCAGCATATCTGTTCGCGGTGTTGTACAATTCACGCCATTTCTTTTTTTCGTAGCATTGGTGAAGAGAGCCTTATCCTCTGTGGTAAAAGCACATATCAAGTTCTCTTTTAGTTGCGGCAAGTGATCTATGATAAGTTCTAAGGTTCGAGCAGTTGTGCGTTGCAGTTGGTGTGGCACAACACTTGTTATTGTAGTGCACTTTCCAGTTTTATAGCTGACCCAATAAAGAGGGTCGTTGGCGTCATCTTGACAGTTGGAACGTGGGCTACATTTGTTTTCCAACGAGCACCAGCCACAATATGGATCTCTAGCCCCCAAGCACTCTCCACATGTCTTGAAATCGGAGCAGTCAAAAACCTTGACTTTAGACACTTTAGTTTCTGACATGACATACATATAAAGATTTTGGTTGTCAAACTGCATATCCTGATTTATGGCCGAACCCAGGTCCACAGAAAAACTAGCGTACTCGTTGGCAACGGATGAAGATTCGACGACAACTTTCTTAAGGTACCCATCTGCGGTGCCCACAAAGACAACGGTATATCCGCTTGTGCTCGTGGCAGCAACTGAAGTTAACTTTGTGTTAAACATGGCCACCGGCACTGAAGTAATGGGATTCTCTCCTCCCAAAGGCGAATTTACGTCAAGACCACAGAAATCTTCTCCAATAGTTTGCAGTTTCTGAAATAAAGACGAGTTTAAATAAAGGTTTAAGCTTATTATTATAATTAAATTTACATAACTCGGGCCGTAATACATAGTTTACTGTGGGAGGCTCAACCTATGTATGTTCGAAGCCCTTAAAACACGATAAAAGGGTTAAACACAAAACAGTTGCACTGTTTGGTTTGATGTATTGCAACTACAATAATTGAAATCGTCGAGAGTCTTTATTATCTTTAAAATTAAGTGGCCATAAGTGGTTAGACTCGTGGAAAAACAAGAAATTTTCGGCATTTTTTGTTTAAAGAAAGTACTTTAAAGAATATTTGTCAGTTTATTGGACATAATAAGGTTTTTGGTCAGCTTACGGAGCTATGTTAAGTCAAAACAAAACATTAAACGCTATAGTTGAGTTCCCCGACTATTAGATACCCGTTACTCAGGACCTAATAACTCAATAACTTCTGTATAAAAACACGATTTTGAAAATTTTTTTGTCTACTGATGGATAGGTCCAATAGTTAGGTCTAACATGTCTCAGAGATTTGTGGGCCTTTGAGTGCTAAAGCGCATAATTTCTAGAATCTGCATTCCAAATCTCTAGCTTTTAGAGTTTCCGAGATCTCGACGTTCATACAGACAGACGGACTTAGCTGGACAACTCGGATATTGATCCTAATCAAGAAAAGCTTTCTTCTATCTAATACATACTTTTCAACGGTTACCATATAATTTACAAAATTGCGCACTCCTGAAAAAGTTAAAAATTTGTCATTTGTCATTCTGTATAAAAACACGATTTTGAAAATTTGTTTGTCTAGTGATGGATAGGTCCAATAGTTAGGTCTAACATGTCTCAGAGATTTGTGGGCCTTGGAGTGCTAAAGCGCATAATTTCTAGAATCTGCATTCCAAATCTCTAGCTTTTAGAGTTTCCGAGATCTCGACGTTCATACAGACAGACGGACTTAGCTGGACAACTCGGATATTGATCCTAATCAAGAAAAGCTTTCTTCTATCTATTAAATACTTTTCAACGGTTACCATATAATTTACAAAATTGCGTACTCCTGAAAAAGTTAAAAATTTGTCATTTTTTTAAAACAAAAATTTCCAAGCAGTCAAAAAGATTGTAAAATTTAAAATCGATAATGGGGTAGCTGTTCTCAAATAAGCATTGTACGATATAGGTACATTGAGTCTATACTTACAGTTAAAACACATGGCATGCTGGGTGATATAAAGTCCAGTCCCCTCATCCCATTACCGTTGAAACAGGATTTTATGTTTTGCATAAATTTTCGACGTATGGATTTTAGAGAGTAAATGCAGAGTGCAGAGTTATTGGTTGGTGTGTTTCCGTCGCCCTTTGAAAAAACAGCAAAGAGGACATCATCCTGAATTGATATACCCAAGCTTTGAGCCAGATCCGAGCTGGGTTTGCCTAGGTAACCTGCCTGAACCAAGTTGAATTTTGTGCCGCCCTGGGCATCACTTATGCATTCGACTGGAATTTCAGTGTAGGAATAATAGTTTGAATCTTCTTGGCATATTCGCACAAGCTTAGTTATGTACTCCTTGGGCGAAGAATGGTGACTATGCTTTAACTGTGTAGTAAGAAAGTATGAAAACCGTTCTGAGCTAAATCCGTAAACATAGTTCACAAAATAAGTTTCACGTGCGTAAGAATTAATAAAAGTTCTCGTTCCAGTTGTAACCGCCGAAGATGCAATCTGAAACATTTTCGTCTTTTCAAGAGAGCGTGATGCAACGGCCGGAATTTCACTTCGGTATGGTGAATTGTTCGTATAGGTAACTCCAACGTACATAACATTTGTCACTGGGTGCTGCGGAGGTCCTGGAGCTATAAATGCCACTGTTGAAGAATTGGCATCGTTCGCAACGACTGCGTCGGGCACTTCATGCTCAATTATGCTGACATTCTGAAGATTTCGTACAGTGCATGTACCCTGGAATAGTGAACCACACGCAATTAGTCGAGAAGTCGCACGGTCTATAAGCAAGACCTTATTATAGTTATCCGTTGGACTGCGAACAGCATTTAAGGGACAGTCGAGTATGCTGCATTCTACCGAATCGTTTTGTGGTCCCGTTTTTACCGTTTCGGAAAGCTCCAAGTCAGGCGACAATTGATACAACCTGTTGACACCACCAACAAAGACTCGCCCGGTAATAGTGTCCACTAAAAGGTGATTTAATTTCGTATCAAACCTAGCTACATTTGTGATGGTGGTACTAAGGTTTTTTGCATCCTTTATTGTCACATTTGCATCAGTCAAGTTAATCGGTTCATTTTGAACAGCCGTCTTGTCAGACCAAATATTGGCTGCCAATGTCTGAGAGCCTGTTCTTGAGTGCAACCAGTAGTCATGATTATCTCCCAAAGTTGCTAAAAGCAGCAAACTAAGAATTAAAATCATCTCCACTATCGCTCCTTCAAAAGGGCGATCCGAACCACTTTATGCGTTAACAGTTTATTCACAGCTGCCTGATGTTCCTTTTATATGAATCCAATGTTTTATAACAACTCAATATCTAGTTTGAATTGATGGCATTCCTGGGATCTTTAATATCCGACTACTTTTAAGTATCCTTCAAATATTTATCATTTATTGCAGTATATTTCTTTACTGAGTTTTTATTTATCTATTGATATGATCGGCATCGTCATTGAATCTGAAAATTAATAACAATTTGAAAGCAAATTAGTAAAATATGTGAAGACTTCTCCTCAGTAGCTTTTAATTTGTTTTCCAAGCTGGTTTATTTTATTTAACTTTTTCGCAGAAATTTTTTCGCTCTATCTATTTAAAAACAAGAAAGAAAGCTAACCTCGGCAAAAAATTCCAAGTTAACCAAAAACTAGAATTGAAGCTAACTTAAGTCAATAGCAGGATCTCAAATGATATAAAGCTATTTAAAACTTTAAAACTGAGACTAGTTGGCGTAGAAACGGACGGACAGCAGACAGACGGACGGATGGACAAACGGATTTTTGCTAGATCGACTTAAACTGCAAACAGCAGTTTCATTTATTTTTTCGATTGATCATATGGGAGCTATATGTTATAGTCGTCCGATCCGGCTCGTTCCGACTTATATGCTACCTGCAAGTTTCATGTAGATAGCTTTAAAACTGAGAGACTAGTTTGCGTAGAAACGGACGGACAGACGGATATGGCTAGATCGACTCTCCTAGATGTGCATAAAGTTAGCAGTACAACTTTCAAAATCTAAACTTTTTTTTTACCATAATTTGCCGTTAATTTTCCGTAAATTATTCGTGAAAGAAAAAAATTTGCCGCTCAATTTTTTTAAAAGTTATCCAATGTTCTGCTAACTTGATATCACAAAATTAAACTTTAACTTTTCGAAAAATTTCTTTTGCAGGAATTTGCCGTTAATTATCCGTAAATTATTCGTGAAAGAATAAAATTTGCCGCTCGTATTTTACTATTTTTTTTTTTTTTAAACAAACAATGTGTTCTGCTAACTTGATATCAAGTTAGCAGTACACAAAACTAAACTTTAACTTTTCGAAAAATTTCTTTTGCAGGAATTTGCCGTTAATTATCCGTAAATTATTCGTGAAAGAATAAAATTTGCCGCTCGTGTTTTACTATTTTTTTTTTTAAAACAAACCCTGTGTTCTGCTAACTTGATATCGAAATTTTTCGAAAAGTTAAAGTTTAATTTTGTGTACATTGGATAACTTTTAAAAAAAATTGAGCGGCAAATTTTTTTCTTTCACGAATAATTTTCGGATAATTAACGGCAAATTATGGTAAAAAAAAAAAGTTTAGATTTTGAAAGTTGTACTGCTAACTTTATGCACATCTCTCCTAGTGATGCTGATCAAGAATATATATACTTTATAGGGTCGAAAATGTCTTCTTCACTGCGTTGCAAACTTCTTACTGAAATTATAACACCCTCTGCATGGGTATAGAAATAAAATTAAAAAAATATATCTTTTTTATTTTGTAATTTTTTAAAAATTCTTTTCGACCCATTAATAATTTGACAGTTCAGAATTACGTTTTTAATTTTATTAGAATCGTAAAACGATATCATATAGCTGTCATAGGAACTATCAAATAATTAAGCTGCAAATCATTATAGCTTCAATGTTTTTAGACATATACGCAAGTAAATCCTAATTTTAATGTTTTCAAGAATATTTAATTTTTGAAATGGGTATATGAACTTCGTCTTCCCGAAGTTTGCTTCCTTTCTTGTTTTTATACCCTTGCAGAGGGTATTATAATTTCAGTCAGAAGTTTGCAACGCAGTGTAGGAGACACCTCCGACCCTATAAAGTATATATATTCTTGATCAGCATCACTAGGAGAGTCGATCTAGCCATGTCCGTCTGTCCGTCCGTTTCTACGCAAACTAGTCTCTCAGATTTAAAGCTATCTGCATGAAACTTTCACTTGTCTTTCTATTGCAGGTAGTATATAAGTCGGAACGAGCCGGATCGGACGACTATAGCATATAGCTCCCACAGGAACAATCGGAAAAATAAATGAAAAAAAATTATAACTTTGCTGTTTTTTAATTTTTTGTATTTTTTGTTAAATATTTCCGATTTACGATTTAAATTTAATCAAAATCGGACGACTATAGCATATAGCTCCCATAGGAACAATCGGAAAAATAAATGAAAAAAAACTATAACTTTTCTGTTTTTTAATTTTTTGTTTAGTTCTTCGACATATAGTAATGGTTTAATCTTTCAGAATTATGGTTTAAATTTTATCAAAATCGGACGTCTATATCATATAGTTCCCATAGAAATAATATAAATATATAAAATAACTATCTTATAATAGAGCTGCAAATCATCATAGCTTCAATGTTTTTATACATGTACGCAAGTAAATCATAATTTTAATGTTTTCAAAAATGTTTAATTCTTGCAATAGCTGCAAGGGTATATGAACTTCGGTTTGCCGAAGTTTGCTTTCTTTCTTTTTTTTTTATTTTTACCGAGCTCTGGTAAACTGACTCCGGTCATTAAGTGCTCATAATAATATTAGTTTCCCATACTCCTTCCCTTTAACGTAGTTCGTTGGTGAATATATGTAGATAATAGTCAGAAAAATACTGAAACTGTTTATAAGATTCCAGATACGCCACCATAAACATCACCTTGAAACATATAAGCAAATAAAATAGGCTGTTACCGAAAAAGGTTCCTACACAATATATATGTTTCTTGTACAAAAACAAAATTTACAATTTACATGGTGCAAGCCGCTTTTTCTCCCCTTACTTACATACATATGTATGTATGTATGTACGTTTAAACATTTATCTTGCACTCTCGTACGTTATTAGTACCGGGTGAGGGTGGCCAGCGCCCAACTTCACATTTTGCAGAAGACTGTTGCTGTTTTATTCAGAACACTGAATAAATTCAAATTGTATTTTAATATAAATGAACCGCAGTATCGATAAAACTTAAATTCACTAGCGATAAATTCTTTAAGGGCTGACCACAATATTAAATAAAGTAAGTTAAGTTTTTCATGGCCAAAATTTTACATACATACATGAGTAGTAGGTAAATGTTTCCTTTGAAATCGCGTATTCCAGTATATCTTGGTGAACCCACATAAATATGTGCATAAGTTTATTTTGCAGGAATCACAGTCCATGCAATTTTCTTATCGTATATACCACGCCCCTTATAATATTTTTATTCAAACCAAATACATTTATTTTGGGAAATATTAAAATTGTAAGACTGTTATTAATTTAAATATTTACTTTTATAAATATATATTTTTAAAACGAAAATCCATATGCGTTGGTACATAGGGATCATAATACATATGTACATATGTATGTATGTAATATGCACAAATCCCAATTTACACAGGGGCTACACTTTCTGATAAGGTGGAGATAACATAACAATCATTAGAATTCACAATAAATTAAAAATTGTGCTCATAAAAGGATTCTTATTTTTCATTAATATATATTTTTATTTTGTTATTCAACAAAGAAGCCGACGCTACGATTTTTATAGCGGGTCGGTTTTTAATTCTGTATGTATATCTGAATCATTGGGCGGAGAACACGTCTTAAGTGAACTTTTGAAAACACTTCCTACTATTATATTTTTAATGGAACATTCAATAAGTACCAATTTTTGACATCGCAAAGCACCATACATGATTTTTTTTATTTTTGTATTACACTACACATTATGTTTCACATTATTGTATGAAAACGTTATCGATAATACGATGCGATTAGCAACAACTAGAAATGAGCCTTGTAATAAAGACAATCGATATGGACCGATATCGATATATAAAGTGATTGTGCGATGAATATGGAATTTAATAGCCCAGTCTCACAGAGCCCAGAGCTCTTACACTCCATCAAAGTCTTTTAAAGCCTATTTCCAAGAAGATCTACCCACATTCTACCATCCGTTAAAGGAATGGTCCATAAGGTTTTCCAAAAACTTCCCAGTTAGTCCGCCGTTAATATATAACGGACTTTGATACACTAATTTTTGCGATAGTTAGCAGATGTTTTTGCAGTGCAGCCCTGTTCCAACACATTCGATCCTTGAAAACCCGTTGAGATTTTTGAAAAATTGTGAAACTCCGATTTCCAAAGAGCAAATGTACCTTTCACCTTCCGATTTCACCTGACCTTTTGTGTCTACTTATAGACATGACATACTTTCACGATTTGTCGGCGGAAGAGTGCGCGTGACTCCGTTTTGAAATAAACAGAACGCAACACTGTGGAATATGGAGGGCGGAATAAAAAGCAACGAGTAGAAATCATAACATAAGCTTGAATTCTAAACAAAATTTAATTCCAAGTGAATCAGCATTTCATATTAATTCTAATATTTATAACGTAATACCATGAAAACAAAAATCACAACCCGACAGAAACGCTTCCTTACAAACTTTTTAACGAATACAATATACCCTTTTCCTCTACGAGTAACGAGAACCAAAACGAAAATGTAATAGATTTGGGGAAATTTTGATCATCTAAAAAAATCTACTATTTTGAAAAATAAATTTTAACAGGGCATACAAATTCAACATAATTTTGACAATTTCTTGATTTTTTGTATGACATCGGCATGGGTACACAAATTTTCCAAAAAGTAGATTATTTTTTAATTGCGTGTTTGCTTGTTCGCACCAACAAACTCTTCCTTATAACGGGGAATTTTAAATGGCATTGCCAGTCACATTTGCAATCCCGCAAAATCTGACGAGGGCTGCACAACAAAAATAAAAAAATAAGTAAAACATAAAATATCTCGGGAACAGCTTATCTGATTTTAATGAAATCTGCAACAAAATGATCAGCAAGGGAGGACTAGTAACGGGATACACAAAGAATATTACTTATTTAGGATTTATATGCATCGCCAAAGATGAGCATATCGATGATACGCTATGGTTTGTGTCTTGGAAATACTGCGGCATGGCCCACAAATTAATCGATTTCCAAGGAAACTTGAAAAAACTTTGAAAATAGAGTTTGGCTTGAAACATGCTTTGGGAAAAGCGTAAAAAATTATTAAAAGTAGTTTTTTTAATGGCAGAAAATAATTTGTTTGGTGCCATGGCTTACGAACTGGTTTATGTATAGAATGCGAAGCATTTTCATATCCATTTAAAAATTTGCCACTGATAAGCAATTTTCTCAAAACGTATGCATAATATTTCGATAACATTTTTCTGAAAATGAATTAGACAACCACGCAACGGCCGATATATATGGAATTTTGGAAAACGCTCTGTGAACGACGACGCTTAGTTTTGTATAGGCACTGCAATGCAATTTTCTCAAAACGCACGCATAATATTTTGATGAAATTTTCCCCAAATATAGATTAAATGACCCCCCAAACTACCTAAAAGAACTTTTAAGTATTTGCAGGCTTCTAATTTGCTGACAACCATTTTGAATCGTTAGATCTTTCTTTTCTTAACAAATCTGCATTAAATTTTATTTTTGATTTAGTGCTTAAATAGCTAGAACAAATAAAAATAAAATATATGTGTTCCAGTTTCCACCGTTCCTATATAGCCGCTAACTAATCGACGCTAGCTTGACGCACTTTATTTTCTTAACAGAAATGGTATATTTCAACGGTCCAAATAAGGTCATACTGGTATTCATACATTTGGTACACATACTCCCACGACTAAGTTAGTCCGAGAAAAATGTTTGCCTTACGTGCTGCCTCCAAAGCTGATAAGAATTTGCTGCCATTTTTGGGGCAATTGTGTAAGTAGCATAAAAAAGTGGATATTTATAATCGAAAAATACCAGATTTGGATAAAATTTAAAAGTATGATACGAACAGTGAATAGACTTTAAGTAATTGAGCTGATGTCGAACATAACCTTAACATGAGAAAAGCTGTTACGAATGAAGAAAAATGATTACATAACTAAAATTTTGAATGATTTAAGGTTACTTAAATCTTAGGACATTTAAAGTTCAGACAGTTGATCAAAACTGATTTCAAGCGGTTTTAAAAATTAAACGAAATCTCTTCTCGTTACGTATAAGATGCGGCTTAACTAACGCCCTAGAGCAAATTTCATCTTTACGCTTTTAGGGAGATACTTTAATGCAGAAAAAACATTTTTAATAATTTTTGTTATACACATGGTGGACGAAAGATGTTTCTATTTTATCATATATGTCACGTAATAGTTTGCTAGCCTTAATTTGTGTATCTATAAGCTGTTTTAGCCATAAGGGGGTTCCGTCCCCTTCTTAGAAAATGAGATTAAAGTTGATTTTGCTCCATTTGATTGATTGATTGGAAATCACTGCAATTAAGTTTATTTTTGTGCAGCTGGTCTGCATCAAAACCAGAGTAATGCATGTACGATATTTGGTTTTCGTTTTTAGCTCGTGGCCATGCTGCCAAGGCTGCTAAGGCTGCGGCCGCCGCCAACGGAAAGATTGTGGCCGTAATTGGTGCTGTCGTCGACGTGCAGTTTGAAGATAACTTGCCGCCGATCCTGAACGCTCTGGAAGTCGACAACCGGTCTCCACGGCTTGTGCTGGAAGTGGCCCAGCACTTGGGTGAGAACACCGTGCGCACCATTGCTATGGACGGTACTGAGGGCTTGGTTCGCGGACAGAAGGTTCTCGACACTGGGTACCCCATCCGTATTCCAGTTGGTGCCGAAACCTTGGGGCGCATTATTAACGTTATTGGTATGTTATTGTTGCTGTGACATTTCTATAAGTTCATCAACGTCTTCTTATAGGCGAGCCCATCGATGAGCGCGGGCCAATTGATACCGATAAAACGGCTGCCATTCACGCTGAGGCTCCTGAATTCGTTGAGATGTCCGTGGAGCAGGAGATTCTTGTCACTGGAATCAAAGTCGTCGACCTCCTGGCTCCCTATGCCAAGGGTGGTAAAATTGGCTTGTTCGGCGGTGCCGGCGTCGGCAAAACTGTGTTGATTATGGAGCTGATTAATAACGTGGCTAAGGCTCACGGTGGATACTCTGTTTTCGCGGGAGTCGGCGAGCGCACCCGCGAGGGAAACGACTTGTACAATGAGATGATTGAGGGTGGTGTGATTTCGCTTAAAGACAAAACGTCCAAGGTAGCTCTGGTCTACGGCCAGATGAACGAGCCCCCAGGTGCTCGTGCCCGTGTTGCCCTGACTGGACTGACCGTTGCCGAGTATTTCCGTGATCAGGAAGGACAGGATGTCTTGCTTTTCATTGACAACATTTTCCGATTCACTCAGGCTGGCTCAGAGGTGTCCGCGTTGTTGGGCCGTATTCCCTCCGCTGTCGGTTACCAACCAACTTTGGCCACTGACATGGGTTCTATGCAGGAACGTATTACCACAACCAAAAAGGGATCGATTACCTCGGTCCAGGCTATCTATGTGCCCGCTGATGATTTGACAGATCCTGCTCCAGCCACAACTTTCGCTCACTTGGACGCAACCACTGTATTGTCGCGTGCGATTGCCGAACTGGGAATTTACCCCGCAGTGGATCCCCTGGATTCCACTTCTCGAATCATGGACCCTAACATCATCGGACAGGAGCACTACAACGTTGCTCGTGGTGTGCAGAAAATCCTGCAGGATTACAAGTCCCTTCAGGATATCATTGCCATTCTGGGCATGGATGAGTTGTCGGAGGAAGATAAGCTCACCGTTGCACGCGCTCGCAAGATTCAGCGTTTCTTGTCGCAGCCATTCCAAGTTGCTGAAGTCTTCACTGGGCATGCTGGTAAACTCGTTCCGCTCGAACAAACCATTAAGGGTTTCCAACAGATTCTGTCTGGGGAGTATGACCATCTGCCTGAAGTTGCTTTCTACATGGTCGGCCCAATTGAAGAAGTGGTCGAAAAGGCTGACCGTCTAGCAAAGGAAGCTGCCTAAGTAATTACCCCGGCAAATCTTCAAAGTGGTATTACCAGTTAATAATCAATTTAATATTCATTGAATTGTAATTTACTCTGTAACATCAATTTGGAATTTAATACACGAGAAGAACTCAATAAAACCTATTTAAACCTTAAGGTCATGCTGCTTTTTTAACCGCTACGTACATATTTGAAAAACGATAATTATTTCGTTGTCCAGTATGGCACAAGAGAATCTTGAAGTTTGGTATTCTTTATAAAAAGTTATAAGCCGATCGAGGACTAGGCTTACGAAAATAAATTAGTTTAGTGTTAATAACAATAAAAGCGACAAAGAAAGTCACACAAAAGGGAGAAGTTTTAGTAAACTTGAATCTCGGCTCTGGTCCCATCCAATAATCCATTCAACATTTTACATTTATTTCACTGTAACCGGCGGTGAGTGTTACATTAGGTTAAATCTATCGATACACATAGAAATTTTTAAAAACGAACAAATATTTTTAAAATTATTAGAAAAAATGTTTTGTTTCGGCGGATGGCGCCACCTAAAACCCAATTAATTTTGAAATTGATAAGCTGAGAAACGGGTATCTAATCGTCGGTACACTCGACTATAGCAAAGTCTTAACTTTTTCTGGCCATGATGATTTTCTTGGTTAAATAAGCAGGGTAGTATTCGTCGTGGTTTCCTTCATTTAATCATAAAAAAGTTAATTCATGTAATATTCTTCTGCATGTTTTGGAAAATTTGTGCAGCCCTTTAATTGGTTGAAAGTTAGTGGAAAACGTTGATTAGCTGGCTGTATATATAAAATCAAACAACAACAACTCTTGATTATAAAACAAATTAGTTTTGTCTATAATACCCTTGCTAATGTTTTCGAAACTTAAAGCACTTATAAGAATTTTTCATTATCAAATTGACATAGATCCCTGCTCATTTAAATAAGCATAAAATGCTAATTAAAAAGTCTGAAATGGTTGGCATTTTTATAAGTCAAAAGAAATAATAAAAAAAAAGTAAAAATAAAAACCTAATTTTGGCTATAATTCCGCAATTATTTTAGTTAAATAAATTATATCAGGGAAACGTAATTAGCACTTAAAAACAAGTGGAGTTAGTTAGTTCTAATTACGAAGACTAAAAATGAAGTTCAACATTGTGATCGTTATATGAAATAAAAGTTGAAGATAAAAGAAACCATCGAGTCGCCATTTTCTACCACCAAATATCACGGGCAGGAATCTGCCACCCCCCCAACTATTCATTTTTGGTCCTTCGAGCCGGAGTTTTTTAGCTCGAGCTGCTTAATATCGCTTTGATACGCACAAACAAACCAACTAATAACACAAGAACAAAAGTATTCATTTCAAAAATGCATCATTTGAACGCAGTATCGGATTGAGTTTACCGATGTGCAGTTGGACGCGAAATTAAAGCCAGAATACAACAATGACACAAAAGTTGCTCCACCAGACTCAAAAGCTCCAATATGAAAACATTTCTCCGCAATGAAATGACTAGCTAAAACAAAACTCTTAGAATGCACAAACTCTTATAAGAGCGGTACCTTTTAATGGCTATACCATTGGTTGATTTTGAATAATAGAAAACTGTTCCTGTTTAACCCAGAGGCGTAGACGGTTTATGTATACGTTTATTATCAGTTTTATTAAGTATTTATTTGTATTTAATAAATCATATATATGGAATAGTTTATTTAATATTTGGAATTTTTAAATTGTGTTATGGACTTTGCATTATGAGCTTAAAATTGCATTACGCGTTTAATTTGCTTAAAGTATAAGGGACATCCACTAACGAAAATATTTTATATTAGGCAATAGTTATTTCTTGTTTCATTTGTTTTATTATTTGGATTTCTGTTTTTGAGAAACATATTTTTGGTTAATGAATTAAATGTTATTCTAAAGATGTTTTCCTTAGGAGCAACAGCTCTTCGATCGATTTAATATGTCCAAATGGTTTAATATAGTTTGCTTTCGTATTATAAGTGTTAAACATTATTTCAGAAGACATTAGGTCCTAAATCAATGAATATTTGAATCGACATTTTACATTTTACACTTTGATGACCATGATTAAGTCCTTTTCCTAAATTGACTAATGGTATTAGACAATTAAAAAGAATCATAAATACATTCCATCTTATGCACTCTAAAGGCATTACCCTATAAAAATTTAAAGCTAGAGGAGTGGGTTGCATTTAAAGTACAACTTTATGAAGAAGGAAAATATTCACTTAATCGTTTATCAAAAAATCGTTTTTGATTTCTAGATACAAACAAATTAGTGCCAACATTTTGAAAATTGTTTTAAATCAACTTTATACATATATGATCAGAAAAAGTTGTAGTCATTTTACGATGATACAGTCTCATACATACAATATATTTTAGCACTTGTGCTCATAACAACGGATATGGAGTTATACACAAAAAGATCCACTGTGTAAAGGGGCTTAAGCTAATACGCTTTTTTTTTATATAAATATTTGGAAATAGGGAAATTAGTGGAACTGTCATTTTATATTGATTGCAACTTTCATCGAAGAATGAATAATGTTAGGTTTGTTTATTATTATTGCACTGCAAATTGTTTTTAATATTGAAATACTCTCTAAATTTTTTAAAATAATGTAGAAAATACAATAATACAATTTGTATTTCAATTTTTAGATGCGTTTTTTGCTTTGTGTCGGGATCTCTCAAGCTTTTTGTGTGTATGCATTATATCGGTCCCAAGAATACTGACTGTGTCGCCACTAAAAAAATTGTTTAACTAAATTAAATTGTAAATGGATCTTTATGATAAGGGGACACATAATGTAATTTAATTTAATTAACTAAATTTTACATAGAAACAACATAATATAGTTTCTGTTATAAGAAAGCCTATCGACTTTCCGTTTTTATACACATAAATAAATAAACGGTGATTTGAAACAACAACTATGGCAAGATAGAAAATAATTATTGCATTATGAAAGTCGAACTATTCTTGGGACACCTCTATATACTAATGAGATGCGGACAGAGCGGGCAAGTAGTTTGAGATAGACGTCATCTAACGCGTTACGAGTAATCGCGTAAACTCAATTAGTTCGGCTTAATTTAATATTTCAATTAGCTAATTTTGTTCATTTCGTTTTACGGTACTTAGTTTTTCAAAATTTTAAATGCTACAATGTCGTTACCTAGTTCTTTACAGTGTCAGAATTTGTTAATGCTAACTTGAGTAATTTGTATTCGACTGTATTCACACATTTTATTAAGTTATGCATGTGTGTATGTATTTTAAGAACGAGAATAAGCGGACTGCTCAAACAAATGATTATTCGTATCCTAGTAGGTGATACATGCCTTTTAAATTGTTTGTAATTATTTAGAAGATTAAGTTAAGTGGTTGGAATTGCGTTCTGTTTGTTCTGTTCCAATAGATACAAAGTTTTTTTGCTTTATTTCAAGATTAATATCATAAAAAGTTAAATTATAAACTTGTTTCTTTGCTTGCCACCATTTAAGTTTACAATCATATGATTGATACCATGACACGTACATAAAATATTTTATGCACCAATATTATTATGTGTTTTTTTTTTGTTATATTTCCATTCTAAAGTGACCATTTCAGTGGGATATCTGAATTGCGATATATGATTTTTAATCGTCATACATATTTAACGTAGAATAACAGGGGGGACACAAAATACTTAGAAACAAATAAAAAATAATAAAATTCGCACTAACAACTTTATTTGCAAAATACTCTTGCGCCTTCCAAGTATGAATGCAGCACTTTCTTAGACATGTGCATAATGACAGTTCATATTCCATTGACTAACGCCCACTACTTCTGGGGTATAAAATCGAATGTAGTAGCTCCGCTTATTTTTGCAGATGCACTTCGATGAAAGTGGACATTCTGCCATTTGTTGTCGCGTTTGTGCCAGACGCGCGTCTCTTCGGACTGATGGGTGTGTGCATGACCTTGCCTGAATATCAAATAAAACGATTTTAACGGATGAATTACACATTACTTGTATTTTAAAAGGTTCTCTACTATACTTACTTATCAATGTACTGCGTGAGTCTGACATAGGCAATGCAAGCGGCTTCTTCACCCAATAAGTGCACATGAGGATTAAGTATGGTTGTGTTTATGGCTTTGCAGTTTTTACCAAGAACTGAAATCGGACTTGAATAACTTTACACCTTGCAAAAGGTCCTTATAAACTCACCGTTTTCAAAGTAAAATTTGTGAAAATCAATTCCCTCGACAAGGTTACCCAACGCTTCTGGCTCAAAGGCAGTTAGATGCGGATCACATATTTTGCTAAAGTAAACAATTAATTATAAATTTAAAACTCTTAAAAATAATATTTGTAAAAATTCAAATATTTTGATTAATCCAATGAGTATATTAATGATTCTCAGTTTTAAATAATAGTAGAATATGAAGTATAAAATAGGTGAAAAAACTACCAAGAATATTTCAAACCGTAATAAGGGAACTTTAGGGTCGTTAGCTTGAGAAACCCGTCGGTGTCCCAGAAAAACTAGAAACAATTAGTTTGACTTCCTATAAGAAATATTACGGGCAAGATTTTTGTTAGATTTTAAATAGCTTGATTCAAACACAAATTTTTTTTCGTTTTCTCTTTAAAAAAAAAATAATTAATTAATCAATCATAAAATTAAGAAAGATAGAAAGTGACCACAGACTTTTTATCCTGTTTTATTTTTTTACACCCTTGCAGAGGGTATTATAATTTCTGTCAGAAGTTTGCAACGCGTTAAATTATAACTTTGCTGCTTTTTTTAAAATAATTTTTGTTGATGTTCAAGACATATTATTGGTTCATAAAAATCGACCGACTATAGCATTTGGCTTCTATTAGAACAATCAGATTATCAAAAAAAAAATGTAACTTCTCAATTTGTAATATTTTCTTTTAATTTCTTTTCCACATAGTAATAATTTGATAGTTCAGAATTACGCTTTTAATTTTATTAAAATGGGAAGAGGATTTCATATAGCTGCCATAGGAACGATCGAATAATTGGGGTGAAAAAATAGTTTCCATGGGTTTTAATGAGTACTCATTTAATTCAAAATTAAGATGTTTTACAGATGTTTTATTTTTGAAATATCTGCAAGGGTATATAAAATTCGGCTTGCCGAAGTTTGCTTCCTTTCTTGTGTTAGTTTAGTGTTAATTTTTTATTTAGGATTCCGAGTACCTCCAAGCAACAGGTAAAGTTAAAGGGAACAGCGTTACGACTTTTTTTTCCTGAAATGAAAAATGTTACATTCTAAACTTACGTGTATCCATCAAAATCGCCACTGTTAATCGCTTCAATCAGCTGTTCAGTAATCTTTATTATTTCTTGTCGTCTAGCTGCTTTGTAAATAGAAAAACTTTTTAATTAGTTTGTTTAAATATTAATGTTTTAATGATACAATTAATCAGTCTTCATCTCACCCTCATCAATCTATGAACTCAATAACACGATTATGCTCATAAGTAATAACATCATGACAATAAAATATTCTTTTAAATTCAGCACCTAATTGATTTCGTTTTATCGAAAACTTAAAGCCTTGAAAAGTGCCATGTAACTTTCATTAGTTTGTAAATTTAAAACAAACAAGGAAGACTGAGGCTAAATATACCCTTACAGGCCTTTAATTGTTAAAGGGTGAACAAAGTTTCATAGGTTTTAAATTCAACAGCACAGGGAGTTTCCCGAATTTTAACGTTGTAATTAATGGAATGTTCAAGTTATTTCAGTAATTGAGTTGATTTTGACACGCTTAAAGCAGTTTCGTTTTTATAAATATTTTAGGTTCACGACCAACAAAGTCGAAAAAATTTATTCAGAAAGAAGGATGTAACTCTGTTGTGGTAAATTTAGGTTTTGTAACTTAAAGTAGTAGAGTAAGGTTAAATTTATTAATTAAATTTATATATTTTGGGTGTGAAGATCAAAAGGTGCAAGCAAGTTCGATGAACACCATCAGTTATAAGTTAAATGAATTTAAGAGTAGCTAAAAATAAGTCCGATAGAGGTTACTTCGGTCAATATGGTTAACAAAACTCATAACATATTAATATCAGAAATGTTTTTTTACAAATTCGTTTCGTGACTGCTACGAAACATACGTTTATCATTTCTATTTGCAGAAGGAAAGATTAATCATTGGATAGGATTATACTTATTTTTATAAAGTGCTGGAACTATGTATATAATACTTATAGGCAAAATTTAAATTAATTTTAACCGACCATAAATTTCTTAATTAGCATTAACAGCCACATCGATATATACAAATTGTTCTGACCGTATTACCCAAAAGATTCCAAAAACTAAGTCTAGAAAGTTTAAATATCAAACACGTGGTATCGGAAAGACTTCATAGTGCAATATTGTTGCAAATTATATGCAAAATCCGTTTTTAGGCAGGCAACATATATATGAATTTTCTATACAGTAAAGTTCAATTAATTACTTCAAGAACCGTTTTTTCAATATTCTAACTTATTTTTTTTACACAGGCTTTTAATAAGACATAAAAAAAAATGTAACAGTTTGGTTTAAAAGTTTAAGAAAGTTTTATTTATAGTAAAAAAGTTGGATCGGGATTATGATCAAGGGGCCTGCTTGTACTGATTAGGTAAGAAATCCACCTGCAGTTTATATTTGTATTGTTACAAAACGTGTTAGCCTCCAAAAAGTATAATATTCAATTTAATAGGAAATTGGCATTGCTGATAATAGAACAATTTTAACGGAAAAGAAAACATAAAATTGTACAAAAGTCGTTTAAATGGAAGAAATATTGTATTGGTAAGGACACTTTTACTCATCAGCATAGTGCAAATGGTTAAAACATAGTTAGCATGCATTTTTGCAAGCACAAATTATAAGTGTAAGTGCTTGCTGAAATAAAATTAGCATAAAAATACTGTCTTTCTCTTGTTAAGCCTAGTACTCGGATCGAAAACAGTTTCACTATCTGACAAAATGTATTCTCTCCAGTGTGAAGGATGTCTCAAGAATTCATCGCAACAGGGTGTGCTAGGCTCTTGTTAAACAATAAACTATTTAAATTCATCCCGCCAGCTTGCAACTATTAGGTAAACATATGTATATCTACAGCACATGTAAAATTTCAAAGCACTTTCAGTCCTTGTCCATAGCACCAACTACCACTTTTGAATGAGCATAGTATTCAATATCGGGCTTATTCTGAAACGCTACACGCAGGAACGATTTAGCTACAAATATTGCTGGTCAGTTGCTCTGCGCCTATTGACGGCAAGGCGGGGCTCTAGTCTCATGTTTTTTTTAATTTTTTTATTTTTATTGCTCTTATTTTATTTTTATTGTCCACTGTACAGTACCACATACAAAATGTTTAACTACTTACTACGATTGACGAAAAAACACTAATAATAGCCGAAAACTGTAAACCACATTTTTTGGTGGACACGCCTTTTTATTAAGGGTTATATAGTTTTTTTTGTTTTGCTGTATATTTTTTGATTCAAGAAAAAATCTGCTCTGCCCACTCTGACCTCAAAAGAATATATTTTTTATTCTTTTTGCTAAGTTAATTTCATCCGGTGTGAAAAAAAAACCCTGACGAAAAGTCTCCGCCACTTATTTGCATTTGAGTACTAAGCTTTCAACGGCAGATACATTTTGTTTTTTTTTTTTAAATTAATTTTCTGTGAGTTAATTAGCTTGTCTGTACAAGAGGAAATTCAAATAAACCCTTCCTAAAAACGTCAATTTTTATCGAATTTTTGGTATACATACATACCTGACGAGCACTGGGAGTTTCCTGTAATTTGCTGGCAAGTTTTTGCAGGACACAGTATCCTTATATCTAAAACGCACATTTGGTATTTGCATAAAAATCAATGTTTTATACAAATTTTTAAAAAAATCATCACAGGAAAAAACATTTGTTTAATGTAGCTAATGAAATTATTTCTAGGTTAGAAAAATGGAATGAATTTTCGAACTATACAATGAGTGAGAAAATGTGCCTTTATTGGATCTGAACGTTCATGAATGTGTTATATTTTGAAAAATATTATGCTGTCTTTTAAGGCAGCCCACTAGACAGTCGTCTAGACAATGGTGTTTTTGTTCTTATTATTATTATTTGTGACCGCCAATGCAGTTCCTTCGACTTTATGCGCTTAACAAGTATACCATTAATCCCACTTTCTCCACTAGACTCCAGCGGTCCAAAATTTAATTAACCCTGAGGCAGCAAAACTTTGTCAAATCAAACGCCTTCGTCAATAGGAGACAGCTGCCAGTCATATGATTTTGTTTGGAAACAAAAGGGACCAAAAGAAGATCAATTTTCCTATGTTAAAGGGAAATCCGAAAATGTTATCAAGGAAATATATTTTAGCTGAAATTGCTGAAGCAATCATCAGGATTACTACTACCATTCAAAAGTTTCTAAACACAGAGTAAGTGCTATCTTTTCAAAAAGTGTTTAAAGTTGAGTATTTAAAACACTATAACTTCCGTTAAACTTCGAAATTCTCAAAACCGACCCAGATGTATTTTTATTGTTGTTGCTGTGAACCCAAAAAGATAAAAGGTTCCATGAAAATCTGACCTTTAAGTTTTAAGTAACCCACTTGGCAGATTTTCCCCCAATACGAAGACAACTCCTCTTGGGAAAGTTTTATGCAGATAGCTTTAAAACTGAGAGCCTAGTTTGCGTAGAAGCGGGCGGACGGAAGGACAGATCAACTCTCCTAGTGGTACTGATGAAGAATATATATGTACTTTATAAGGTCGGAAATAAATTCTTCACTGCGTTGCAAACTTCTGACTGAAATTATAATACCCTCTGAAAGGGTATAAAAACATAGGCTAAGTCTATACCTGTAAATTTATCTTTATTTTGAGAGTTCAAATTCTAAATTTCAAACCATCGTAATTTGGTCTGTTTATGTTCTGAATTAAATCTATACATATAAATAAGCATTCATTATGTAAGGAAATATTGAAAAAAAATAGGCAGTTTGGAAATACTTAAAATAGCACTACTTTTATTATTTAAACTAAACACGACTTCAAGATATCCTGAATATGATAGAGATTTCAAACTAAAAGAATTACCAGTTACATACTCACCAATAAAGGGGAATGAAAGCTGGCTTGGGTCTCTTAAATTCTTGGAAAGTGAACTCTTCATTTCTCAATCACATGGTCATTTATTAAACTAGAGATAGCTCTAGTTGAGGTATATAGTTTAATTTACTGGAACCTATTATCTCTTTCTAAGCGAAAAGTATCAATATTTTTGTGTCTGTCGGGTATTATATGGGCATTTTTCATTCAGCGTTTTTAAAATTTAAAGAGAAAGTCGATTCACAGTAGCAGATATATTTAAATTCAAACCAATTGAGCAAAAAAACATTTGGTTTGCGACTTGTGGGCGGACAGACGTGTCTTATTAGACTACACCTTTTGTAAGGACAGAAGCGCTTCATTCAACCTGTTCGCTTTGTCCGAATTGTCCGCTACGAATAACGTCTATATATATTTATAATAAACAAAAAAGTAAAATAAAAAAATTGTAATCCTATCCTGAGTAAACAATCATGTTCTTATTTTCAATCGCTCAAAAATTAAAGCTTTTTTCCTCAATGAATTGAATTGAATTTTATTTTGTAGGACTTGATTAGTTTATTATCTACGTTTAATGGCGCCCTTTTATTTAAAAGCCCATCAATGGGCTGTTTAACTTATACTAGTAAAAATATTAACCTTGTTCTGCATTTCGACCAAATTTTCGGACTAATAATGCAAAGATAAACTTATACTTTAATTTCCTTTAATAAACTTTATTATTATTAAACACTACATAGAATTAAGTTTCTTGTCATGATGCATAATATTTTTATAAAAAAAAGGGTATGTGAATATACTGACATTAAGATTTTCTTTTGTGTTGAGAACCAACAAAGTTATTCCTCACAAGTTTCAATAATCATTATATTGACATTTAATATAAAAAAAGCATTTTGTTCAACTTTCAAATTTAAGTACACTTAACTAAATATTCTAATGGTTTTGTTGCACTTAAGTTTCAATCCAAATGCAGAAGATTCAAGGCTGGAAAAAAGATCAAAATAAGACTATTGGGAATCGACAGCAAACTTTTGAATATATATTTTTTGATGAGCAACCAGAAGCGCACGCACATGGTACAAGTTCTTAATTTCGATTTTAATGCCGCGCAACAATTCATAGTGCTTTATATAAATATACTTATGCAATGTAGCCTTTACTTAAACATTATTCAGCGATATAACTTTTTGAGTTAACCTAGCGTTGTATAAGTATTTGGATATTGTCTTAGCACAAAAATGAACAGATGATGGTGAGAATGTGCGTTATAGATATTTAATGATTTTTATAGAATTAGTGTTTGTGAATTACAAAAAACCAACAATGCATGTTAACATTTACCTTCAGGCTCTTTTGATATGACTGTGGTACTGCGATCAACGATTCCTTTTTTATCTTCTAGGAAAAACAAAAAAATGTACAAAAATGGCATATTTTTAAATGCATATGTTCCAAATTTTCCGTTACAGTCTTTCTGAGATTGTGAGTTTTGTTTGTGTTGGAATGATTTAACTTACATAACTCTATTATATTTTCTATATTCTCTAAAATACATATGGCCAAATTAAATGGAAAAAAAATTTGTGTCCTTTGTGCATTTACAATGTTTTGGATTTTGCATTAACAACAGTTTAATTGGGAGCGTGCAATAATGACCAAAGTGAATTCTTACGAGATTCTAAAATAATAACATCACTAAAAACTTTTCGCTCCTTGTAATGGTATTTTTTTGTAATAAAATTGAATAAACATAAGAGGCAAGAGTGTTTACAAAACCACCTATGTTTAGATCAGTGAAGTCCACACAAATGCATTTACATGTTAACTTGCATTTGTGTGGGTCAAACCGAAGACGCTTGCCGAAGCCACACGACCGTTTACACTGTCGGTGTCGGCAGAGAGCCGGCAGAATAAATCGCTGTTCGCGAACTCGTGCGCGTGAACACCACTGGTTTAGATAATACAGCGGGACTTTTTCACACTTGCGTGTGCGTTGTTGCACTTGGGTATTATTGCACGTACACAAAAATTCATGAAATTTTATGAAAAGTTCAGATTTAATTCGAAATGGAGCATCGACTTTCCATAAGGGTTAAAACAATTTTTTTTGCCAGATACTCACCTCTATCAAAAAACCTACGAATTGAAAATACCTATACAAATTTTTATCACGAATTTTTGATTCCAGTGAGGGTTAGTTAAAGTAAGTTCAGACTGAACAAATTTCATAAATTTTTTGATATGTTAAGCTTAGTAATTATCTGATGAAGTAAAGTGCTAATAAATATTAAAGTGTCTTGAATGATAAATTAAACATGAAATATACTCATTTAAGTTGGCAAAAAACTTTGTGTTAAAGTCTTAAATGATTTGAAACCTTAAAATATTTGTTTACAATTTTGGGTCAGAGGTTAGAGCATTTTCTCAAGTTAGAATTACAGATGGAAATTAGTTACATTTTTTTTAAAGTGATTGGAAAATAAAAAAATAAAAATTTTGCATATATATATGTAACTGTTTTCCAAAAATGTAAAAGAAATGTTTTAATATTACTTGTGATCACTATATTAAGATTTTTGTGTAAAACATACTTCGCCCTTACATTAATGACAAAAATCACGTGTATTTAAAAATGTAAAAAATGTATAAATTTGTTAAATCGTCTATCTGACATTAGCTTTTGAAATTAGGTTTAAAGTGCAATTTTGTCAGTATTATAGGGAATGATTGAGTTCGTGCAAAATTACATAAATAAGCTTCTAATAATTTTTAATAAGAAAAAAAAGATTTAAATGATTTTAGCAAATATGTTTGGTTATGACGGCTATTTTACTGAAGGATTAGTACGAAAGCACGTCTTTCCGTATTCCTGAGCTAACTTAATTAGATTTTATTAAAATGTTGGCCTGCAAGGGTATTTAAAGCTTTATTCTTACTAGATAGCTGCTAAGTTAAAAATGATTTAATCAACTTAACTATATGCAAATTTAAAAAAAAAGGTTTAACGTCTTTATAAAAAAAGGAAAAATTCCATTGTGAACCACGGTAAATTTTTTTGTAGTTTACGTTATGTTTATTTAAATTTAAAGTCCTGTACGCTCAGTTTTAACGTTTTAATAATTTCCGAATCTCTCTTTCCCAAGAATCAAGAACTAAATAATATTAAAAAATTATAAATAAGATAAATTAAAAGAATGGAAATACAAATTAAGTTCACAATCTTTGCTATTTCACATGTTAACTTTATGTTTTAGTATCAAACTGTATATCGTTGAATGAATGCATTTTATTTTATCTGGTACTGAGTCTTGGTGCAAAAATCTAGCGTTAAATTGTGAGCCCTCACATACTAAACTAATTTACTAATGTTGACCAAATCTTGACATTTTTAGTCTACTATAAATAAATGCGTAATATTTCATTATTTGATATATTTACCTTTTATATCATCGTCTTCAAGTGTAGTGCTAGAAGAATCAGTTGATTCCTTGACTTGAGATCCATCACCCTTTTTGGTAATCATACTTCTGCCTATAAACATACAAAAATTGTTTATTTACTTATTATTTCCGTGACTATAATTACAAATTTTAGCAGCCTTTAAAAATATATATGGACCATGTCGTCTTCAACAAAAGGTTAAAAAACAAATATATTTCAGAAGTTTAGAAATCTCAATTTTTTGAGGAATTGTACCATCAGAGAGGTTATTATAGATTCAGTCAAAAGTTTGAAACGCAGTGAAACACAATTGCGACCCTATAGAGTAGATATATTTCAGATCCCCATCGCTGCAGAGTCGATCTAGCCATGTCCAAGTTTATATACCCTTGCAGCTATTGCAAAAATGAAATATTCTTGAAAACACTTAATTTTCGATTTATATGAAGCTTTGATGATTTTCAGCCCAATTTTTCGATCGTTTCAATGGCAGCTATATGAAATCGTTTTCGGATTTGAATACATTAAAAACGTAAATCTGAACTATCAATGTGAAAAAGAATTAAAAAAAAAAATTTTTTAAATAGAAAAGCTACATTTAAAAAAAATGTGTTGTTTTTATATTCCGGTTATTCTAATGGGAGCTATATGAAATAGTCGTCCAATTATAATATAATTTAAACCGTAATTCTAAAATTTTTAACTATTACTATATCTCGACGAACGAAAAAAAAATATAAAACAGCAAAGTTATCATTTATTTTCATTTATTTTTCCGATTGCTCCTATGGGACTATACGGTCGTTCCGACTTGTATACTACTTGCAATAGAAATACAAGATTTGGGGAGTTTCACGCAGATAGCTCTATAACTAAGAGACTAGTTTGCGTAAAAACAGACGGACGGACGCACAGGCGAACATGGCTAGATCTACTCTCCTAGTGATGCTAATCAAGAACATATATACTCTATAGGGTCTGAGATAAAAAATTACAGCTTCGTTTAATTGTATTCAAATATATTTCAAAATAACTTTTTAAATTTTATAAAAGTAGGGCAACGATATCATGTAGCTGCCATAGGAATGAAATAAAGTCCTTTGATTAAAGATTATATTATTATAATAACTGCAAGGATATATAAACTTTGCCAAAGAAATAATGTGTACAATAAAAATGATCCCAAGACCCTAACATAGCAGTTTGTTTTGAACTGTTGGACAAATTTTCAATTTGAAAAGACCCTTCAAATCCTTTTTGTTGAACAACTATGAATTTAGTACTGAATTGGCGGCATATTTAATATGTCGATTGCCATAGGACAACAGAGTAGACTCCACATGTACTGTACCCACTTAACAAATGTTTTAAGTGCTTGCTGCTCAGCAATTTGAGCACTTATCGAAAAGCATGAAAAACGGGACGAACGTTAATTGCGGAAAAAGGTATTTACCTCTCGTAAGTCTTTTTGCCGATTTGAGTACTGAACTTTAATGTTAACATGTTTGTCTCCCCGTCTGTATGAACGTCGAGATCATGGAATGCAAAAAAGCCAGAGATTTTCTATCTGGCCACGCCCAGTTAAAGGCCGGCTATGTCATTCGGGGACTCTGACAGATGCCAGTTATCAGGCGACGTAAGTTTATTCGGTCGGTCGATAGTTATTATCGACAAACCAACAATTTTTCCAAATTATTATTTTAAAATGTTTTTTTTGCTTACTCGAGAAGTTTCTGGTGGCCAACATGGTCGTAAGTATTGCTCCCTTTAGCTTGCGACGTGCATTAAACTTCTTGAGACAGTCTACGGTTTCTTGGCGATGCACAACGGAAGCCACTCGCTCTCGTTGCTGTAAATATAAATATAAACAATATACAATATATATAACAAAATATGAATGCCTCTACTTACGCAAATCCATGGGTGTTTTAATGCCTCGGCGGCAGTTATTCGCTTGTTTGGATTCACCGTAAGCATTTGATTGATAAGATTCTTTGCTTCTGGGGTGACCGTATCCCATTCTGGTGACGGATACTTAAATAGAATAACATTAATTGATGATTAACCGTTAAAGCTAAACCTGATTTCTTACATCATAAGCTCCTGCTTTAATCTGTGAGTACAAGCGGTGCTGATCTTCGTCCCAGAATGGTGGATAGCCGACAAGAAGTATATAGAGGATTACTCCTGTGAAAACAAAAAAATAGTTGCTGAACTGTGTAATCCGACTTACATAATAGCAAATGCACGAAAACACAAATATTATAGAAATAGTAATTGCTTACCACATGCCCAAATATCTACCGATTTGCCATACGGCTCCTTTTTCAATACCTCTGGCGACAGATATCCTGGAGTGCCAGCAAATCCAAACCATGCCTGATGATCGCCTTGAACTTCAATGGCTAGACCAAAGTCAGCGAGTTTCACTGCTGCACCCTTTGCCTTACTAGCTAATAGTAAATTCTCTGGTTTCAGATCTCGATGCACCACACCATTCTGGTGGCAGTGATTGACCGATTCCAATATTTGTTGAATACAATGTGATGCATCAGCCTCTGAATAAAATTCACGTGCAACAATATCTTCGAAAAGTTCACCACCAGTTACACTGCAAATGTATTTATGCATTGTCAAATTTTGTTGATTGGTTTTCTTAATTTAGACTATATTTAAGTAACAAAAGCGGTAGGAACTTCTTTATTTTTGTATAGAGTTTGCTGAAAAGTTTTGATCATGTTCATACAGGTGTATGAAAAATCGGAGGTAAAAGGATGGAGTATGAATCTCAAGAAACAATAGTCAAGTCATTGCTACATGTATAAGCGTTTGTTGGAAACTCATTTTTACAAATTTTTGAAAATAGGCAACGGGAATTTTGGAGTTTTTTTATGGAGTTTATAGCTTACAGATCAAAAACAAGGTAGTGATAGTTCTCCTCCTGTATGCTGTCATGCAATCGCACTGAAATAAAACAAATGTAATATTCAATTACTTTAAATAGTAACCCTAAGACTGCAAAATTTTGTTGTTCAATATGTGTAATAGATTTTAGGCCAGTTGGAACTAAAGCATTTTGTTTATACTAGTTAAGATGCCCACGTAACGCAAGTTTATTTCAAAATGTGATTCTCGAATTAATAAGTTTATTTTTTATTTGAACAAGAAAGGAAGAAAACTTCAGCAAACCGAACTTTATATACTTTTGCAGCCATTGCAAAAATAAAACATCTTTAAAATATCTTACTTTCGAATTATACCCATTAAATGATGATGATTTTTACCACAATCATTCGATCGTTCCTATGATAGCTATATGAAATCCTTTAATTTAATAAACTTAAAAGCGTTATTCTGATTTATCAAACACTTTTAAAAAAAGCGGTTCTTGCATGGAAATTTTTGAGTGTAAGAGCGAAAACAGGCAAAAATTGTTAGAGCGCACCAATGCAAACATATGGGCCAAAAAATTAATAAACGTTTCAACACTTTTGTAAAACAAATTTTTGATGCGTATTACACATAACCATCAGGCCTACAATCTGCGAATAAAAATTTAGGAAGTTTTAAAAGTTTTCACACAACTTACCTATGTTAGGATGGTGTAATTTTCTGCAGATCCTTGCTTCACGTTCCAGTTTTTGAAAGTCTAAAATGTAAAAGCAGCAATATGAAATAGGTTAGTTTTACTTTCATGATGTGAATTAATCTGAAATCCATGAAAATAGTTATGCTTTTCCAATCTATTCTTTCATTCTTTCTATTAAAAATTGTTATTTTACTGGCTTAGATGAGTTAAAATTTTTTGGCATTGTGTAACAGTTCTATTTTGACATCCCAGGACGTGTTGTTGGGGCTATTGTTCCACTTGAAGTTGAAGCTATCGCTTTCTAATCTTATGTATAACAAGTCTGCTTATAATAAACATAAAGAGTGTGGCTCGCAAGCCGCCTTTTCCAGAACTTAAGTGTTATAAACGACCAGTGTTATAGTGGCTATTTAACTCGTAGGATTCAGTTTTTACTAGATCCAAAACAGTTTTATACTTTTGTTAACACTAAGCATCTCTATCGTGTTTTGTGTTTTCTGTTTTCTGAAGACGATTAAATTTGTTCCTAGTGCTGTTAACAAAATGTTGTTAGTTTTCCTGTTGCTGGCAACTATTTTATTTGTCTCTTCTATATCTGGTCAATTTTTGCCATTTCTCACAGTTGGGTTACATCTATCAAATGTTGCATTTATTGTCAGTCAATATGATCTCGCAAAAATTTATTTTACTTCGCGCTACGAATACGTTTTTGAGCACCCAAATCTTGTTTGCCTTACTGCATATTTTGTTGATTTCTTTTTTTATACAGAATTCTTATAAACATATGTGCGACGAATACTTTTGTGAGTCACTGTAGTTTTTAAATGTTCAATACACAAGCATTTTCATTTGGTACTTACAGGTGCTTGCTCAACTAAAAAATAGTGATAGTGAACATAAAATCTATATAACCATCTCCTTACCTCTTGCGGTCAACTTTTTTGTATTTATAATTTTTGCAGCAAATTCAAATCCAGTTGATTTTTGGACACATCTTTTTACTATTGAGAATGCCCCTCTAAAATACGAAAAAAAATTAACAATTATTTATGACCGACGTATAAGCTTTGGTTCTGTTTAACTTACTTTCCCAGCTCTTCTTTGATGTCGTAATTGTCCGAAAAACGCGTACAGGCTGCTGGTGCAGCCATCGCGATGGCACACTTAAGAAAATCTATTGCGACTAGAGATATTTAACAAATCTGCAGAAGTGCCTTCTCTTGGGTCTTCAAGTTTTGTCTCTGAATAGTGTAAATAAACCAGCATTGTTAGATACAATACAAATAAATATCTAATTTTAAAATATGATAACAGCCATATACAATCAATCTAATATTTCAGATATTCTACCCATTGTTTATAAAAAGCTATGGTGCAGTGACAACGTCCAGATTTTAAATTTCTTACATTCAAATACATGACATCTAAGAAACTGAGCGCTAATCTTATATACTGCGGTATCGTGGAAATGCAAAAATGAATTCAATTAACAAGAGCGCTTGAAAATTCTCTGTTCTGTTATGCTACTACTAAAACTTAAGTCTCCACTGGCCGGGCCGATCTTGCGTATACTATTGCAAGCAACCTGGTAACTTCCGCCCTCGAATCGCGACCTCGGTCATTCTCTGGTCCTGCTCTGGCTTTATGTAAATAATAACAATCCAATGAAGGGATCCCAGTGTCTTATCCTGCGAAATCCATGTGCGATTGGCGTTCACTTGTTCACTACTCTTAGCTTATCGTGGTGGCCGCGGATATATGTAGTATTGATATGGCTTTGGGCGGCTGATCGAACACATCTCGATAACAATACGATTGTTCTTCAAAACTCAACCATATCTAGACATCAGTCGTATTTGTTCCGCAGGAGTAGCTTTTCTTTTGCAATTATGTAGTCGATAAGCAACTGATTTAATAACATAAAAGTAACTTGGTCAATCTACAGTTATTGTATTAGGTATTTTTATCTGGTTTGGTCACACACTTTAGATGGATTTCGGTTCTAGCTCGTAGCGGCGTTTTGAGCATTCCCAAATTAAGGTTGACCTGTTTACACTAGGGTCTACCGAGTTTTGAGCAGTACTCTTCTTTATACATAGGGAAGTTAAACTAAAGTTACCGTTGAATTTGTCAATTGAGGCATGAGGTTCTAATGAGGTAACGATTTCAGTTAAACAACTGTATTTGATATTATAATTATACCCGTTACTCGAAGAGGAAAATAGTATGCGGAAAATTCGTTGAAAATTGAATTTAACAGCTAGAAGAAAGCGTTTTCGACCCTATAAAGTATATCAGGCCGAGTCGATCTTGTATCTAGTAGTCGTCTGTTTGAAACGGAAACTATAAGAGCTAGATATTTAGGATTTGACATGCAGATTCTTGTTATTCTTACGCAGCGTAGGTTTATTTCAAAACGTGGTCATGTCACTCTGAGGCATGTTAAACCTTAGTTATTGTTTGTGTGTAGTAGACACGAAAATTAAAATCGACCTACTATTTAAGAGCTACTATTTATGAGTTTTTAAGACCTTTGATAAAAGTGAACTATAAAACTAGCCTTGCTGAAGGGCCATGTACGGAAAAACGAAGCCATAAAATCATCTGAACTTTTTTATCATGAATTACTTACATTTTTACTTTGTACACACATACAAGTTGATATTTCGTCAATATTTCTTATTTTTTCAAAAGTGTTCCACAAGGAAAAACAATATATACATGAAATAATTTTTGGAGCTTAATACTGAGCTAAAACCAAAGTTAAGGAAACTTTAAAATTTGTTATAATGAAAAAAAGTCCTTTAAAACTTATATTGCGTACTTTTACCAGCACATCTTTTGTCGAAAAATGGTTACTTCAAATTTTGATCTCAGACAATGTAAATTTGAGTCCCAAAACAATTTCTTAAAAATTCTCGAGCAGCGACAGGTGTTTTTGGTTACGGTTGGTTTCTTACTGAATCAGAAAATCCTGCCTAGAAGAATGTATCTGGGGCGCTGTACAAGGCATGTACGTAAGTATGTATCCTTTGCAGGTTTCTTATGCTGGAGCTTTTTTTGATTGAGCTTAATGGCAAAACGCCCCTCCCCGTTTAACAAGGAAATGCCAGGGCATTAGGTAGAACTTGTTGCGAATAATCCAGATGCGCAAAATTATATTAGGGTGTTTTACCCGTAAATAAAATAAAATATCTGCATGAACATTTACAGCTGTATTTTAACCATTACTTTGTCTAAAATAAAACGTAACGAGACACTGGGATAAGACCAACAATTCAAATTATATAAAATACAAATATGTTATTTTAATATTTACACATAAAATTTCAACATTTTTAATCCTGCACACGCTAGAAGTTCCATAATATATATGTGATATATGAATGTATGTACATGTACGTACATACATGTATAAACTGTGTAAATTTATGAACACAAACATACATATGAACATAAATGGATACATACAAACGTCGAATAAACGTCCTTTAAAGCTTGGGGCGAGGCGAGAAAATAGATTTATTAAATTAATTATGCCATCCTACACACTATCACATGCTTACAAAATTATATTAAAAGTATATGTCAACTTATATACTCAGAAAATTAATATACTTGGATCGAAAATATGTACGTTTGTGTATATTTTTGAATCTGTGTTGACCCAGAATTGTACCAGGAGAATACTACACAATTATAGATATGTATATTTATACAAATATATGTGTGAATAAGTATACACATATGTATATAAAAAGAGTGTATTTTATCAAATGGATACCTATAGTTGATGTATACTTAGATGTGTGCACTAAAATCAATGTTTCAACGTCAACCCGATGGATGTGTTTGATTTTCCGTTAATATCTTTTGGAATGACAATATGGTAAGTTATTGTTCCGAAATGCACATAAAAATATCTACATATGTATATATGTTTTTAGCGAACTGGGAAACCACGACGCGTCAGATACAGAAATTTTTAGAACGTCTGTTTGCTTGAAAATCGAATTCAATACTGACTAACAAGATTTTGCGGTCGCGTTTGATTCGATGAAGTACCGAAACGAAAAGCTTTTTGCCGACTTTTCTCAGACTGTCGTTCAATTGAAAACTTATGCCCACGAAGGCTTGCTCGAGGTAGACCATGCCCAGGAGTCTGCGCACTAAAAAAATATGCATTAGTGTCCGAAATACACATCTCAGTATTTTACAATAATAGTATTTTGTTGGAAACTCGGTAATTAACATCCAAATCTTTTTGGAAAGCATTGTCTTCAAATATATTTTGTAGAATCAACAATTCAATTTTTTCAATATGTGCATTTATGACATCTAAGGATGATCTAGGAACGAACAGCGCTGACGATATAATTTATTCTAACTAGATGTGATGCATAAAAATGTTTACGAAAATTGTACACTCGTTTTTTCAGTAATACCGGTACAAACAATATATATGTTATTAATCCTTGAAAGAAATTTTTACTAATGTAACAGTGTTTGCAGCGTTTTTAAATAGTCAACGTCTGATGTTCCCATCTCAATTTTTTCCACCGCTATTTGTAAATTCCCAAACAAAATGCTGTCATTCTTAACAAAAATACTTAAACGACGAAATCGAACTTTCTCTTAGTAAAAGGGATCAATTTGTTTGAATAAATTTGTTAAGTTGTAATTATCCTGTGCACCTTTTCCCGTCCCCGCGGAACGGTTGGGAACGAACCGACTATCCTCAATACAAAAACAGCTACCACTTCGCTGCTCTGGACAGGAATTTGTTGTAAGTGCTCTTTAGGCTCTTCCAAAGAAGCTGTCCCTTTCCAGAAGTAAGTGAACGTCTCTGGCTATTTTTGATTTATTTTCCGCCGAGAAATTAGGGTTGCAGGTAAAAAAATCGGCTAGGAAACGTGAGGTTGCATAGAAACATGATTAGAACATTATCATTTACTAAAAATCAGTTTAAGTACGATCATGTACCGTGTAGGATATGGATAAAACTGGTAAACTTGGGCACGTCAAAACCTATTGGACTATCCTGTAAGTTAATAATGGACGGTGCTCGCAAATACCCGCCAACATTTTCAAGGTGTCCAAAAAAAAAACCGATCATCTACGGACACTTTGATGAGTCGGGAACAAGCAAATTAAAAGGTGTTTCGCTCAAAGCAGTCTCTTTGGTTGTCTTTCAGGGGGAAAAAAAGAACAAAATCAAACATCAAGGGCTCCGTCTAGTTTGAAGTTCGAAACAAAGAAGGCAAAAAAAAATTCTGCCGCCGCTCTGCTGCTGCCGATGCATGTTCATGTTTAACATGACACGGTTGAGAAACTGCAGCGGGCAGTATGGTTTGAAAAAAGTATTCTCAAACCCTGTCATGTTTAGTTACTAAAATTCTATGTCAATCATGTAAAATGTTACATGAATATCGTAGGCATTTCACCAAAATTGTGTGCATACTTTTAGGCACCACCAAACAAAGGACTTATAGGTCCTTTGAATCACATTCGTTTCCAATATAAAATTAAAAAAAAATTTCTCGACTGTTTTTGGTATGAGGATCCTTAGCCAAATAGTAGCACTAACGCAAAAATATAATAGCATAAATTATAAATTACTACTGTTAAATTACTAAAATTGTATGTCAATCATGTACAATTTTACATGAATATCGTAGGCATTGCACCAAAATTGTGAGCCTACTTTTAGGCACCAACAAACAAAGGACCTATAGGTCTTTTGAATGATTGCATTCTTTTTCAAAACAAACATTTTTTTTAAATCTCTGGGATGTTTTGGGTATGAGCAAAAAATGTCATAGGTTTAGGCAGTTAAATTCTGTTCGGCTGTTATTAAGAATCAAAGAACCCGTAAATTCGTCCTTTTTGGGTCTTTAAGATAATTTTTCTCGAAAACTGAGGGTGTGGAGGAATTCAAAGAATGAGGTTCAGCACACCTAGATTTATTAGGCCTATATAGTCGCACCAACTGGTTTTTTTAATCGACCCAATTTGTTGCACAGTGTTATTAAATCACATTGAGAGTTCACTGTAAAAGTCTTTTTTACACTGTCAGCAGTGTAAACGGAGTAAGGAGTATCTTGGATACTATCTTTTGAGACTGTGGCACACTAGCAGTATGTGTGTATGCAAACGACTTTGCACCCAGCTGCCCTAAAGAAGGCATATTTCCAGAAGCGATCATGGGTGAAAATTACAAAATGTAACATTCTAACCTTTCAATATTTCCAGCCTCAATATAAAGAGGTGCAGGAACCAAATTCACAAATTCGCAAACTATGTTTCGTAATCAAACAAAACTAATTGAATAAAAATAAAGTATTTTTTTTTTGTTTTTGGTAAAATACTAAATAATAATAATTCGTCAAAAAATCTGATAAAGAAGTTTTTAGAGTTGATGGATTGATTTTAATTAAACTTAGTATTCCTAATTAAATAACTAATATTTTTTGTGTTCTTTTTTCTGTTTGTGGACAGCTTTCAATTTGTTGGTTGTTTTCACTCGAACTTTTCGTGATACTCGGCCATTAAAGTTGTGATCATGCAAATAACCGCGCACTGTACAACTTCTTCCTTGACCTATGCAACGATTTTTGGACCGAAAAGCTACGGTTTTCTCTATTTTGTGACCGTCCGTCTGTTAGTCCGTTTGTCTGTCCGACTCTACGCAAAAAACTTTCCCAATATTTCTGAACTTTTATAAGTATATTTGTACAACCCAAAATTAGACGTAAATCTGTAAAATCGAAAATATTATGGTTATAACTTTCAATACTTTAACGTATATGTCCAAAATTAAGTCATTCTGTTTAATTTTATCATTTATATTTTTAACCATATATACGATTAAGTTAACGAAGTAAGCTGTTACATGAAAAAAAATATAATTTTAAAAATAAAAAAAATGTGCTTTACAATTTTGTCGATGTCTTTAATAGTTTATTGATTATTAAATTTTTAATTTGAGTACAGCTCTGTCAGCCACCGAATGTGTTAGAGATTGTATTAAAAGTGATTAATGTCAGTGAAAGCTATACTAAATAGAGAATATTATGCAAATTGATGTAACGCATTTTCTAATGGCTTAATGCTCTTTGAGTAAGTGTATACAATGGAAAAAACAAATTTTTCATTAACATTAGATGGCCAGCCAGTTTTTAATGTTCCGAAGTCATTCGTTTTGTTAAAACCTGAACACGTTGAGCATTGCAGCTCTTACATAGAACGTGATCATCTAGGGGATAACATCCTCGACCTTCAGCTTCAGATGACAGTAAAAGCCCACAGTCCTAGTATATGAAACAAGAAATAATATATTTACTCGGTTTTTTGCTTGGAAAAATAGGTTTGTTTACCTCGCACTTGTAGCATTCAAGGTGAAAACTTCGATCTAATGCCACTACTCTGACAGTTTCTTCTTGTCCTGGATCTGGCATAATTGGTTCTTTGCAGACACAACAACGAGGAGCGAATTTTCTTTAATTTACAATAAATTAGTCATAAGGCCATTACACTAAATTAAATGACTTACTTATGAAAATCTGTTATGCAATAGTTCTGATTAGTGGCATCAACAGTAAATAATAGTCCATCTAAGCTTTTACCACACACAACACATGTGAAGCATTGCGGATGGTATGGCTTTCCGGTAGCTCTGAGAATTCTCTCCAAAATGGGCTCCATGCAAACAGAACACTTTTCCAGTGTTTGTAGATAATCTGATTCACAATATGGTTTTCCGTCCAATGCATAGAATGGCTTTCCCTGCAAGTTTATTTGACAGTCTGTGCACGTAAAGCAAGATATATGGTATATTTGATCCATTGCAGTACATCCACTACTCTCTCCAAGTACACGAGAATTGCATTTGACACACCTGCCTTTAAGCAGAATATTAATGTTGTTATCTTAGACAATTTCGTTGTATTTTAACTTACCATAGTTTTCAAATTCTTGAACTGAATCGGGGGCTAATGAAATGTTATTACTAATACCGTCCCCATTATTTAAATGAGTATTTTTTTCACCGTAACATTTAGTTCGGCCATTACCATGCGCATATAACAACTGTTCCCTTTCAATCGAGTTCTTAATATTTAAGTTGCAGGAACTGCTTGAGATGTTATTATCATTAACGTATGAACCATACGGATTACAACTTTCCCGAGGCAGCAAATCTCCGGCCGGACGAGGGTTTATAGGCTCATATATCGAGTCATAAGTTGAAGAGCTCTGTAACAAGTCATAAAATACAATATTTCAATGCTTTTTACAAGGCTAAACCATTTTTTTGATTTTTCAAAATGTGCCCTTTTTCTTAGAGGACACTATATATATAATACCTGAGATAGCCCACCGTAGCAATAATAGTTTGGATTAGTTTTGGTCTGCGGATTCTGAAAGGCCGTTAAAAAGATTCTAGATTACTATAATATGCAATTTAAAAAAAATTATAAAATATAAAAAACGAAAATAATAATTTTTGGTACTTATAGACTTTTTTAGACCTCACTCTCACTCCATTTCTGCTACTATGCTGATTTGCCTTAAATTGCGCATTTGCAATTGAAAGTTCCAAAATATATGCCGCCAATGCTGATCGTTCCTATATTTACTATATGATACCGTTTTCCGACGTGAATAAAATTAAATGCCAAATTATGAATTATAAAACAATTAACATGTCCAAAAGAATTAAAAAAAAATTAAATTGAGAACTTTAAATTTCGTTTCATTTATTTTTTTAATATTCAGATTGTTTCCATAGAAGCTATATGATATGCCCGTCTGAATTTTGATAAAATTGAATTCTGAAATAATAAACCATTACTAAATATTAAAGAACTAACATTAAAAGATTGAAAAGCAGCAAAGTTAACATTTTTTCCTCGATTGTTCATATGGGATCTTTATGCTAAATATATCTAGATAAGATATATATGCTCTGCAAGGGTATAAAAATAATAAATACACCTTTTTATAATAAGGATTTTTATAGCGATAAACGTAATGATAAATTAAAGATTTGGTGTACCTTGTTAATGGCACCATGTTGCAGAGCAAATTGGTTTGTATATATTTGTAATGGAGAACTTGATTTCGGGTTATTAGGTAAAGAATCCATTGGTTTGTTAAAAACAGTAGAGGCTCGCCGAAGCTCGCTATATGAAGAGCTCACAGCACTCTCAGGGCTAGGAGGTGGTGGCACATCATCCTCTTCTGTATCATTTTCTAAAAATAAGTTTGTGCATACGGAGAGCATTTTATGAGACGAACTCGCGAAAGACCCCACGTCCTTAGAGCCTATAAGAATGTATAATTCATTTAGTAAAACATTTTTATAAAATAAATGCACATACCAGTTTCATGAACATTTGAATAGGTGTTTGACAACACGCCTGTCACTTCCCTTGAAAGCTCAGATTTTTCTGTATTAGGTACAGAGTTTATATTACTATATATTGAACTTTTGCTCAATGTGCGTAATGGGAGTTCTCTGAAGTTTTGGGCAGATTTTGTTGGGTTGATCTGTACTCCCAAAAGACCCTTTTTTTCCATTTGGAGTTTGTGGTAAGCCAGGGCTTCCAGTTGCTGTTCTAGTATTGCCGGATTGTCCAATGTCGCTTTTGAATTAATTTGTATTTCATCATGCCCGCAGTCAGAGCTGTTGTGCTTTTTTAAAGGCATGGACCCACCTAATGTTTTATCCGTTCCAAGTAAAGGCTGTGAATAAAGCGGCTCCCGCGAGCAGCAAACTTGCTTACTTGATGGAACCTGTAATAAATAAACCACTTTTAATTCTGAACTGCGTAAATGAACTTTGTAAACTAGTCGAAAATGATTCGAAAAACTTCTAAACGATAGGAGGTCCATACCTTCCGCGAAACCATTCCAAACCAATGTTATGAAAAATTATTAAATAAAAGTTAGAAAAAGTGCAAACGTCTGACTGAAATTATAATACCCTCTGCAAGGTTATAAAAATGAGTTAACGTGCAAAAATTAAAATAAAAACTTATTTCAATTCACAACTAAGTTCGACTATATTCATTAATTTAGCTGTGTTATACAACCGGGAAGTCGCATCGCCGGCTAAAACAATGAATGCACAATGACGGTGCCGGAAGCCCAAAGCTTCAGTATGCAATTATGTTCCGGGAAATACCCCACGACGAAGCATTAGCTTTGATTTTGTATTTATATATATATATATATATATATATATTTTATAAAACGTCAACCAATCCCTAGTGAGAGTTTGAAAAGAAGTTTGGAATAAATTGTCTTAAATTCATAAAAGTCTGGGTTAAATCAAAGCATTTCGTTTTTGATTTTCAATCATATAATTTTTTATAAGCATACAGAAACGCGGGAAAACAATTAAACTCCGATTTCAATAATTTAATCATTTCTAAGTCGCACTCAAGGCACAAAAAATCATTTGTTTATAAAGTACCTGCGGCATTTCATTGTTTTTCTTCGGTGGCTTTGGAGGTACCGATGGTCGCTTTTGTCGGAACCTGCCGACCAACTCATTTTCAACACAAACAGGCGGAGCTCTATTTAATGATTCATCTTTTAAAATGGACAACTCTCTAAGTTTCTGGTCCAAGGACTCCATTTCAATTTGGACAGAATAAAATTCTGTATGTAATGTTCTAAAATGACACAAGTAAGCAATAAACCATAAAAGTAACAATTATTATCCGTACATCCCTTTTAGTTCATATTGTTGGATCTAATAACTAAAGAAAGTTCAGTTATGACTGCTTAGTAATTTGATTTTTTGCTTCTTGTTTGGAATTTATGTACTTGATAGTGTAGATCAAAAGAACTGAAGGGTCGCAGCTTAAAATAAAGATATCGATTCATTATCCTTATAAAAGATTTACACTATTTGCAAATTTCTGAGTGCGTTTGATACAATAAGGTTTCTCCACTTCGTTGGAAACGGTTGGAATTTTCAACAAATGTGAAACTCCGATTTCCGCAGATCACTTCCACATTCCGATTTCAGCTGATCTGAACAGCTGTGGCTCAGCTGTGGACAATGTCAACAGGTCAACCATCTTTGTCTATATTTTGATAAGCTACAGCTGTTAAGATAAGCTGAGATCGGAAGGTGGATGTGCACTGTGGAAACCGGAGATTCACTTTTTTCAAAAATCCCAACGGTTTTTCATGGATTAACTGCGTGAAATGAGGGTTGCACCGCAGAAACATCGGCTAACTATCGCAGAAATTAGTCCGTCAAAGTCCTTCAAAATTTAACGCGGACTAACTGGGAAGTTTTTGAAACGGCAAAACCTTATGGACCATCCCTTCAACGAATGGTGGAAGGTGGATGGATCTCAGTGGAAATACGCTATTATGCGGCATTGGAATCAGGCTATAACTTGGAAACTGCTCAAAATATCGAAACTATGTATGCTATTTTTTCTGGAACATCGATACATCGGCGATACATCGATGTATCGCCAATGCAGGCTCGAGTTTCAACTACCATCACTATCGAAAATTAAAAGTAATGCGCAAGTTTAATACAGGTATACAATCAATAATTAGACGAAATTGGTGGCTTTGGTGTGATAATAATGGAGGCACACCCGATCTCCGGCAGCCCGAGGTCTATTCCTGGCTTAAGACCGGTTCATATTTTCGCTGCTTTTTTACATTTAATTTCGGTAAGCTTAGTTATAAAATCCAGGTTTGGTTTTTATTCATTGGCTTTTCTCTCGTTAGAAACGTTTAATGCCGACTAAAGACCGTTGCCAAAATCACAAGTGGTCTAAGCGGCAATAATTGGAGGGAAATATTTATATCAACAAATTACAAGCTTGGCAAAATGGCTAAAAGTAAACTACGGGACCAAATTTGGAGGTCGATGCTGCTGCTGGCGATTGCTGCTCACTTGGATGACTGGGTCCTCTGCTGGCGACTTGATCGTGTCGACCAGGTAAGGGCCGCCGGGTAAGTTTCTTCTGGACACGAGTCTTCTAAACTTCCGGGGCTCTTTAGAAAGAGTCCCCGGTGGCCTGTAAATTTTTAAAAATCACTGTTGTATATAAGCTTAAGGCCAATAAACAACTACTCATTTTAACTTATCTAAGCACAAAATACACAAAGAATGACTACTTTTTTCCGACCGTACGCCAACGACTGGGCCAGTAGACGCAATCAAGGACATTTAACCCAGTTACCGAGCGAACCGGGCTAAATTTAAAGATCTAGACCTTCCAAAGTTGTCAACTGTAGGTGTCGCCACCGAAGCATATCGATAGTACAATCTACTGGATATCGATATGTTTTGTTATGTTGGCAGGCGATTCGACTTTAAAATGCAACAGATTACAATATACACTTTATGCCCTCTTTCCACACAGTCCAACCGTTGGAAACGGTTGGAATTTTCAACAAATGTGAAACTCCGATTTCCACAGAGCACATATACCTTCCACCTTCCGATTTCAGTTGGTTTGAACAGCTGTGGCTCGTCGAAACGTAAACAAAGTCAACAGGTCAACCATCTATGTATTGATGCGCTGATACGTTATTAACTCTACGAGTAGCGGGATAGTTATCCTACTTCCACAGAGTTCCCTCCACCATCCGTTGAAAGGAATTCGAGAACGTTTTGCTGTTCCAAAAATTTCCCAGTTAGTCCGCCGTTAAAATTTGACAGACTTTGACGGACGGTGAAGCCCTTTTCCAACGCCCTTTTCCATCCCTGAAAAACCGCTGAGATTTTTTAAAAAAGTGAAACTCCGTTTTCCACAGAGCACATCCACCATCCGCCATCCGATTTCAGCTGATTTGACGAGCCACAGCTGTTTAGATCAGCTGAAATCGGAAGGCGGGTGTGCTCTGTGGGAATCACTTTTGTTAAAAATTCCAACCGTTTCCAACGGATGGACTGTGGGGAATGACGGCATATGATGATGACTTCGCTGTATTCAATTGATTCGAATATATGTATAGTAATGGTTTATTATTTAAGAAATACGGCTTATATTTATAAACGATCGAACAATTCATCGCCCTAAATTAAAAATTTCCCCCATTTTCAAGGAAAAAAGTTTCTATTTTAAAGAAAAATGTACCAAATTTATTTATTTATTTGTAGCTAAACTATATATAATTAATTTTAGCTCTTAACAGAAATTGAGAAATGTTTAGTTTCAAGAAGTCGATTTTATGAACAATTTTTAGAAACGTTGCCTTCAATTTAAGAAAAATTGCCCTCAATTTAAGAAAACTTGGTCTCAAAATCACGAGACAATCGCATTTGGACAAGTGTGTTAATAAATGTGTAGGCAGTATATAAAATATAATATAATTTAATTTAGATATATTTTATGAAATCGTTTTCTTTTTAATAACATAAAAACAGTGCACCGATTACCAAGTGACGACGCGCACCTTGAGCGTGGGCATAGGGGACTACTATGTATAACCGCAGAAATCGTAACGAGTAGTACACCAATCGAAAGGTATTGCAAAATAATATATATATTAATTGGTTCAGGAGACTTTTTTGTTTGATTATTAATAAGAAAGGAAGTAAACTTCGGCAAGTTGAAAAAATTCAAAAATTAAATGTTTTTTAAAAAATATACATTTTGATTGACATTCGTATAAGCTTAAAAACATTGAAGCTATGACGATTTTCAGTTCAATTATTCGATCGTTTTTATGGCAGCTATATGATATAGTTTTCGGATATCAATAAAACAAGCAGCGTAACTCAGATTTATTAATATTCCCATTGTTTCCATGGGAGCTATATCATATAGTCTCCTGATTTTATTCATATTTTACCTGCAATTCTGAAATCAATTACTATATCTCTATAACTAAAAAATTTAAAAAACAGCTAAGTTCTCATTTTTTCCCCGATTGTTTCTATGGAAGCTTTAAGATATAGTCGTCCGATAAGGCTCGTTCCGACTTATATACTACCCACAACAGAATGACAACTTCTGGCTGAACCGTTACTGCTGTGACATTTCTGATATTTACTAACCTAAAACAAAACATCATTTTGAAGTAACATTCTTTTGAACTGTAATTTTTTCTGTCTGGTACATACAGTCTGCTACTTTGCGTGCCTATCGAGCAGCGTTTTGCTTTCAAGCAACTTTTAATTAGAGATTAAAGTTTCTTATCAGGCGTTAACTGCAATTCATGAACGAACATTCGTATAAGCATCTTTTTTGAAAAAAAGCACATACACATATGAGCAAATTGTACATAAATGCTTTCGTATATATGCGTGCCTAGTAAAATACTTTTTCGGAAGCAATAAGACATGAAGAATTGTAAACGTACCTGTGGAAATAGGTAGGTGTATCGACCCTACTATCACAGAAATCTCTTGCAACCAAGTGCCACATTTTTTATTAACCCCTGTTACTGTAAAAGTAATACTATCTGCTTATGTTATCAAAAAGTTCACCCGAAGCGATAAGTCTGGCAGCTTTTGAGCAAAAGTATAGCTGTCTCTTTTTAATGTCTGACTTTTGCTATTGGTACCCGGCGCGCTAGTACCAGTTGGGAGTTATCAAATTTATATGGGATATACAAGGAAAAATGTAAAATTGCTTTTCAGCCATCGATATAACAATTTACAAGTAACTCATGTCGGTTTATTTCAGGTACTTTGCACATTAAGGGGCTATGTATTGTTAGAAGTCCGAAAAAAGCGAATTGTAAAAGATTTTTTTCTAGAAAATTTTAAAATTGATTGATCAATAAATTTTTTCACGTGGTTCCGTTATGGTATCTTTTAACTGAATTTTAAGACTTAGTATTATTAAGAAATATATTTTGCGGTGGCCACTATGTCTCTGAACTGGATTTTTCGAAAACGCGTTAAAAGTTTGTACTTGTTCTTTCAAGTACTCTAAAAAGCTTTTAAAATTTGCGTTTACATCGAAAATATTCACCGGTACGATATGAAATTTTCTGTTTGTATTCTGTTGTACTTACTTTATATAACCTCTTAAATAAAAAATAGAACAAAAACAACACAATCGTTTTCGTTATAAGAGCAAATGCCCATACATTGGTCTTGTTGCTTTTGTTAACAGTACAAAAACTTGCCAAATATTTTTAATTTTAGTTTCGCCAGAAACAAAAAAGATTTTGCAGTCATTGATTTTTAAAAATACATACAAAAATACAGAAAAAAAACTAAATTTGAGTTTTCTTTCTAAAAATGCGTGGTGCTTGTTACGCAAAATTACGTTCTGAGAGGAATTATAAAAAATAATGTATTATGTTTTATTTATTTCGTCCCGACCATCTGTTTATACTGACCATAAGTTTTTAAATGTTCTTCTTGGGGTAATGGAAATTATTTCCGTTTTAGGCATGTGTTACCACAGGGGTATATGACAATTACGGAGAGATTATATTGCTTAGAACAACTTGTCTGCAAAATAAAATATATATGTGTATATGTATTTGATCCAAAAAACGGAAATAGGATCATCATGGTAATAACATGAAATTGCGATTAATTCTGTACACCTCGAATTCAATATGCAAACTATTGAGAGTAGGTAAAGGTACTAACTTGGGGTCGAATGTGTCGAAGTCCGATTATTATGAGATAATATAAAGTACTCGGCTTCAGCCTGAGCACCCTTCGCTGTTGATTAAGAATTGTTCTGTCACACAGATCTCTCACTAAGTGTGCTCATCTTTGCTTTTGTTGGTATGGCTGTATTCACTTTCGTGATATACACTTATATATACATAAATACTATCAACACTCTATTTACTTTCTGTTCAAATGTGTGAGTTCTCGACTTAGTCGAGGTATTTAAAGTGAGTGTATTCAAGCAATCCGGCTTAATTCGTAGTCAGCGGTCGTCGTATTCGTATCGAGTTCAACCCGCGGTCGGTATATGTATTTATAAAATTGAAATATTAAAAGAAAGTGAGAAAATATCTGTGTTGTTTAAGGTAAAAAAAAAACACAAGTTTTTGAGAAGGACAACAAATCTGAACTTCTTCCAATTGTGCTATTCATTATCCTCAGGCAATCCCCTAGGGGTCCATCGCGATGGCTAGGATAACATATAATTGCGTTTTAATTGGAATCCTTCTTAATGTGTTATTAACAATAGCTGCAAATGCAGGTAAGTTTAAGTTTAAGATAAGACTTTAAAATAGTTTTTGGCAATTTGGTGTTCTTCAGGAAACTACAATTGGTCCGAAAAAAAAATATATATAGCAAGATGGAAGCAAGCTTTGTCAGAAATTAATTATTATTTAAAAAATTATATTTTGATTTTTTGCGTATGTTTCAAAATAATTAAGCTATGATGATTTTCTACTGAACTAGTTTGCATAGTAACGGAAGGTATGGCTAGATCGACTCTCCTGGTGATGCTTATCAAGAATATATATATTTAATAGGGTCGGAATTGTCTACTTCACTGCGTTGCAAACTTCTGACTGAAATTATAATACACTTTGCAAGGGTATAAAAATGACAACTTCTCAGTTTTGATTCATTTAATTTAAATATACTTCGATATATAGTAATCGTTTATTATTTAAGAATTACGGTTTTAATTTTGTTAAATCATATAGCTGCCATAGGGACGATAGAATAATTCATCTGAAAATCATCATAAAAATTAAAAATCCGAATAAAGTTGTGAAAAAGAACATTTAAATTGTGCTATAAGTGCAAAGGTAAATAAACTTCGGCCTTCCGAATTATTTTTCCTTTTTTGTCAATTGTTTGTTGAATTAACCTTTGCAGTAAACTCCAAAAATATTATTCAAAATGCCACAACAAAAACTTGGAAGTTGTAATAATTTTAAAGTAAACTGATGTTAGAGTTGGTTCAACCGATTACATAGTGACGCACAGATTCTGAACCAATTATTGAAAGTTGCTGCTGAAAGTATTTGCAAACACTAAAAATTGTGCATTATTACTTTTGGCAAATTGGCTAGGGTTTATGTTTTGTGCTATTATCTATTTTCTTGCTTAATCTGGCATTAGGAAACCTTATTTGTCATTTTAATACGGCGAACTTGTAGGTATCAAATGGGAAACAAATGCGGATCAAACTCACCAAAAATAATTCCGTCTTGTGGCTCAATATCACAAAAATGACAATTTTTAAACAATTTTTATAAAATTCAATTAAATTTTAGGTTAAAAGTTCCATAACACATATATGTCGTTTTTGTTTTTTTATTTCGAATGATTGGACCTTCGGTGTCTTCATATTCGCTAATTTTACTTGACCATACTACCATCTAATTTTAACTATAAACTCTTTTCTTTATCTCGTCTGGCTGCACACTATTCTTTAGGTTAGATAGATTATAGGTCTTAGGACACCATCAGGACGTAGCACTGAAAGTGCAGCAGTAAAAGCGGCTATATATAGTTTTCTTTTTAATTATCTTTCTTTTTTTTGGCCATGTAAAGAATTAATGCATGCGTAACAGCTGAAAGAATTATGTATGGTTAAGTGTCTCACCAAATTACTTGCTTTATAAAAAACAAGAAAGAAAGCAAACTTCGGCAAGCCGAAGTTCATATACCCTTGCAGCTATTTCAAAAACTAAATACTCTTGGAAACGTTAAAATTATGATTTACTTGCGTGTATGTTTAAAAACATTGAAGCTATGATGATTTGCAGCTCAATTATTCGATAGTTATTTTATATATTTTTATTATTTCTATGGGAGCTTTATAATATAGTCTTCCGATTTTGATGAATTTTAAGCCGTAATTCTGAAATATTTAACCATTACTATATGTCGAAGAACTAAAAAAAAATTAAAAAACAGCAAAGTTATAATTTGTTTTGTATTTGTTTTGCGATTTTTCCTATGGGAGCTATATGATATAGTCGTCCGATTGAATGAAATTTAAATTTGATGAAATTTAAATCGTAATTCTGAAATTTTCAACCATTACTATATGTCGAAGAACTAAAAAAAAATTAAAAAATAGCAAAGTTATAATTTTTTTTTATTTATTTTTTCGATTGTTCCTATGGGAGCTATATGCTATAGTCGTCCGATCCAGCTCGTTCCGACTTATTTACCACCTGCAATATAAGGATAACTTTTGGGAAAGTTTCATCCAGATAGCTTTAAAACTGGAAGACCAGTTTGCGTAGAAAGGGACCGACAGACGGACGGACAGACGGACATGGCTAGATCGACTCTCCTAGTGATGCTGATCAAGAATATATATAATATATATAATATATATAATATATATAATATATATAATATATATATATAATATATATATATAATATATAATATATATTATAGGGTTGGAGATGTCTCCTTCTGCGTTTCAAACTTCTGACTGCAATTATAATTCCCAAAAGAAAAGTTGCAAGGGTATATGAACTTCGGCTTGCCGAAGTTTGCTTCCTTTCTTGTTTCAAATGTTTCCAATCAAAAATTGTTTTGTAGCTTTTTTGCACACGGTGTTAGGCGTATAGCCTTCAGCCTCAAATCATGTTCATTGAAATATGCACAATACGCTTTTTTTGAATTCCGCACTAAATTAAATGTTCCGCTCCTTTTCGTCCCTTTTTAACACTATATGATTACAAAGTGTATAAAAAATCATTTATTTTTGGGCATTTGCTGTTACCTTTCGTTGTTCTTTTTAACTTTTAATTTTTTTATTATTGACTAAGGCCGTATCAAAATGTCAAATGAGGTTTCCAAATGCCAGTGTAAGCAACGAAATATAAACCCGAACCAATTTGCCAAAAGTACTTTGAGCAGAAACATTTTAAAAATTGGTTCAGAATCGATGACCTTAAAAATGTTGCACAGTGTTAAGGAACATTTAATCAAAGATTAAACAATACAATAATGTGTTGTATAATCTTTGATTTGATGAAATAACAACATTGTGACTATGTTTCGATTTGTACGCGTTTATGTTTAAAAACAATGAAGATTTGTTGATTTTTCGATCGATCCCATCGTAGTAATACGTTTTCGTTGTTCGATTTTTACAAAATAAAAACAGTAGTTCTAAAATGCTTAACTATCACTATAATTTTTTTTCACACACAATTTTTGAAAGGTGTGGGTTACAATTTCAGTTAAAAGTTTGAGAAGTGAAGACATAGGAACAGCAGATATTATTAATTTTTTACATTTTCTGAATATTTAATAAAAATCGGCAATAGAAAATGACTGTCGTATTCTAGGAAAATCTAGATTACTTAGCTGATTATTAACATATAACAAGTAACTTGAGATATAGATGATATTGAAGTAATCTAAAGCTGTCATAAAAAATCTGTTTGAACTCTGCCCTTGCGCAAGGTTGGTATGAGTGAGGTTTTAGCATATCGTAAAATAAAACGCGTCTGCTTTTGCCATTTCAAATATGCAATACATTTTTTCTCCGCTATGCAGATGGCTACGAGTGCTAGTATAAAAAAAGCTTCAGTACAGTGAATTGCAAAAATGTTAGACAATTTTTCAGTAAAACAGTGAATTGCAGAAATGTTAGACATTTTTTCAGTAAATCACTGGAACACAAACTGTGCACAAAAATGATTCTACTAATGAACTAAATTAAAACGTTTTTTTTATAATTTTAGAAAATTCGTGCAATGTAGGATGTCCAAAATGTAAGTCATACCAATTTTATGTATGTATATTTGTAAACTAATAAAGTTTTACATCTTCTTAGCGGACGACGGACTATTGAAATTCACACCTGGCAATTTCTATGAATATTCCTTTGACAGTATTTTAACTATTGGACTGAGTAGCGGTGTTCTTAGTGAATCCGATGATACCAGTTTGAAATTATCCGGATCCGCAAAAGTTTTTTCGAAAGGAAATTGTGGCTATACGTTACAGCTAAGCTCTGTTAAAGTATCCAACACAAAAGAGTCTGTAGAGAAAAAGATTTTGAACAGCATTCAAAAGCCAGTGCATTTCACCCTGGTAAATGGTCTTTTGGAACCACAAATTTGCTCAGACTCCAGTGATTTGGACTACTCCCTGAATATTAAGCGTGCGCTTATATCATTGTTGCAATCCGGAATAAAAACAGAACATGAAGTTGACGTATTCGGTCAGTGCCCTACTCATACATCCACATCCAAAGTTGGTAATGCAAACATAATTACGAAAGTTCGTAACTTGAACAGCTGTGCCCATCGTGAGCAGATTAACAGTGGTCTGGTTTCCGGGCAGGTGAATGAGAAAGCTGGAATCACATCCAGTCTGCTATTAACGGCAAACTATCTAAAAGAGTCGAAAGTTGTAAACAGTCTTATTGAAAGTGTTCAACTGACAGAAGTATACAAATTTATTGGAACGTCTAAGGGAAATTCCGAAATCAGTGCAAAGGTAGTCACAACAATTAAACTTAAAAATCCTTCCGGAACGAAAGCCAATTCACCACCTACTGGATCAACGGTCAGAAGTGTGATTTTCCAAAGACCTGAAACATACACGTCCAAAAATTTGAACGCGTTAAAAGTGGTATTGTCTGATCTTGTGGACTCAACTGGCGATTATGTGAAAAAAGAAAGCGCAAAAAAATTCGTTGAGTTTATTAGGTTGCTCCGTCAATCTGATAGTGAGACTTTGATAGAACTTGCTGCATTTCCTCATCCCAACAAGGTCTTGGCCCGCAAGGTATATTTGGATGGCCTGTTTCGCACCAACACCGCAGAGTCAGCTCGTGTTATACTGAAACAGCTTGGTAAATTCGACGAGAAGGAGAAATTACTTGCAATACTGTCTTTAAACTTAGTTAAAGTTGTTGACAAGGAAACTCTTAATCAAGCGGCTGCTCAGCTTTTACCCAACGCGCCAAAGGAATTATATTTATCTGTCGGTAGCCTGGTTGCTAAATTTTGCTCTGGAAAGAATTGCCAAGGACCGGAAATTGAGGCCATATCTAAAAAGTTTTCGGATGGTCTAAAACACTGCAAGCCGAACACTAAGAAGGAAGAAGAACGCATAGTATATATTCTAAAGGGAATAGGAAATGCAAAGAGCTTAGGTGGCAACACGGCTGCCGCCCTTAGTGAGTGCGCCTCCGTTGGTCGATCTAATCGCATACGTGTCGCTGCCTTACAGGCATTTTCAACTATTGAATGCGATGGAACGCTGCAAGCTAAATCCTTGGAATTGCTCAAGAACCACAATGAGGATTCTGAGTTGCGCATTGAAGCCTATTTGTCCGCGATTTCATGTCCGAATGCAGAGGTGGCTAACCAAATTTCGGAAATAGTCAATTCAGAAACCGTTAACCAAGTTGGTGGCTTTATTGCATCTAATTTAAAAGCCATTCGGGACTCGACAGACAGAAGCAGAGAGAACCAAAGGTACCATTTGGCCAACATTCGAGTAACCAAGAAATTTCCCGCGGATTACAGGCGTTACAGTTTTAACAATGAGGTTTCATACAAACTTGAATCCCTTGGCGTTGGAGCGAGCTCCGATTACCAACTAATCTATTCGCAACATGGGTTCTTGCCACGATCATCTCGTATTAATGTTACAACTGAAGTTTTTGGCACTAACTTCAACGTATTTGAGGCAAGCGTTCGTCAAGAAAATTTGGAGAATGTTTTGGAGTACTATCTAGGGCCAAAAGGCTTGCTTAACAAAGACTTCGACGAAATTATTAAGCACATAGAAGTTGGAACCAACGCAGGTCCTGGAGCTGGTGGTCGAGCCAAGCGCTCAATTGTCGACGACGTTGCTAAAACATCAAAAAAATATAAATCATATGGCAGCAAAAATGGCCAAGATCTAAACTTAGATGTATCATTAAAACTGTTTGGTTCGGAATTGGCGTTCTTAAGCCTTGGTGACAACATACCGAATACACTTGATGACATTATACAATTTTTCTCTACTTCATTTGAAAATGTTAAACAAGAATTATCTTCGTTTGAAAAGCAACTTTCCGCTCATCACTTATTCCTTGATACAGACATCGCATACCCAACTAGCATTGGAGTCCCTCTGGAACTCGTAGCTCAGGGCTTTGCGTCTACCAAACTTGATCTCGCCGTTAATCTTGATATCAAAGCAATTCTGGAACAGAACTGGCAGAAAGCTAAATACAGGTTAAAGGTTGTCCCAAGTGTTGATGTCAATATGAACCTTCAGGTTGGCTTCAATGCTCAAGTGCTGTCCACTGGTCTCCGCATGTCATCAACAGCACATTCCGCGACTGGAAACGATGTTACCTTAGCCGTCACCAATGATGGTGAGGGCTTTAATGTCGACGTTGAGCTCCCCCGCGAAAAGCTCGAGCTTCTAGATTTTAAAATTGACACAGAACTATATGTAGCCGAACAAGATAAGCAAAGAACAGTTGCTCTTAAGGGTAACAAGAAAAATAAGAATTCTCAGCCCAGTGAGATATGCTTTAATCAATTGGATGTCGTTGGCTTAAACATATGCATTGAGAGTTCAACCAGCTTAAGTGAACTTCAAGCTGGCAACGGAAATGATGCAGAAAGAGGACTTGCTGTTTCAGACCAATTCCATTTATTAAGACCATTTAGTTTTGCCATCTACTTGACGGCTGAACGCAAATTTACATTCAAAGGAATTCATACAAATGAGCCCTCGGGCAGTCAGAAGTGGAAACTAAACTATTCCACTCCTGGGTCTAAAGTTTCTCATGATACTAGTGTAGTTTTCGAGCTCGGATCTAAGCCAAAAACCTTTGCTAGATTATCCCTCGATAATTCTCAATACCACTTTGGATTAGAAACTGGAGTAAACAATGACAACAAGGAACTGGTTGTCTATGGTCAGTACGAACAAGATAAGGACATAAAAAAAAGTAAAATTGGCCTCAGTAAGCAAGGAAATGTATATAAGCCTTTAATTGAAATCCAAGACAATAACGGCATCTCGAACAGCATAAATGGCTATCGAGCTGACGGGAAAATCGTTGTTAAAAAAACCGGCGATAAGCTAGAAAGATATAATTTTGAAAACTTCCAATTGTCGAACGCGAATAACGCCCGCATAGTTATAAATGGATGGACGGATGTTGGACAAAATTCATTCAACTCAGAGCTTACTATAGCTTCCGATCAACAGTCGTTCTTGATAAAGGGAAACTTTAAGTTGGAAAATGGTCAGTATGCGGCAGGATTCTTTATAAATGACGAACGAGCTCCAGAAAATGTATATGGAAGCTCCGTACAGTTGACGGTCGCTGATCAGTCCTATGCTCTTAAAGCTAATGGAAAGGCTGCTGCTTGGTCTATTGATACTGATGTCGCTTTTGATTTCCAAAAAAAAGATAATTCCAATTCCTTACGTGCAGGGTCATTTGTGCAAAATGTTGATGCTCAGCATAAAAACAAGCGAGTTGGAGCAGTAAAGGTTAAGTCGACTTTTGACGTAAATAAATTGGATATCGAAGTGGAAATTTTACGTGAACAAAAGGTTGGATCGCTCAATCTAAACTACAAAAGTAATCAGCGACACGTACAAGACTATTCTCTAGAGGCAAGTGCGAAGCTTAACAAACACTCCATCGATGTTGTATCCAAGTGCGATTTTAATGGAAACGTTTATGTTATCGACAACGTTATTACAACTAGTTGGGGAACTTCGCTATCTGCAAAGGGTGAATTAGGTCAACGATACACTGCTCAAGACATTCATATTGATCTTCAAGGCAACGTTCAAATTAGTGGAAAGGACAAAACTTCTCAATGGATACTTAAAGTAATCGGAACACCTGATAAAACCAACAGCGAGTTCAGGATTAGCAGAGATGCAGCAGAGCTCGTCAAATTAACCAGTGAATCCCAGCATCCACAGGATAAAATATCCGCGGCAAAGCTGAATCTCATTGTTAAGAATCTATTAACTGCTAAAGGCGATTTTCGCGTCGCTAAAAATGGCAAGGGTGACTTGACAGCCGTTTTTGAGACTCAAAAACCTGAAGCGCAGCACAAACTAGAAGTTGAATCCAAATTCCACATACAGGCTCCCAAGTTCGACATTGATACAAGCTTAACGCTCGATGGAGATAAGAAAATACATTTTAAGTCTGAAAACAACTTCGAAAAGTTAAAGTTTTCTACTAAAAATGCTGGTGACTGCAATGGTAAAAAAATTGTTTTCGAGGCTAATGGAAATGTTAAAGGCGAGATGCGAGCAAATGGCGAAATTCAAGGTACCTTCACATTAACGACTCCTGAAGGTCGAGTTATCGATGGTAGTGTCAATCGCAAGTTGTCAACAAATGTAAAAACTGGAATAGCCCAAGGTAACATGGATGTCCAGATTAATGACACGCCATCTGGTAGTAACAAAAAAAGATCGATCACACTGAAGGGAAAGCTTGATCGGCTGAATACAAAAACAAAAGAATTTTCTGCAAACAGCAACTTAATATACACGACCTTGGATGGAGAAAAGTCAGAGCTAAGCTTCCAAATAAAGCAGCAACCTAATGGCGAAGCTAAAAACTTAGATTTTACCTTTAAAGCGAACGGAGCTCCACTAAACCAACCCATTGAAGTATCAATTGTATTAGGCGAGTACAGTGTACAACATGCTGTGGTTACTATAACAAGTAAATATGGTGAGGCTTTCTCATTTAGAGCAAATGGTAATTACAATAACAAACAAAGCAATTTACCAGCAACTTACGAGCTTCAAGCTAATCTCGACATTCCAAAATCCAGCTTTAAGTTCGTGGAAATAAAAAGTCACGGAAAACTTTTGAAACCACCAACAGGCAATGACAACGATGTTTGCAATATTGAATTCTTTGTAGATTCCAAAACTGGTCAGGGCCAATTTGTCCGCGTCAACACAGTATGGAACGGGACACCAAATGACGGAAGTTATAATTTTGAAGCTCAAACTAATAACATGGAGTCTCCATTAAAATTAAATGGGAACTTCAAGAGAGAGCAAACTGGCAGCTTAAAGGATGGTGACCTCAACGGAAAGCAAAAGTACACATTTAACGCCCAATACGGAACGAATTTCGTAAAGTCAGATGCATCCCTGACTTATGGTACTGAGAAAGTAGATCTGGAATATGTTCTAGATTCGAGCTTCGAATCAGCAAAGGACATTAAAATCAATATCCATACTTTTAAATCTGTCGATGGCTCGACATACGTAGCTAACGTTCAAGCCAAACAAGCTGATAAGTCATACGGGTTAGATACAAAATTGTATCGTTCGGCACATAAAAAAGGAGTTGATATTCGATTGGATTTATTGAAGGAAAAGCCTATTATAATCACGAGCATTGCCGAAATATTAGGAGAGCGAAAGGGAAAGGTAATCCTAGAAATACAAAACTTAGCCGAACTGGACCTAAAATTCAGCAGTGAAGCTTCTTACGTCAATATAGATGATTTTTATATTGTTGGCAGCTGGAGCTCAAAGAAATTAAAACTTGATGGTTATGAACTTGATGCAAGAGCACAAGGAAAGAACATTAAAGTTCAACTTAAGAATGTGAACGGCGTAATATTCTTGGGCACAGCCACATATGCACTTAAAAAAGAACAAAACAAATCTATTATTGATGGCCAAGGCCAAGTGCAGTATCAAGGAAAATCACATTCTGGTAATTTTAAGTTGACCAGACAAAACTTTGACATCAATACCGATAAAGAGGTTGGTTTCTCGTATACATTTAATGGTAATTTTGGAACCAAAAACGGCCTATCCACAATAAAAATTACTAACAAAGAATTTAACACGAAGTTCTCTATTTGCGAAGAAAAGAAGCAGTGCACAAACATTCAAGTGCAATCATTCGTTAGCATAGATGAACAACAACTGGATGCTGTAGAACATTCCACCCTTATTCTTGTTGATCTACGTGAACTTGGATATCCATATGAGTTTGAGTTGAAGTCTCAGAATACACGGCAAGGATTTAAGTATCAATACCACCTTGACAGCTTCATTATTACCGGAAAAAATTTCAAGTACCAACTCACAGCCAACATTCAGCCCACGTCAAGCACTATTAAAGTAACACTTCCACAGCGTCAAATTTTGTTTGAAACCAAGCAGCAGACTCCAGCGGATGGAAACATTTTTGGCCACTATGAGCAATCAGCTGCATTCTTTATTGATAAACTGCAAAGACCGGATGACGTTGTTCGCGTTTCTGCTGTTATGGATTTATCGGGTATCGATCGCGTTGCTTTCAACGCCAATGGACAAGTTAAGCTTGAACATCCGACTATTCGTCCACTAAGTGTTTCTGGACGACTAAACACTAACATTGATAAAGAACTCGCAAGTGCTGAAATAATATTCGATATTTTCCGATTGCCGGAACAAAAGGTGATTGTAAACAGCGAAATACGAAACTCTCGTTCTAAAAATGGTTTCAATATTGTTTCTACGTCATCTGTAAAGTCTGCCGGACTTCAGTTCCGCTATCAACTAAACAGCAACGCGGCAATTGATATTGAAGCCCATGAGTACAATCTTGGCCTGGAAGTTAATAACGGCGACGTCAATGTTAAGGCAGTATCCTCTTTAGGCAAGGAAAAACTAGAAATCGCTTTAACTGAATCAAACAAACAGCTTCTTCAAATTCTCGGGGACTTTAATAGGCAAAAACGTTATGCCAAATTCATTGCTAAGGTCCAAGTTCTTGATAAAAATGCCATTGAAATTATAAGCGAGATTCAAACCACTTCCGCAAAGATTTCAGTGAAGCGTCAAGATTTTATTGATGGAAATGCAGAAATCAAATTGGGCAAGGAGCTTAAATTCGATGTTACTGGGAGCGGCAAACCACTATTAAATGGACGTGTGTCCTTAGATGCAACCAACTTACTACAAACTAACTATTTGATTAATGAAGAAAACGTCAATGCCTTTTTGGTAAGAATAATTAACTTGAACTCCTTCTTGTTATATACTTATTTTATTTTACAGGTCGATGTTAAAACGGAAGTTAATAAAGACACTGATTATTTTGCTAAAAATATTAAGGAGAGGTTTGAGAAACTGCGACAAGCCACAGATGAAAATGTTAAATTGGCAACCGAGGCTTTGCCAGATTTTTCAAAACTTAATGGTAGAGTTGTCGAAAATACTAAGGGACTTATTAAAGAGCTTGAAGCCGATCCATCAATTGCACCGATTATTGATGGCATGTGAGTAAATTATGCGTATTTATGTTAATATAAAGATAAATTCAATCCTTTTTTTTTAGACGCACACTATTTGAGAAAATATCTGGTATAGTTGATGACCTAAGCAAGGCAATATCAGAAACATTTGAGAAAGCATCCAAGTCAATTGTTGAAATATATGAGAAGTTGCAGGCTCTTTGGAAGGACTCGCTTCTTAAAGCGTGGGAGGATTTGATTTTGACTGCTAACAAATTATTTGGTCAGCTGTATAATGAGATTATTAGTGTTTACACGAAGGCATTTAAAAACGTTCTTTCTGCGCTGGAGAAGTATGGACCAACACTGAAAAACTACGGAAAAGCCATCGCTGAAACTTTGAAACCAATTAACGACGCATCTCAAGAACTAATTAAGCTCTTGGTTCACTCTGCTGAAGGATTAATCGATGAATTTAAGCAGTATTTCGCGAACCTTCCGACATTTGAAAGCATACGCAATGAGTTTAATGAAAAAGTTAAAAATCTAAAACTTATTGAAAAGGCTATAGACTTTGTGAACAGTCTTTTTGATCAGTTAAATATTTTACCACAAACTCAGGAGACAACAGAATTTCTACAAAAACTGCACGACTATTTAGACGCAAAACTAAAGCAACAAAAAGTGAATGATGAAAAGTCTCTTGAAGAGCTTGGTAAGCTTTTGATTAAGGCCGTGCGCTCTATTTGGGCCTCAATTAAGAGTGCTGCTCCAGGGCCATCTGCACATGCAATTGATTTGCAAACATGGTTTGGATCTCTGGCGCATTCTTTAGACTCCTTGGCTGTTCTTCCCACTATCTTTTCATTCCGTTCCAGTATCTTAAACTATCTGTTGAATGAGAATTGGGAGGCTGTATTCTCCAAGAATTTACTAAACTCATGGATTTTCTTTAATGACTTTGAGCTCCGAGGCCATGTCGTTGATGGTCAGCATGTATTCACATTCGATGGTCAGAATTACGCTTACCCTGGAAACTGCAAATATATTCTGACCCAGGACAGTGTGGACAACAACTTCACCGTAATTGGTCAGCTGGCAAATGGAAAACTAAAGGGAATCACGCTCGTAGATCGTGATGGTAACTACGCCGAAGTAGCCGACAATCTTGCACTCAAAATAAACGGAAACTTAGTTGAGTACCCACAACACTTGTCCGGTCTTCACGCATGGCGCCGATTCTACACTGTTCACTTACACTCAGAGTATGGAGTAAGTGTAGTGTGTACTACGGATCTAAAGATATGCCATTTCAACGTAAATGGCTTCTACACAAGCAAGACGCGAGGACTTCTCGGCAACGGCAACGCAGAGCCATACGATGACTACTTGCGAATTGATGGCACAATTGCCGCAGACTCGGCCGCTCTAGGCAACGACTACGGAGTTGGAAAATGCGCAGCAGTAGCATTTGACAGTAACCAAGTCAACAGCCAGAAACGCGAAGAAATATGTAGTGAATTGTTCGGCCTTGAATCACCGCTTGCTGTCCATTTCCTTGCCGTTGACTACAGACCTTACCGCAGGGAGTGTGATATTGCTCTTGCCAAAGTGGCTGAAAAGGATAAGGAGGCAGCTGCTTGTACGTTTGCGTTAGCTTACGGTTCCGCTGTGAAGCAAATTAACAAGTGGGTGCTATTACCACCTCGTTGCATTAAGTGTGTTGGGCCTGTTGGACAACGCGACTTTGGAGATGAGTTTACTGTGAAGCTGCCAAACAACAAGGCGGACGTTGTGTTCGTCGTTGATATGAATGTTACACCATCAATCCTGTCCAATCTTATAGCACCTGCCATCAATGATATTCGCGAATCACTAAGAAGCCGTGGCTTTACAGATGTTCAAGTAGGAGTTGTTGTATTTGATGAATCTAAACGATATCCTGCTCTTCTTACAAGTGATAATGGTAAAATCAACTATAAGGGAAACCTTGCAGATTTCAAGTTCAATGGAATAAAGAATTTCTGTGACAATTGCGTTGAGCAAATTATAACTGAAAAAAGAGTCCTGGATATTTACAATTCATTGAAGGAAATTTTCAAAGGCATTGCACCCCAAGCCGATGAAAAGGCGTTCCAGTTGGCAATAGACTATCCATTCCGTGCTGGTGCTGCAAAGAGCATTATCGGTGTGCGAAGTGATTCATTGGAATATAAAAATTGGGTAAGCAACTATTTTGTGAATTCAAAATAAATGTTCATAAGATTGAATTAATTTGTTGTGCTCTTTTAGTGGAAGTTTGTTCGAGCTCAATTGACTGGATCCGTTACCAAGTTTGATGGTGCGCTTCTTCATCTTATTGCCCCAGTTAAGGCGCTTACATTAGAAGGAGTGCCCGCTGAAAAACTAATCGGTTGGAGTTTAAGTTTTCAACATTTATTCAGATATAATTAACACTTTATTTTTACAGGCTTCAACTCTCGTCTGGTAGCTACTGTAGATGGCAAAGACAACAAGAAGCGGACCAAGCTGCAATTCGATAATGACATGGGAATTGATTTTGTCCTCAATAACGGTGGTTGGGTGTTTGCAACACAAAATTTTGAAAAGTTAAAAGAATCGGACCAAAAGAAAATGTTAAAGCAGATTACATCATCGCTTGCTGATACTCTCTTTAAAACCGAAATCGTTAGTGAGTGCCGCTGTCTACCGGTTCATGGCTTACACGGCCAACATAAATGCGTCATCAAATCATCGTCATTTGTTGCGAACAAGAAGCCCAAAGCTGCCTAAAATGGTTTCAAGTTTAAAATTGTCATCCTGACATCAAATCATGAGATGCAAGATTCTTTAACCTTAATATAAGTCATCGAAATAAATGAATATAAACGTATAACACCGTGATGATGCCTTTGTACCCAAAAATCGCGTTCTATAGAGGTAAGTTCTATAATGGTAAGGACAAGTATATGGGCTGTATATATTTAGCAGGGCAATATCTATCGACGCACCGAAAATAAAAAGAAATTAGGTTGACCGTGGTCAAAATCGTCAACGCTTTCTGATAAATAACCTTGCTGCCAGCACAATCACAAATGATTATTTTAAAGTTGACAGTTTAACTTTTATAGTGTCTTTTTACAGCGCTTGTAGCTTTTCATGTAAAAAATACTTTAAATCGATATTTTCACTAATCTTGTTTCTAGAGTCATAGATTTTGGTATTTTTTTGTTAAAGTAATTATATAAAATTTTTAACTTAAAAGAGCTGCAAAATAAAATTAGATTGAAATATAATATACTTTGTGATTATCAGGAAAATTGTATTAGCTTTCAAATGCAGTGATGCCCTGCGATGTTCACCGCAAACCCTTTTTTGAAGGGGTAGTAAGGACTGGCTACCACACACCTATAGATCAATAATTGTGGATAATGAGTTCACAACTTTGGTACTGAATTCCCTTGTAAGCGTCACTCTTACCCGCTCCCAAGGGAAATCTACATTACGAATATATCTTAATAAACTGTCACCAACGAACGTCAATATATCCCGGAAACAGCAATATATTGGTTTATAACATATTATCCTCTTTTATTTAGATGGCTAACATTTTGGGGATAGTCCAACGTTTGATTTAAGTGTAATATAAAATAAATTTTAATGCTCTTTGACATTAGTTTTAAAACGATCTATCTTATTATTTTGAGAAAAATGAACCAAACATTTTGTATGTTGCAAGCCTTGAAAAGCTTTTGCTTTATATTAGTATGAAGTGGACTGTCTACTGGAGTTATCATTAGGGTTTTGTAAATTTATTAAAAGCGGATTTTACCATATTCAAAGATATTTTAGTGTTAGTTGCAAGATTCTTAAAGTTTTAGGTTTCTTTTAATTTAGGCACTTTTACAATTTTGGGTTTGTTCGTAAATATACAAATATTGTCATCAGCCTATCTTAAAATTGAATACAATTGAGCCTATTCTAAGTCAATAACACATAATGTTTAATGTAATAGAACATATTACTAATACTAAAAAACTTCCGTACTGACTTTGAAGATCACCGAGGATATCTATGCCTATATTTACCGGACGGAAAATAGAAAAGGTAAAAGCAGATATCAAACAAGCTGTGGAAGAGAATTTTGTTGAAAATAGTTGATTAAAGTAAGATAAAAGATAAAAATATTACTTACGCTAAGGGCAACCACACTCATCAACAACCATTTTTGGCAAGTCTCTTTTGATGATTCCATCATCTCCATAGTAAATCAATGACATACTAGAGAATTTTATTGGAGCGCAACAAGGTCGCATGCCATTTAATAAGCCCATTTTGCGATACTCCTCTATAAAATGAGCATGAAATGTTTGGAATGTGTCGGGTGTTCTAAACGACCCAGTGCAATCGCCTCTGCAATAGTTTGCAAAGTATCCCCTGGGTGCAATAATCCAGTCATCCCAACCAAGTGCCTTGAAAGATACATAAAACGATTCTTTGCAGCATTGTCCACTCAAAGCACCGCCACAATCTACGGCACGTCTCCGAACACGTCTCGTCCTAGTTGACTCCGTGTGAAGGACCAGAAATGGTCGATTAGGATTTGGGCTTAAATAGTCTGATGAGTTATCTCTTAGTTTTGAAGTCTGGAATAGGTGCAGTGAGTAACGACCACCACAGCCAGTGCAATCGATCAACAGCCGCAGTTTTTCGTTACTACTACCGCCATACCACTCACGGATTGTTTCGGTCAAATCGAATTTTTGCCATCCCAAATGTTTGGTGTCAACTTCAAAAGAAGCACGGAACAGGATAGCCTTGTCTATTCCCTAATAATAAAGTTCGATAAGTCTTAAATCTTATAACAATATTATTTAAAAAAAATACCTTTTCCGTAATATTGATAGCTGTGTGTAATTGAAATACCCAGATTTTTAATCTGTGATGAGGTTTATTTGCCCGCCATTTTCGTTTAGTATTCAGCAAATGTTCTTCCTGCAAATTTTTTGCTCTGTCGATCCAGATACTGTGTGGCTTGTCTATCCGTATGTGAATCTGAGCGCTGCGTATTGATAGTTTTTGGTTAGGAACACGGAGATTTTGAGGCGAAAATTCAAGTATTCGATATTGTCGATATTGTGTTCCTTGAAATAAAATGTGTTACGATAGTTGAATATTATTAGATGTTGGACCAAATTTAATCTTTTCATGGGGGATCATTAATATTAATGTATACTTCATTTAAAGTACAATTAACAATTAGTTTTTGTCTAAAAACACAAGAAATAAATCTTTATATACCCTTTATTATTTATTATATACACTTTATTATACCAGTTACTCGTAGAGTAAAAGGTTATATTGTATTTGTTGAAAAGTATGTATATATTCTTGATCAGGATCAATAGCCGAGTCTATATAGCCATGTCCGTGTGGCCGTCTGTTTGTCGAGACCTCGGAAACTATAAAAGCTAGAGATTTGGTAATTGGCATGCAGATTCCGATAGTTCCTAAGCAGTGCAAGTTTATTTCAAAACGTATGTACTGTCACTCTAAGACATGTTAGGAGGTTGGGGTTGTTGTTGGGTGTGCGTTTCGGTCATGTCTATGGGTAGACCCAAAAATCGGACCGCTTCATCAAAATATTTTGCCTACAAAGTTTTGAAACTGGCTGATGTTTATTTCATTTCTTGTTTTTAATATTTTGAACAATTGCAATATATTGGGGTTTTTAAGTATTTCGGCATACTCAAATACTATAAATATCAACAATGAACTGCTTCGTGAGCTGCAAATCATCATAGCTTCAATGTTTTTAAACATATGCGCAAGTAAATCATAATTTTAATGTTTTGAAAAATATTTAATTCTTGCAATAGCTGCAAGGGTATATGAACTTCGGCTTGCCAAAGATTGCTTTCTTTCTTGTTAGTATAGAAGTATTTATAAAAAGCTTAAACTAAGTACGGTGCACATATGTTAAAATAGTAGTTTTCAGAACAGAGTTAATAACTAAAAATATATTTAAGAAGCTCGTGTTAAAGTTTTCAAATAAGCGGATTAGCCGTTTTTGAGTAATTTTGGTCACTGGCTTTGAAAAAAACATTTTATAATTTCCGTGTAACTTCGAACGGACCGAACGAACTTCACTGGAACGAAATGAAATAAGAGGGTTGTTACGAATAAAATAGGTCTGCTGATAAACCTAAAGAGCGGTAGCTATAAAATGATCTTGTTCATCAAAGTGAGCAGTGATTATCTGACACTACTAAAGTATCATCACCTCATATATCATCCGAACTTTTTAAGATGTCAAAGAAATCTCCTGCCTTATACTTCATTAGTTAAAAAACAAAGCTAGTAAAAAGAACTTTGGTTGGTCCTGAATGTAAATTTCCTTTTAAGTGCTCTTCCAATGTCCCCCTTTTACCTTTACCGACTTACCTTCTTCTGCAAATGTTATTATTTCCTGAGTATTTCCAAAGAAGTCTTCATGATCAATATTTTCCTGGTCATGAACAACCGGTTCAAAATGTCTCTTCAGTTTATCATCTTCAATGTTTTCGATCATTGGATGATATCCAATGCTAGAGCTTCTTCCATGGTACTGGCTTTTATCATGAGTCTGAACACTGTAATCGCTAAAATAATCATGATCATTGCGCCTGATGTCACCATTTATGCCAATATTGGCGCTACTATCACTACTACGATTTATATCTATCAGATATGTAGATTTTCTAAACGCATTTGCATTCATTGGTTTGCCGTTGATGACATTAACTTTCCTGGTGACTCCATTTTTATTAATCTTGGTAATACTGCTAGGGCTTTTGAGTTGTATTGGAGACTTAGACGCAACACGAGAATTCAATTTTAATTGACGTTTCTCTGGCCATCCTTTCAAGAATATATTTTTACCAACGCCTTTTTGTATATGATGGCTTCTTTGGTTTGCAGGACGATTTTTCAAGACTTTGTCATGCACTTTGCTCTTACTTATGTTCAAAGTATATTCGAACGGGGATCGATATTGATGTTTATTGGCACCTCGCTCATTACTAGGATAAGAACTTCCGCCAAGGTCATTGAACGTGTGTTCCTCGGGTAGGTTTAACGTGCGGGGTCTGGAATTTTGTTGATCAAAATCATTACCACTGCTCTCAAATGCATTGTTGATAATCATCCGTCCACCATCCGCACGATAGATTGTTTCCCAAATAAATTGCTTAGGTAGGGGATGGGATACATTTGGCTTGTGGCTAAGACCAAGCTTCGTCAAAATTTGCCGTTTTATTGACTCCAAACGAACTTGATCGCTCGGCGAAATGTTGTTATTGGGTTGATTTGTTTTTTTGTAGAAGTAATTGTTGTTATGGTATTTGTTGTAGATGTTGTAGTCTGTGTGTGGATTATCTGTGTAAATGTGATAATTGTAAAGTGTTATGTAAGTTTCATTAAATTTATTTTTCTTTTGTATTGTATGGGATGTATTTATGTTGTGAATTTAGTATTATGGATATGATATTATACTAAAGAAGTTGGTTAAGTTTTATCCGAGGTTTGGTTGTTATACCCTTTACTCGAAGAGTAAATTGTATTCGTTGAAAGGAAGGTAACAGGTAGAAGGAAGCGTTTACGACCATAAAAAGTATATATGTTTTTGATCAGGATTAATCAGCCGACTCGATCTAGCCATCTATGAAAGTCGAGAGCTCGGAAACTAAAATTCTAGTAGTTCCTATTTCAATACGGAGCCATGCCCACTCTAACGCCAACAAATCGTGAAGGTATTCGGCCATATCCCTTAGGTATCAATCCCTTAGGATTCCCCATGGAAGCCTCGGGAGTTGGCGGAACTCCCGAGGACTCCCGTTAAATTCTCCCCCAGGAATCCCTCGGAAATTTCGAACTTCAAATGTAGGCAAATTCCCGAGGAAATCCCCAGGAATTCTGAAGAAAAATGCAAAGGAATCCCCCCGGAAACCTTACACCCATAAAAAAAATTGTCATAGAAATTAAACTATTGTTAAATGAATTTCAAACTATCGGGTATCAATATGGCATTGTATAAACTTTGCTACTAGTTCACTTTTTATACTCTTTAGTAACAATTACATACCATGTAAATGGTATGTAGCTTACATAAATTGCATACTGTTTTGTATTGCAATTATTCTTTTTTCCCCTTGAGATGTAGTATAAATTTTATAACGTTTCGTTTTTTTGTGGTATAAAAATTCTTCCCAGTAAAAATGCACTATAAATGTATTTGGTTTACTTTTTATTAAATGTTATTAAACTTTTTAAAATTTACAATTAGAAATAATTATTTTATATTAATGAATTAATTATAAAACCTGCAATAATAAAATAAAGTTAAATGCTAAAATAATACATTTTAATATTGTAGGCCTTAAATACTAAAATAAAATAAAAATAAATTATTTCAAAAAAATTATAAAAGCTGAAACAAAAATAAAATAAAATAGAATAAGACTCTGAAATACGTGCATAAATAAACCAACAAGTCTTTTGCGCATTCGTAGATACATATGTACATATCTACATATATGTCTGTATATTTTTACGTGCTCCGTCATAGGGTAACACAAAAAATAATTGTGAAGTTCAATTCGATAACGACTGGTCCATTTGATATTTAAAGAGATTTTCATTTTTATACCCTTGCAGAGGGTATTATAATTTCAGTCAGAAGTTTGCAACGCAGTGAAGGAGACATCTCCGACCCTATAAAGTATATATATTCTTGATCAGCATCACTAGTAGAGTTGATCTAGCCATGTCCGTCTGTCCGTCCGTTTATATGCAAACTAGTCTCTCAGTTTTAAAGCTATCTGTATGAAACTTTCCCAAAAGTTGTCTTTCTATTGCAGGTAGTATATAAGTCGGAACGAGCCGGATCGGATGACTATAGCTCCCATAGGAACAATCGGAAAAATAAATGAAAAAAAATTATAACTTGGCTGTTTTTTAATTTTTTTGTTAGTTCTTCGACGTTTAGTAATGGTTAAATATTGCCGATTTACGGTTTAAATTTCATCAAAATCGGTGGACTATAGCATATAGCTCCCATAGGAACAATCGGAAAAATAAATGAAAAAAATTATAACTTTACTGTTTTTTAATTTTTTGTTCAGTTCTTCGACATATAGCAATGGTTAAATATTTCAGAATTATGGTTAAGATTTTATCAAAATCGGACGTCTATATCATATAGCTCCCATAGAAATAATAAAAATATATAAAATAACTCAAATAATTGAGCCGCTAATCATCATAGCTTCAATGTTTTGAAACATATACGCAAGTAAATCAAAATTTTAATGTTTTCAAAAATGTTTAATTCTTGCAATAGCTGCAAGGGTATATGAACTTCGGCTTGCCGAAGTTTAGTTTCTTTCTTGTTACCATTGAAAAAGGTTCAGTCTTGGAAAGTGTGTGTGTCTATCGAAACGTATATTTTTACATTTCGAAGATATTTAATTGATACGTCAAATGTCATGCATAAAATAATACGGAATTTCATCGGAAAGAGAATCATATCTTATCAATTTTTTTTCTGGTGCATACATATTTACATCTGCGCGTGCGTAAATAACTTTACAATAATACATCCGTTTTTTTATGTTCATATGTTTCGAGAGAAAACTCACTTATATATTATATACTACACAAAATTGCCATTAAGGACAAAATCGTATTGCCTATTTTTGAATATATTTTGTTTACACGAATTAACATTAAATGCAGTGTGCCTACGGATAAACTTTCAAAAAGCCCCAATGCACTTTAAAAAAAATCGTACCGAATTCATCCGAATTTTACTGTCTGCGAAAAAATGTTTTTTTTTCTTCTGTTAGACCCCTGTTTTATTTGTTAACTTCGAAAAAAAAAACCACTAAACATATGCTTTACAGCCGCTAATAGCGCAAAAATCATCGTTTCTGTCAGCCTGAAATATACGTATAAAATAGATTTACCGGCGAAAAGTTGAGGTTAAGATAAAGTGATACATTTATTTTCGGTTTTCAGGCATTTATTTTTTAAGAATTAATTTAATCGGAAACTTTCACGAGCTCTAGCATATATATAAAGAAACCTATCCTTATAATATATATGGATAAATTGAAGAATGATATATTTCTAGTGAAATGTGCTATCAACCGAAGTTGGCTTAGCAGAACTGGAGATACAAAAAAAAAATTGGCATGAAAAAGGTGAAAATCGTTATTTAAACTTTAAGTAAATGGTACCATACAAAAAATGCTGAGTGCCATTTCTTAATCTGGGAGTGCATTTGCACCTGAAAATAGGGTTTGATCTCTAGAGGATTTCATCGATTTAAATTTTTTAACCAGTTGTATCAAACAAAAACACCTCATGACGACGTAAAATTGACTTGACGATCGAACCTTCAACTCCAAAAACTTCTGATATCATATTTTGTGACGACTATTTCTTGTTTTACCAATAACCAAAAAACTTCAACTACCTTCAATAGAAAGACAACTTTTGGAAAAGTTTCATGCAGATAGCTGCAAAACTGAGAGTCTGGTTTGCGTAGAAACGGACGGACAGACGGGCAAACAGACGGACAAGGCTAAATTTACTCTCCTAGTGATGCTGATCAATAACATATATACTTTATAGGGTCGGAAACGTCTCCTTCACTGCGTTGCAAACTTCTGATTGAAATTATAATACCCTCTGCAAGTATATACAAATAGATTCTAGGTCTCCTGTACAAATTAAAACCAAAAATAACTAAATCACAAAATTAAATTAGGTTAAATTGTTGTTTAAAGCCTTGTACGCAGATCGACGAACAGTTACACCAGCGTAAAAAGTTTATTCTTTCCAGTGTGGCCGAAGTTTTTTTCTTAGATTCTTACTGTCAGTCAGCTAGCTTGTTGAGAAACGGCTATCGATTCAAATTTAACCCGTCATCTTGCAACTATATTGAATCATTATAAATACTGTAAATGTATATGTTGTAAATATGTGCCGATTACGAAACTAAATATAAATTTTGTTGGTAAAATAAATAATAATCGTCGCAACACTGAATATCAGGAATTGTTGGAATTAAAGGTGCGATCGTCACTTAATTTTACATCGTCAATAGGTGTTTTTGTTTCAGACTTTATAGGATATTAATAAAACTTTTCTAACGTTACACAAGACTATTTTCTTACCATGGCATACCAGACAAACCCCCATAGGATTGGTTACATTTTGCGTTAGTTTTTGTATTGACTGCACAAACCCCTGCGATTACTACGTGAGAAGTGGTAATAAGAGCTTACCTTTATCGTTATAAATGTTGAGTTTGCCTCCTTCGTGGCATAAGGTGCAGCCCTTATGAGACTCCAAGTTTGAAGCGTAGTAATTGCTGCTGCCGATTCCATCGCAGTTAATTAGCTTTACTTCAAACCAGACAAGCCCGATAAGAAGCCAGATGAGATTGGCCCTGTTGCGCTTAATCTTTGAGCAGCTACGCATCGAACTTTGTGTTGACGACCAAGGCGATATCATTTCCCTTAGAGGCGACACCAGGACGCTTTTTTCTGACTGGCTCATGAGTTTTACCCCTGGTACCGCGTCGTAGTTCACTCTAACATTTGTCTCAAAAGTATCGCTAAGGCCTAGACCTTGCAGAAAGACGCTCTGATTCTGTGGCACCTGTTGACTAGTCCGTAGGTGTTTCTGGGGCTTGCGCTGAACCTGCTGTCGTTTGTCGCTAGCAGTATTCCTGTGCCTGCGCCGTCTGCGCCTGCGCCGTCTCCGCTTCCCTCGTTGTCGCTTGCGAGTGCGACTGTTGCACAGCATTCTGCAGAGACTATTCGACTTCAACTGCTGATCGTTGTTAATGTCGTACGAGGTGTACCCGTAGAAGCACTTCAGCTTCGCATCTGTGCTGCTGCTGGATGTTTCACTTGGCGTGGAGGCCATGGAGACGTGCACTGCTCTACTGGCGCGGCTTCCGTCTGGCATACCGGACTGGCCCAGTACCGAGAAAATGTCAAGGAGGATGCAGCTCGTCAGAAGAGTGGCTAGTGCAGTTGCCCAGCGTGCGAGCACCAAAATTGCGCCCACCAGCATGGACACGCTCAAAACCTCGGGGTCGGAAACCTTCTTGCGCGCCAGGGCAGGTTGGAGAAAGGCCTTTCGGGAGCCATAGCTGTTGCAGCAATTGAAGCTGTAGCAGCAGCAACACTTAACGACGACTACACAGCATCCCTGACGACAGCAGAGGCACTGGCAATTGAAGAAGCACTTGTGTCCTTTGAAAGGCGGCTCCGACTGCGGTTGATGGGGATCGAAGGCAAACCGCATTTTTGATATTTGGCGAACGGGCTGTACTGGCAGTGGTCCTTAGAAATGTAGTACATGTAATGGCAGTTTCATATTTCTGGTGTTCTACTTTCAATCCATTGCAAACCTTTTCCATTGGGGTTGTGTAAATTCATTTTTGGCTCTGTTTAAAGAGAAATAAGTTTATTTAACTCTTTAGTGGTTTTTCAATTTCAAAATGGTTCAACAAAATATGTAGCATATGTATGTAGTTTTAAATAACGAAATATCTCCAGTACTTTGTTTTCTGAAATTTCTGACATTTTTTAATTCTATTATTCTTTACAAGGATATAACAAAACAGAATGTCATAGTTGAGATAACCGTTGCTTACTGCCCTGCAAAAAAGTATCGTTAACCACTAAATCAACTAAATCTCAGAGGACGGTAGTGACGATGTTGGAATAATGCAGTAGCAAATCTGATGATCCGATTGAATCGAGTGATGGCAAGAGGTGTGCATATTATGGGAAAGGTACTATACTAGTGTTTTGATAACTAATAACTTCGCTGATTTCTTCAAGATATTGTACTGGTTAAATATTTTAGAATTACGGTTTTATCTTTATTAAAATTGAAAAACTTTATCATTTAGCTCCCATTAAAAAACAATCTGAATATTTAAAAACAAATTGTAACTTCTCTAGTTTTTAATTTTTTTTAAGTTATTCTGGACATGGGAGTCTATACATAGGATAATCCAGAATAACGCTTTAAATTTTATAAAGACCGGAGAACGATATCATACAGCTGCCACAGGAACGATCGAACAATTTAATTATAGATCATCATAGCTTAGTTGGATTGTAAAGGGTACTCATATAATTCGAAATTTATATTATTTTGTTTTGCAATAGCCGCAAGGGTATATACACTTTGGCTTGCCGAAGTTTGCTTGCTTTCTCGTTAAACTATTAATAAATAAAAATTAAACTATTAATAAAATAAATTAGAAGTTTGCAACAACCGGCTCACACTACTCCTTCTGGACCTTCTGTTGATCTCTCCCACTCTTAATTTGCTACGGTATCACTTGGAAATGTTCTACCGGAAGAAAACATGCTTCTACATCTGGTGCTGTTCCTTCTTCAACGATTTGCCTGGCCTAAGCGTTGCGGCTCCTGGACGCACCAATATCCCTTTGAGTGGTGTTCCGAGAAGTGTCCGTCAAAGGAATATGAAGCCTCTTCTGAGGTCTCTGGGATTCCTCTGAGAGGGGTAAGTCAAAAATCTATATTCGTGACGAGACTTAATCCAAAAGCCACTGCCGAGGATTTGAGGGTCTTCTCTGTGAGAAACTTCATGCCTGGACAACGCTATTTCTGTTCATAAGTTAATTTTTAAGCAAAAGCGAACTTCTCTTCATTGAAAATTTGTATCAGTGATTCCTATTTCTCTAACTCTACACTTTGGCCAGTTAATACTTTAGTACACGAGTATCTCCATAGAGACCAGTCTCGTGGCTCAAGGCTTAAGGTCAGAATTCGAAAACTATCTTGGTATTTCCTAAATAAACACCAAACTGACTTTAGCAAGACGTTTGATCCAACAAACAATAGCCATCTCCTTCATAAATTATCTCTTCTTGGTTTTCCACCAAATTTACTTAACTGACCCTTCTGTAAATTGTAAAGACGATACCAGGCACAGTTGGAAAAATGTCTCTGTATATTCTCTCATGCTGTTAAAGAGTACATGAGAACTTTATGAAGACATCCAGAAACTGAAGGTCGAACCGAACAGTTTTAACCCACTTGTTTCACTTATTCATCTTACAGGTTTTTTGGCTCAACACATATAATTAAAACTTTAGATGTATTAAAGAATACTTCATTTTTGCAATTGCTGCAAGGGTATATAAGCTTCGGCTTGCCAAAGTTTGCTCCCCTTCTTGTTAAAGTTAAAATTAAAAAAAACACATTTGATTTCATGGAAAATATATTAAAAAGTGTTCCAACGGCAGCCAGAGGATATGGCCATTCAATCATCTGGAAGGAAAGACATATCCGACGATTTTTACATTCGGCACCCTGCAGTGGCGTAAAAAAGAAAGTTGTAGAAAAATGTTGAATTTGTACAAAAAATGTATATCAGAAGTTTCCTTAACACCCAAAAATGGCTCTATCGTATTTTGTTTCTGTTAAATATGTTATAATTTAAAAGGTGGCCGATATATCGCGTTTGCTCTACGTACGAGTAACGGGTATAAAATAAATTAAATTCTTAATATATATTTTGCCCTGTATCGCAATTTTTTTGGCTTTCATGGAGCTTTATAGACAACAATTAAAGTAATCGGCTATTTTTTAGCACATAAGAAAGCTTTATGTCTGGCGCAGTTAACCGTTTAGGTAGTACTTAAAGCTCAGCAAGAATGACTCAGCAACAATTTAAATAAAAAATGTTGATTAAAATGGCATTGCGTACGCCTTGCCCGCATCGGGTGGTATTTCTGGTGTGGCTAAGCTGGAAAACACCACTTCACCACACACTCCCACACCAAAATCACACCCTCCAGACACGTCTGCCCAACCGAAGCATGCAAATACAATAATGAGGCGGCACTCAGTGAGACGATGCGACGCCAGACTAACCACTTACAAGTGTGGCAGCAAGAAAACTGTAAAACTAATACGTGATGGTTATAGGTGCCCACTTGGACTCTTTATGCTTCCCAAAATGTATCACCTCTGGGTTTTTAGATGGAATACCTTTTAACTCAGCGAAAATTATCTTTATTCATTTACTGCGGTCGTCCTCGGAAAACCAATTTATAAAACACACTATCTCGGAATGATGTTTATTTTTCACATGATTTTTAACAAAAATGTATGCCTCCGGCGGTTGATATATGACATTGCATACTTTAGGAGGCGTATGTACTGTGCTTTCAAAGCTCTCTTTCAAAAGCTCTCTTGAATAAAAGAAACATTTTGGCGTTGCCCCCTTGCTGGTTGTAAAGTGTGCACTTCCAGTGCCGTTACTGAATGCCTATGACTTTTAGTATTTATTTTTGTGCTTGTACATAAATTTACGACGAGCAATTTATTCAGAGATATTTTTCTGTTGAAGTTTCCAGTTACAAAAAAATATCGATGCTTACGATACCATCGATAACGATGGCACGACCACGACGAGTGGCGAGTCAAAAGCCGGCAGATTCAAGCAACCGCAAAAAAAAGTTTCGGTAAATAGAATCATCCCCGGTAAATTTTTTTTTCGTGCAGATGAAGGTTATATGTTAAAGAAAATCTGTAATTCTAACACACCAATACAAATTTTAATTTAAATATAACATTTTTTATATGGTTTTTTAGTTTAAGTGTGATATACAAATATTTAGGATTTATTTTGTTGTTTTTTTTCAATAATGAAAAGCAAAATAAAAAATTTACAAACAAAGAAGGAAGCAAACTTTGACTTTTGACTTATTAATAAATTACAGTTCAGAATTACGCTTTTAATTTTATTAAAATCGGAAAACGATATTATATAGCTGCCTTAGGAACTATCGAATAATTCAACCCATTTCAGATCTTTTTAATTAGCATTTTATGCTGATTTGAATGAGGAAAAATCTATGCTAAGCCACGATGATGAAAAATTCTTATTGGAGCTTTGTAAAGTAAAAAAATAAGCAAGGGTAATATGGACAAAAAAAAAATTTTATCAGGGGTCAGAACTGAGTTCTTCGGTTTTTTCAATGTTCACGTAATATATGGACACCTCCTTGCCATTATATTGGTATACTTTAATAAAAGAAATGATTTTTGGTCTACTAACGACTAAACAAGTTAAAAATTTATTAAAAATTGTAATTTAATTTTAATTTTGTTCAAATAATAAAGGCACAAAATGACTGTCTATATAAACGTCGAGATCTCGGAAACTACAAAACCTATAGATTTGGGATTTGACATGCAGATTCTAGCTTTTCCTACGCAGCGCAAATTCAAAACGGAGTCACGCCTACTCTAACGCCCACAAATCGCAAAACACTTAACACGGCTTTCACGTCGCTCTTAAACATGTTAGACCGTAGGTGTTGGACTCTGTGTGTGTTTTGGTCTTATCTTTTTTCAAAATATAGCTAATATTTTAGAAGTTATGCGGTTTTGAAGTTTGCTGTTTTTAATTTTTTTTTAGTTCTTTGACTGCCATAGGAACTATCGAATAATTGAGCTGCAAATAATCATAGCAGGTAAATCATAATATTAATGCTTTGAAGAACATTTAATTTTTTGCTGCCATTAAAAGATATTATACTCATTAGACAGGGTCGATGTAGAGAGACAGAATGAAAGAACTGTTAGCTTCGAGTGTAGGCAATGTAGTTCGACAGATGGCGCCACACAGACCCCAAATTTTTGCGCAGGGGGAAATCTCTACTAAGTATTTATATGTTTATATTTATACCCTTGCAGAGGGTATTATAATTTCGGTCAGAAGTTTGCAACGCAGTGAAGGAGACATCTCCGACCCTATAAAGTATATATATTCTTGATCAGCATCACTAGCTAGTCGATCTAGCTATGTCCGTCTGTCCGTCTGTCCGTCCGTTTCTACGCAAACTAGTCTCTCAGTTTTTAAGCTATCTGCATGAAACTTTCCCAAAAGTTGTCTTTCTATTGCAGGTAGTATATAGGTCGGAACGAGCCGGATCGAACGACTATAGCATATAGCTCCCATAGGAACAATCGGAAAAATAAATTTAAAAAAATTATAACTTTGGTGTTTTTTAATTTTTTTGTTAGTTCTTCGAAAAATAGTAATTGTTAAATATTTCAGAATTACGGTTTAAATTTCGTCAAAATCGGACGACTATAGCATATAGCTCCCATAGGAACAATCATAAAAATAAATAACAAAAAATTATAACTTTGGTGTTTTTTAATTTTTTTTCTAGTTCTTCGAGATATAGTAATGTTTAGATATTTCAGAATTACGGCTTAAATTTCATCAAAATCGGATGACTATAGCATATAGCTCCAATCGTATAGCCGCCATAGGAACTATCGCATATTTAAGCTGCAAATCATTATAGCTTCAATGTTTTTAAACATACACGCAAGTAAATCATAATTTTAACGTTTTCAAGAGTATTTAGTTTTTGAAATAGCTGCAAGGGTATATGAACTTCGGCTTGCCGAAGTTTGCTTGCTTTCTTGTTTTAATTTTTTTTAGTTCTTTGACTGCCATAGGAACTATCGAATAATTGAGCTGCAAATAATCATAGCAAGTAAATCATAATTTTAATGCTTTGAAGAATATTTAATTTTTTGCTGCCATTAAAAGATATTATACTCATTAGACAGGGTCGATGTAGAGAGACAGAATGAAAGAACTGTTAGCTTCGAGTGTAGGCAATGTAGTTAGACAGATGGCGCCACACAGACCCCAAATTTTTGCGCAGGGGGAAATCTCTACTAAGTATTTATATGTTTATATTTATACCCTTGCAGAGGGTAGGGTATTATAATTTCAGTCAGAAGTTTGCAACGCAGTGAAGGAGACATCTCCGACCCTATAAAGTATATATATTCTTGATCAGCATCACTAGCTAGTCGATCTATCCATGTCCGTCTGTCCGTCCGTTTCTACGCAAACTAGTCTCTCAGTTTTAAAGTTATCTGCATGAAACTTCCCCAAAAGTTGTCTTTCTATTGCAGGTAGTATATAGGTCGGAACGAGCCGAATCGGACGACTATAGCATATAGCTCCCATAGGACCAATCGAAAAAATAAATAAAAAAAAATTATAACTTTGTTGTTTTTTAATTTTTTGTTTAGTTCTTCGACATTTAGTAATGGTTAAATATTTCCGATTTACGGTTTAAATTTCATCAAAATCGGACGACTATATCATATAGCTCCCATAGGAACAATCGGAAAAAAATACAAAAAAAAATATAACTTTGCTGTTTTAACATTTTTCTATTAGTTCTTCGACGGAATTACGGTTTAAATTTCATCAAAATGGGACGAGTTTATCATATGGCTCCTATAGAAATAATAAAAATATATAAAATAACTATATAATAATTGAGCTGCAAATCATCATAGCTTCAATGTTTTTGGACATATACGCATGTAAATCATAATTTTAATGTTTTAAAAAATATTTAATTTTCGCAATAGCTGCAAGGGTATATGAACTTCGGCTTGCCGAAGTTTGCTTCCTTTCTTGTTTTTTGAAATAATCTGTTTTTCGTTTTATAGAGACTAGTAAGCAAAAGTTATTTTATTGCATAATTTTCTGTTTGAATTCTTTAACGGGTTTTTTACAAAGTTGAATGTGATTCCAGTGTGGCGGAACCTTATCAAATTTATCGTATTTCCTTTCATTTCATTCCAATTACAGAGAGCGGGTTAAAGAGGACGAGCAAATAAAAAATTAATATAATATAAAGCAACAGATGTAAAAATAGGTACCAGCCCGCTCACCACCAAGGGTTAAGGGTATTTCTTAGAAACTCTTTTTTTTTTAAATATTGAAAATAATTTTTATGTTTCATAAAAATCTCGCCATATATAAAAAAAATCGCCTCAAAAAATCGATAAGAGCTGCAGTCCAATCCCCGCGCTTCCAGTTCTATCGTTCTGTCTCTCTAAGGTCTAACTTGACTCGAGGGGACATTACAGACTCATACGATTTGTTGGCGTTAGAGTGTGCGTGGTCCCGTTTTAAAATAAACTTGCGAATTTACTAGAAACTGCATTTCAAATTCCAAATCTCTAGCTTTAATAGTTTCCGAGATCTTGACGTTCTTACGGACGGACAGAAGGGCAGACCGATGGACATGACTAGATCGACTCGGCTATTGATCCTGACCAAAAACATATATATACTTTATAAAGTCGAAAACGCGTCCTTTTACCTGTTAGATACTTTTCTACAATTACAATATACTTTTTTACTATACATACTATTACTATTTTTTTTTTAACATTCAACCTTTCAATACTTTTTGTATTGGGAGCAAAAAAACCTTTAAAATTAAACAGCAACTTTTTACTGGTTTCACAATTTTGTTCTCCTGTGCATTTAACTTAAAGTGAGGAATTGTATGCTAAGCTACTTGGTCAAATCTAATGATCAATTTTTAACCTTCTCTAAATTTACCTGATAAACAATTAATTATTTGATTAAAGTAGGCAGTTACCTTTCAAACAATTTTGCGACATCGAAGTATAAAGATCAAAAAATAACTTGAACACATTAAAAAAGAACATACATTAAGGGACTTCTTTAATATATTACAAGCTTATGTAAAAATTCTATTACCCTCTGCAAGGGTATACCAACAAATAAAGTTAGTAGTATAAACAAGCTGTATATAACATAACTGAAACAACAAAGGCAGTACCAGTACCTAAAGTTAGCAGTCAACAACAACCAAAAGAAACGGCGGAAAAGCTGTCTCGGTTGGCTTGCAGACCGTGAAAAGCCACGAGCCACGATTGAAATACCGAATTTCATACCAAAAGCATATGAATACCGATTGTTCATATCAAAAGCTATCAAGCGCAATTCTACAAAAAAATGTTTGTACATATATACACATAACCATGCGCTCAAATAATACTTACCCACAGACATAGAAATGTTTGTTTCCAGTTTCTTAAAAGCAATAACCAAGCACCTCGCATTGGGAAAGTTAAAAAAAATGTTTTTTAAATATTTATAGGGAGGGGCAAAAGATTTTTAGGTTTAATTTTTTTGTATTGATTATAAACTTTAATATAATTACACTTGTAGATATCAAATGTTTATTTGATAAACTACTTTCGAGATCATTGAACTTTTCGCGAGAGTGTTCATGCCAGCTTTGGTATTAACGCACATTTTAACCACATTACATATAAGACGAAAGAACGAAATTAACAAGGAACCCGATCGGAGGGTAGGTTTTTTATATCCAGCAATACCACCACTTCGGTCCGGTTTAACAGGTGTTCCATATATAAAGCGCGGGCATCGTCAGTGGCAAGGAGTTTTCTTAGTTCGGATAAAGGTAGGGGATGAGTGCTTTATAAAACCGTGGCAACTCTGTAAAACAGTTTTCTGATCAAATCAGCTGTACTATCCAGACAGTTTGCCTGATTGGTAATGCACAATTTTTTTATAATGAGCAAGACAGTACACTTTTATGAAAAAATGGTTTCAAATTTGTAAACAAGAAATATTAAAGTTGTATTGTTATGCATATAACCATATCGAAGGCCTTTTCTTCAGTTTTAAAAGTTTCTAGTTTCTTACACCAACAGCACTAAGCTCTAGATTTTGAGACGGTTGAGTGATCTCTTCCCTCCCTTCCGTGTAGTTTGCAACGGTAGTCGAAGATTGCTTGGCACGCGTCGTTTTCGCTTTAATAGCAACCTGCGATAGGCCAACTTTCAGTGATACCCATTTAACTTTTTCTTGGTACCGAACCTTACAAATCTGGAGTCCTCTGTTAGGAAAGGGAAACTTCTTTAAGCGGGGGTTAGGGACTTAAAGGCCAATGAAAGGGTGCATTCGCGGTTAACATCGTAGGGAATCTTAGGGTAATTTCAAAAATATAAATCGTTCTGCGTTGGAAAGGTATTAAAAAAATGACATTTTGGCTAAATTAAGTGAATGTTTTTTTTTTAAGCAAAACTTAAAAATAGGAGTTTCGAGATTACTTGGTTATATGTGTATTGAAAATGTGTAAAAAATGTTAGAACTACGATTAATGTCCTGTAATGACCGATTTGTATACCGAAATTCTGCAAAAATTAGTTTTTTTCGGATTTCTAACTGTATATAACTTAAAGTGAGGAATTGTATGCTGCTAAGCTACTGGTCAGACGGTTAGCAAGCAAATCTAATGATCAAATTTTAACCGTCTCTAAATTTACTTGTACTCAACCCCTTATGTCGGGACGGGGCGCATCAGACGACTAGATCATATAGCTTCCATAGGAACAATCGAAATTCAGCGAAAAATCGTTACAGCTTCATTGTTTTACATTCATATACGCAGAAAAATTGAAATTTAGCCGTTTTAAAGAATATTTCATGTTTGTAATAACTGCAAGTGCTATTTTACTTTTTTTCTTGCTCAAAATTACACTTTGCAAATGCTAAAACCAACAACAAAGCTAAAAACTTGTTCTATGTTGTCTTATAAATCTGAAATCGTTGTTGAAACAGACGGTTCGGCTTGATTCACTGCTCAAAACATTTTATATCTTAAGAAAGTCCAACTGTACTTCTAATAAGTGACAATATTATTATGGTTTTACAAAAAACGTTCATTCATACAAACTTATATAAAATGTTGTATATAGGCATTTCGTCTATCTTGTCAACCTGTAGAATGCAGGTCACTCAATGTTAAACACCATACGACCGAGTCAGTAAAATAGGGGGTTGATTCTTCACGAGAACGAACTTTGCTTCCGTTCAACATAATTTATTACAAATGTTATACACAATACCTCCAAAAAAAACCCTGAAGTCGAGTTTTTCATCAAGAATGCAACAACATATTTGGAATAAGGAATTCTTATGTATAAGGTACGAAAGACAACGAACTATTCACAGCATACTTTTAGTCACCTTTATAAGTGAATTCAAAATATCTTTTTTTAATGTACTTCGAGATATAAAAATGGTAGAGATTTGAAAATGGACGGCATATTTAAATAACAGCTTTTCTCCCTCTGTTTGTTTGTTTTGTTTCTGTACTAAGCAGTCGAGCTGAAAAACTTTTGTTCTACCACTTTTTGGGAAACCCTCTAGTTTAGCGGAAAAACGGGTCAAACGTGCTATATTAAAATGGGTAAAATTGTATTTTAAAGGGCTATTTCTTAATCTAAGTTTAAAAAAGTATATATACATAAAAAATTATAGCGAAAACTTAATTTTAAGAAGCGATAGTAATAACTTCTATAACAATTTGAAAAATATTTGTGTGAGTATAGATATAAACCGAATGAACATATACCATAGCCCTACCCACGTCTTTAAATGTTAAATACCAAATCTTTGGCTATTATACAATACGGGCATAGCTAAATCGCCCATCTTTTGATCCTGATTAAGGGTCTAAATATAAGGAAACCCTTCCTTTTACCTGTTAAATACTTTTCAACGACTACAAAACTCTAAACCTGCAAGTTCCGAAAAGGCATTTAACTAATTTTTTTTTAACTTTCAGATGGATTTATTTAGTTCTTATATTAAACAGAATGTACGACGTGTCTTCTAACTCAAAGACAAGACAGATAAAGTCGAATTAATCCGCCACAAAAACTTAGGGCAGAACTTAAGAAAAAAAGAAAGATTCACTTATGTGCTTATATAAAATGTACTTTTGAAACATTGAATAACGCTAATTTTTCCTATGGTTAGACCAAAAATGTCTATAGCAGCTATTTATTAATGCCAAATACCGGTCGTACCGACATAAAATTGTAGTACAATCAATAAAATTAAAAAAAAAAACACACTTGCTTCAATCAAACCCCTAGCATTATGTTGTAGGACTGCTGTTGAAATAGATCTGCAAGGGTATTCCTGCTTTTACATGCAAAGCTAGCTTTTTTTGTGGTTATATGCATGTATATATAACATAAATGACTATATGTATTTGGAGAAAGGTTTTGCCTGATTTTGGAGTAATTTTGTATGCCCGAACTACATAGGCATAACGCTGGTTCATAAATACGTTGACACATACACACATGTTTATAGTCAAGCGTACTAGTAAATACAGAAATACTCTAACACGCTGAGCATAAAGATCGTACAAAGCGAAAACGGCAATATATGATCACTTCTTCTCCTTCGTTCTCGATGAATCATGGCCTCTCTCCCTCTCTATCACTCGTTCGGTGCGGTGATCATATTTCGAGACCAGCTTTGGCGTCCGACCAACTCGCTATGTCTCCCGATTAGTCAACAGCCAGTTTGAGCGCGAATGAAACCGACCAACCGTAAAGCCGTCTTGGTCCAAGTTTTGAGCGCGGCTCAACAAATACATAAGCCAGCAGAAACACACTCAGGAAAGCGGTCGCTCGAGTTTGAGCGATGTAAGAACGACTTCCGTCGTCCATTGCCATTCAACAATTTAGTTTCGCTCGAGATCTCTTGGCGTACGTTTCAAGATCCACCTGAAACTCGCGTTGTTTCTTGGACTCGCAGCCAACAGGTGGGACGCGCTGTACTTTATAGCTGCCAAGTATCGTATCATTGATTGGCAAAAGTTTATAGTTTGAGTGATACTGTGAGTGTACCCATCGGAACTACTAATGTAATTTTGAATTCGGTTTCCAAAAAAGTGTTGTTTCGTAAGTGTATAATAATATTCAATTGAAGAAATATCTTGCCTGGACACAAAAGAATTTAAATACAAATTTGAGTAAGTAAAATATGCATATCATACCCCATAGATGATATGTCATAACATAAGTCATAAGTGAAGAGAGTATTAAATTATCAAACAGAAATTAAATTTTACATTTATTTTGCTTTTCCGATATCTGCTCTTAACCGTACTCATGGCTTCAGTGTTTAGCCGCACAACTTACATTTACCCACGCTCCTGACCTTGAGCTGCTTATTTTCTCTGTTTTTATAGACTGCCTAAGCTAAGTTTTCTGACTCGCCAAAGCCATTATTTGGCTGGAGTGTGTGAAAATACGATTAATTTTCCCACTTTTAATTTTGTTGAATTGTGTGTAGTATGGGTAGCATTACCTGAAAGTGAGTTGGTATTGAAAAGAACAAAGTGTGAAAACCCCAATGACCTCGTAGCAGGACCACCATAACCGACCGTGACTTTTGTTTTATTGTACCAAAGATATCGCAATTTTACGTACTTGGAACTGTGCACATAGGTGTATTTCAAAATAGAGGTCTTTAATCCGCTGTAGAGTCGTAAAACCCCAAGTACCAAATTTTAAATTGATTTTCTTTTAAATATGTTGTTTGTATATTGTACTTATATATTTCGTAGTAGTTTTTATTTGAATTTATTACAATATTTAGATGTCCGAGTAGTTTTCATATGTATTTATTAAAAGTACAAGAGAAGTGTAAAAAGACAGGTGTAATAATCTATATGCTTTCATCCCTGTGGCAGACGAATTCTTTATTTTTCGTCGCTTCGTATTTCTCAAAATATAGAGAATGAGTTAAAAAAGGAATAAGATGGTAAGATGGGAAAAACGACCCAAAACCTAGAATCAAAAACTCAGAAGTAAGCGAAAATCGTGTAATAATTTTTTCATGGCTTGTGTTTTTTGTGACTAAAAAATACGTACAGTTGCGGTCATAATAATAGTAGAGGTGCTCGAAAACATACCATTATGGCATTAGAAAGCTTTAGTTACCAATGAATCGAATTGGGCTTAAGAAACTTTTGATATTGTTTTAGTTTTTTTTTAAAAAAATTTTAAAGCTGTTAATAAATAAAAAAAATTAAGTACAAATTTGTATATTACAGTAGTACATTTTTTTAAAGAAATTGAAGAAAATAACTTAAAATCCTTGTTTATCTGAACCTTGTGTTGGAAAAAATAGAAAAGTTACATTTCCAATATCTGAAGGATTTTGTAAATTTAAATATAAGCAAATACTTTTTTTATAAAATGTATTTTTTTAATATTTTAAAAATTTATACCTTAAATAAATGTTGATTTTTATATCTGCCCCACTTCATAAAAATATACAAAAATTTCAAAAGTTCCTTCAAGACTTGATTTGGTTGGTATTTTCATAAGATAAAAACTACTGTTTTCATGCTTGGTTAAAACATTATTTGTACAAATACTAAAAACTGTAATGTTACTTCAAGTCATATTATTTTCACACAAAAATACGAGAGTGGCAATGGGTAGAAATATTTCTATCTTTAAGAAATAAAAATGCAAGGAAAACAGATGGCCTAGACGAACTCATACTTTAGCGTACGCTGTGCACTTCTATACCTATACAGTTGGCTGGCTCGATCCTTCAACTACAGTGACCCTTAGGGGAGTAATAGTCCCAAAAAGGTCAATTAACAACAGGTGAATGAGTGCTAGCAAACACGTTTGCGCGGGATCAGCCTTTAGTTGGCGGGCAGCCCGAGCACCTTGCAGGGCAGGGAAACTGGCGCCGACGACGTGCCACAATTAAACGAGCGGGAAACGCAATCGCCTTCTGTCGTGCATATTAAGGTCCTGTAGAAATGTATGTTTGCATAAAAATAGAATACATGTCAAACGACTCAAAGGTTTTTGGGCATCCCAGCACTCTTATTTATGTTTTTTTTTGGTACTGAGTTACACTATACCTTCCTAGCACACCTTTCCGATATATACAGAACATTTTTCTAATATCAAAGATCTATATTTGATATATTATAACTTACTCGCTTGCGCCACATAACATTTTTGTTTCATTTTTTTGCTGGTATGATTTCGTGGTGAGGTCGGAGCTTTCGACTTTAACGTTCTAGTTTTATTTTTATAACTACTCTTTTTATACCCTTGCAGAGGGTATTATAATTTCAGTCAGAAAGAATATGTAACGAATATATATTCTTGATCAGCATCACTAGGAGAGTCGATATAGCCATGTCCGTCTGTCCGTCCGTTTAAATAAATAAATAACAAAATTATAACTTTGTTGTTTTTTAATTTTTTTTTAGTTCTTCGACATATGGTAATGGTTAAATATTTCAGAGTTACGGTTATTGATCAAAATCGGACGACTATAACTTAAAGCTTCCATAGGAACAATAAAAGTAAACATTTTTTTTTTTTAAATAACTTTTTTATTTTGTAATTATTTTTAAATTTTTTGTTTGATTTACTATTCATTTGACAGTTCAGAATTACGCTTTAAATTTTATTAAAATCGGAAAACTATATCATATAGCTGCCATAGGAACTATCGAATTATTGAGCTGCAAATCATCATAAGTTCAATGTTTTTAAACAAATACGCAAGTAAATCCTAATTTTAATCTTTTCAAGAATATTTAATTTTTGCAATAGCTGCAAGGGTATTTGAGCTTCGGCTTGCCGAGGTTTGCTTCCTCTCGTGTTGTTCTTAAAATTCCAACAAACTTAAATTGTTTCTATATTCCAGTTTCATTCATGTTTTTAAGGCACTGATGCTCATAATGGATATGCAGACATCGTCACATCTAAGCCATGGGCTCGGTACACTCTCACATCAACTTCAACACCGAACTATACACCAGCCGCAGATTCTTCACAGTACCCAAGAACAATCACAGAATACAAACACAGGACAGCATGAGCACGATCACCAGCATTTGCAGCACCATCACCTATTACATCAACAGCATCAGGCCGTTTCACCGACATTGCACACTTTGCAAAGCACTCCTCAAGGTGATAGCCTGAGCATTGCTATCAACCCCAATCAAAATCAGCATGATCATCAACATCATGCCGGAAGTAACGTGTATACCTCACCACAAATGGAAGACAAGTCAAAAGGTAATCAGCCAGACAATCAGTTTTATTGCGGGTAGCATAAGTATATAATGCAACTAAACCAAGAAAGGATGCTTCCTTTCCTTCGGCAAGCCAATATTTGTAGACCCTCGTAGTTATTGCAAAAATTAAATAATATTTAAAACAACTATATTTTGATTTGTTTGCCTTCATGCTAAAAAACAGTGAATGTATGATGGTTTTCCGCCGAACTATTCGATCATTGTCCGATGTTAATAAAATTAATACCGTATTTCTGAAATAATAAACCATTACCATAAATCGAGAAACGGACATGGCTAGATTGATTTTTCTAGTGATATAATATATGTACTTCACTGCGTTGCAAACTGTTGACTGAAATTTTAATACCCTCTCCAAGGGTATGAATATAAGTTTAGGTACACGACTGAATTATACGCTTAAATCACTATTATTAAACACATAATGACACATAAAACAAGTCGATTGATTCGCTCACGTTTACATTAACGTGTAGGAAGAGTTAAACAAAAGATTACATTTTCATTCTATTTACATTTCTAGTGGAAAAATGTTGACCGGCAAAGAAAAGGATGTTAATCCAAGTTGCAAACGTCTGAAACTAGAGAACAATAGCATTTTCTGGCAGAGGAGATGGGGATAGTAAACAAGCTCACAAGAGCAATGCACTTGGGACGCGATTGGAAACCTTTTATTTCCCCTCCCAAGATTTTTTCAGTGCGACCAGTAGTCGCAAAAACCTATTCTTCTCGAACCCATGTTCGAGAAGTATGAAATTAAATGAAAAGGTGTTTCCATCAAGTCACGGAATTTTTGGTATAAGGAAATTTCACATGTCTCCTGATTGGAATGCTCCACGATTTTCGTATGCGAATTTTTATACATGTAAGAGTCATATCAGTATATTGAAGGTCCATGCACTTAATTATCTGTTTATACATCTAGTGAGGTATTGCGATAAACTTAAAAAAAGAAAAGAAGCTATCTTCGGCAATCGGAAGATTATACACCCTTGCATATATTACAAAATTAAAATATTCTATTAAGCAACTATATTTCGGTTCTAATGTTATACGATTTCTTAATAAGTGAAACAAGGAAGTTTAATTTGTTTTATTCTAGTTTTTCTATGTGAGCAATATGATATTGTCGTCCGATCCAGCTCTTTTGCAATATTGAAAACCGATTGATAAAGCAATTAAAAGGAGTTTTGTTCATGCTAAGCCTTTTAAAAAGTAAATTGGTTTAGGTGGCGCCATCTGTCGAACTGCATAGTGCGTGCAGTACCCCTACCCCCCGCTTACAGTTCTTTCGTTTTGTCTCTCTACTGCAGCGATTACCGGCAAGCAACGGCAGAGCAGCGGCATAGCGGCGGCAGAGGCGCGGTGTCTACCGATAGATTTGACCGAAACACACGCACAGAGTACAACACCTACGGTCTAACATGCCTCAGAGCGACGTGACAGACAGACATGGCTAGATCGACTCGGCTATTGATCCTGATCAAGAATATATATACTTTATGGGGTCGGAAAAGCTTCCTTCTACCTGTTACATGCTTTTTAACAAATACAATATACCCTTTCACTCTACGAGTAACGGGTATAAAAAAAGAAGGTAACTTTAGGAAGCCGAAGTAGGTAGGTGCTGCACGCTCTTAGCTTCGAGTATTGGCTATGCAGTCCGACAGGAGGCGCCACCTAAACTCAGATTGTTTTGTTTGAAATTCGGGTACTTAATAGTCGGGAACTCGACTATAGCGTTCCTTATTGTTTTTGAATTTGGAAAGAGTTTGGGTCATGAGTAAAATACTAATACCATTTTTCTCTTTATATATCCAATCTTTAGCAAACAAGTTTGACGAATATTCGAGCAGGATATTGGGCAACATTTCAGACACCACTACGCCGCCATCTGGTAACAATTTTTTGTCACAAGCCCAAGGCGTCGAATGGATGACAGCCATGAACGATGTGCAAAACGGGGCAGGTACCACATTTGTATACGTGCTTAGAACTAAGCCTATATTTAAATGCAAATTATGCTTAATTAATCTTTTCAGACGACTCGCATAGTTCGCAAGGCAGTATTTCTGGAGATGGTAAGTGAAGTATTTTACAACTGCATACACTTAGCAAGATAAGAGCAAATCTGCTCGATTTCAGTATCTTTTTCGATAGTTGTTATGTGGCTTATAGAGAAGATAAGATCTTGAAATCGATTAGAAATAAGTTAAGAAAGCTTGGGAGGTAGAAAATGGCAGAGACCTTTTTTATCAAATTTTTTAAAAAGTTCCGAAACATATATCGGGCTTCGTCAAAACCCTTTAAAATTTGTACCCTCGGCGCTAGGTTATGTTAAGTCTTCTGATGGAATTTAATAAAATAAGTGCCCAGCTGTACTTGCACAGGAAGTAACAAATATTTTATGAGATGAAAATCATAACATATAACTAATACAATTAACTACAAGAAAGAAAGCAAACTTCGGCAAGCCGAAGTTCATATACCCTTGCAGCTATTGCATGAATTAAATACTTTTGAAAACATTTAAATTATGATTTACTTGAGTATATACTGAAAAACAGTGAAGCTATGATGATTTGCAGCTCAATTATTAGATAGTTATTTTATATATTTTTATTAGTTCTATGGGAGCTATATGATATAGACGTCCGATTTTGATAAAATTTAAACCATAATTCTGAAATAATTAAACATTGCCATATGTCGAAGAACTAAACAAAAAATTAAAAAACAGAAAAGTTATAATTTTTTTTCATTTATTTCTCCGATTGTTCCTATGGTAGCTATATGCTATAGTCGTCCGATTTTGATGAAATTTAAAACGTAAATCGGAAATATTTAACCATTACTAAATGTTGAAGAACTAATAATAATAATAATAATAATTAAACATTGCCATATGTCGAAGAACTAAACAAAAAATTAAAAAACAGAAAAGTTATAATTTTTTTTCATTTATTTTTCCGATTGTTCCTATGGGAGCTATATGCTATAGTCGTCCTATTTTGATGAAATTTAAAACGTAAATCGGAAATATTTAACCATTACTAAATGTCGAAGAACTAAACGAAAAATTAAAAAACAGCAAAGTTATAATTTTTTTTCATTTATTTTTCCGATTGTTCCTATGGGAGCTATATGCTATAGTCGTCCGATTTTGATGAAATTTAAACCGTAAATCGGAAATATTTAACCATTACTAAACAAAAAATTAAAAAACAGCAAAGTTATAATTTTTTTTCATTTATTTTTCCGATTGTTCCTATGGGAGCTATATGCTATAGTCGTCCGATCCGGCTCGTTCCGACTTATATACTACCTGCAATAGAAAGACAGCTTTTGGGAAAGTTTCATGCAGATAGCTTTAAAACTGAGAGACTAGTTTGCATATAAACGGACGGACAGACGGACGGACAGACGGACGGACAGACGGACATGGCTAGATCGACTCGCCTAGTGATGCTGATCAAGAATATATATACTTTATAGGGTCGGAGATGTCTCCTTCACTGCGTTGAAAACTTCTGACTGAAATTATAATACCCTCTGCAAGGGTATAAATATACATACAATATATATATTGTTTTCATCAACTTAAGCAAGTGTAATTTGAATTTTATTTATTTATCTATTTTATTTTATTTATCTATTTATATTACATATCTATGTGTTTAAAAATAACATGTGTCGAATATTTAAATACCTTTCTGACACACGCCTTAGTAAAAGGAAAAATGGAATTGCATGTGTGTTTTAAAGCCTGATTCCTTTGCCGCACAAGTGGACTTTTTAAATGTGCCTGCATTGGCTAATGCTACTTCGATCTGGGATTGCTTACTTTTGAATTTTTGCAAATCAAAACGAAATTAATTAAATTAATTTAAATTATGAGTATGAGTAAGTTTACTCAACTCTTTAATGCTCAGCAAGACATCCATAATGCTATCAAGGCATTTGCCAACTTGGACGACAAGGAAGAGAAACTGATGGTGTTGTTTGACCAGTTTGCAGTGCGCGCTCTTCTTTTTAGTCATTTTTATACAAAATAGCTTTTGTATTCGAAAGAAATCAAAAATTGCGCCAACCTTGCACAAAGAAAAGAGCTGTTGTAGTGGTGGGACGAACAAAATATCGTTAAACATCGGTATTTTCCGGTATTTTTTCTATCGCATTTATTTATCGCATTTATTTTAGCCGTTTGGGATTCCCTGTGTAAATAAATGCGCATAAGGCTAAACGCGTTTTAATGCGCTAATGGAATCCGGCTATTAAAAAAAGGATTTCTTGAAATTACAAATGAATTATTTATTGTATAACTTTAATAAAATGTATATAGAACCAAAAAAAAAAAAAATTTAAATACTTCTAGTAATTGGCAAATAAGATTAAGATTGGAGTTTACTGAAAAATAAAAAAAAGAGAACGCTTTACTTTTGATAGTCCAAACAAGAACTTACTCGACTAGAGTCAAGCATGATTTACTCTTGGAAACAAGAACTTACTCGTTCTTTAAGCCGAGAAGACTTATTCGCAAATCGAGACTACTCACTCTCAAAAGCCATTCTCAATCTGAGAAAACGTCTTCTCGATTTAGTAATATCGCTCTTGGCCTACTATTGAGCACGGATAGTGAAATCGAGACTGCTGAGAACTGTTTATTTTTTGAGTGCAGCATATATTTTTGAGTAGCCTGACCGTGTGACCAAATTGTACTCTTACCCATCTCCCACGTTGCCATTCGCACTGACTTTTGCTTAGGTAACATTCTCTCACAATGCTAAGTGACCGCCATCCGATCAATTTTCTGTGGCTTTGTAAGAATTGTCTCAAGTAACTTGGTGCCTAATTGGAAAAATTTACTCTGACCACAAAGCTGTTTCCTGGCTATGACAGAGTTCTTTTTGTTTTTTTTGTTTATTTGGTTTGGTCAACGGGGATGGTCATTGGAGACTGGGCGCTGCTCTCACTTAGGTGACGATCGGAACAACCTCAAGTTCTGATTCACATTTAGATTGAAGCACCTTCATACACAACGCGGTGTGCATTACAACGTTCACATTATCGGACTTTATAAAAAGACGTCGGCTTAGCAACTCCGTTCCGATTCCATAACCACAAGCATAGGAGAAAATAAGTTACATTGTCATTACTACGTAAATTAAACATACATTGAAACCACAAATCCAAGTGTCTTCCGGTAACTTAGGAATTACATCCGGTTCCTTTTATAACTCTCTGCAAGGCACAGGAACTCACTAACTAAAAAAGATGTTCTGATGTGTTCTTGGTCCAAAACATATATTTTATGGTCCGTTGTAAGAAAACTAATTGGAATTTTTAACGAATTCTTTAGTCTACAGACACAAAGAAAAGTAAATTCTGAGACATATACTTGCATACTTTAAACTCAATTATACTGTCAGCACCGTATATTTATAAACTATGTAGCAATTAAAGCTTGAAAGATAGGACTCATTGGGCCACCTACATTTTAAGGAATTAATACATAGTTAATAGGTTAAGTATGAAAATTTCGGAACTCTTCCCATTTGTTCTTCTTTTAATGGTTATTAAGCCATATAATTAAAAAATCACAAAACATAAGTTAACATCCATTTGTCAAAATGAGCCTGAATGAATTGTTAGGAGGGTGGCTTTGAACCAGGCAAATAGTAAAAATATAAGGGATCCATTACAGCAGTTGAATACACAATTGGGAATAAAAGGTGACCCAATGGAATCTTTGCTTTCCCTGAAAAGTAACAGCTGTGTCTCTTATGCGATTGCCTTTTTTGCTAGTTAAAACCAGCCATACTTTGTTTTAATTATATTAAATAAGAAATAAAGCAATCACCAGACACCAAAATTATTCATGCCCTAGAAGTTATGTACATTATTAAAGGTAAAAAAGCCGATTATTTAAAGACCATGACATTTATATATATTTTTACACTTATGATGTACCTACGTAAGGGCAATTACAGGGGCTTGGGCGCCACATCTGACATTAAAAATAAGTGTGAGGGGTTTTTTTTTTATTATTATTGGAATAAACTAGTAAAACCTTAGAAATAAGAAAACATTCGTGAATTTTGGATGATGCGGAACTATATAAATATTTTATATCTTACTTTAAATAATCTGTGACTAACTACTTTTTATTGTTAAATAAGTGACCTACATATACATAAAAGTTAATCAGCGTTAAATGTCCCAAGGGTGACATAGTAAAAGTAGAATTTTCTTCATTATTTGCTTGGGCGTAAGACGGGAATTTTTGAGATGTGACATATATATGATTTTGTAAGTTATCGCAACTAGTTAATATGGTTAATATGGAATTTTTCTGTAAATGAAGCATGGCTACATGCCTATAAAATCAATAATCATTGCTAGGAAGATGTAAATTAATGTCCAGACTGACGGATGGAGAGACGGACAGGCGGACGGATCTATACCTAATTAAATCGGATATGAGTCCTTCACTGCATTGCAAACTATTGACTGAAATTATATTATACTTTGTAAAAGTGTATTCGGGTTCAACTTCATGTTTTTATTTCCTTCCAGGGGGTATTATAATTTCAGTCAATTATTTTCCCGATCTTTCCAATGTACACTGGGCCAGCAAGCCCGAGTTTTGGTTGAAAGTCCTTTTTTTTGACAAAATTAATAAATAAAGTATGGGGCCTATATACTTTAAGCTTATTTATGCCAACATTTCAAAGAATTTCACTGAAATAATTTTTTTTGACATATTTTTAAAGATTCGATATCACGCAAAATTAAGTAAAAAATAAAAAAAAATTGGGAATACTTAGCTGATCAATTTTCATGTGAAGTCGTTGAAATTGATTAAAATGTCAAGTAAAACATGTAATTTAGCTGAATTTCTTACTTATTTATAAAATATTTAGAATTACTTTCGGGTACCCTCTGGAAATTAAGTGATTCCTATAAAAATAAGTTTTTGATCCATTAACTACCAAAATCACCCGCCGATTTCGCGCGATTTTGCTTTGGTTTTCGAAAATCGTATTAACTTAATTTGGGTATGAAATAAGTATGGACTTAA